GTGAAATTATATTTTGTAGTTTTTAAAAGTTTTTTAATTTCATTATCCAAAAATTTAAATTTTACGAAACTTGAAAAAGTTATTTTTGAAAATAAGCTTATTTGAGAGTAAACTATTACAAATTGGGATTACTGTTAATTACAAATCCACTCCCACAGACCAAACCATATTCCACTGACCATAACTCGTTCTTTTCACTATAGTAACACTAACAATACTATGACATTCCAGTAACGCCTCCAACAGTTAAGAGACCGGCTAAACAACTTACTGGATGCATTACAATTAACCTAATCCGACTCCAAACATCACAATCGTCTACTATAACAAACCACATGATTCCATTTTAACATACTAATATATTGTTTATAAACAAATTGAGATCCGCTTACAGCGTAAGCCTCAGGCAGTAGTAGTTAATGTGACCAAAGCCCAGATCATTTGGCACAATTTAATACTGGTATTAGGGATTGAGCAGTACAAGTTACAATTGAGGGGTACAAAAACAGAAATTTAAAAAAAAAATTTTAATTTTGAACTTTTTTAAATTAAAAATAGAAATTGGCAAAAACTTTGTTTACACAACACAATTTATCTTCTAAAACATTCCAAAACTTTGTTTACAGCAAAAAAGAAAAACCTTCAAAAACTTTGTTTACACACTGACCCTACCAAAAGCTTGCAAAAACTTTCTTTACAATCTGTCTCTTCCAAAACCCGCAAAAATTTTCTTTCCGAAGCAAAGTAGATGTAACCCTTGAACTAATGTTACTATGGCGTGTCCTTAACATACGTTTGAACCATTTTTTGATAACGGTCACCTGGGTGGTCCTCGTTTAAATGTTGCGTGTGAACCTGCAGCTTTACTATTACTAATCTGACCCACTAAATTGTATGAAAAAAGGCTGTAAAGAAAGTTTTTTCTTGGGTTTCGACGTGTTTCTTGACATGGTTTCACATTTTTTTACCGTATGACTTTCTATACCTATGTTTCACGATAAAAGCGGAAAGAAAGTTTCTTCAATGACTTTAAAATTAAAAAAAAATTTGTAAAGAAAGTTTTTGAATTTAAGAATTGAAAATACAGTTTTTGTGAAATTTCCAAAAATTTGACTAGGAACCCGCAAATAATCGAAATCGAGTTATAACTAGTGGTATATATATAAATGTAGAGCAAAAAATTCTAAGATCCATGGTGTAAAAATTATTTGCCAACAATCTCTATTTTTTGAGATATGGTAGGTCAAAGTTTGGTTTTTTAAATACTTTCATCTCATGTTCGCTTTTTGAGCAAGAAGCGCAAGCGCTTCAATGGTAGCGGGCGAGTGAGCCCGACTCGGACTCGAAAGCTCAGAGGTTCGGTTCCCGCCGGGTTTCAAAGGCTTGAAAGGCCTCGAAAATGCTTTTTATTTTTTTTAATTTTAAAATTAATAACTACGTTCTTAAAACTAAACATAAGTAATCTTTTGGACATGAGAAAAAAATATAACAAAATTTAAACCAAAATAATTGATAAAAAAAGTAAATTTCAACAATTTGTACATAACATTTGTATTATTTCACTTTCTTCGTATGGTGGACATAAATATTTTGTACTTCACTATTTCTTGTACTTCACCATCCCAGAATTCGTTTATATCTTCGTCATTTTCTGGCAATAAGATATCAGAGTCTCTCAACATTTATAACTTATTGTATAGAACTTGAAAAGAAGCATTTTCTCTTCTATTAGCTTTAGAAATATCAGTAGCTGGCGGCACCTTAGCCAACAATAAGCCGACAATAACATTAATGTCCGCCATAACGGTGAAAGTGAAATAATACAAATGTTATGTACAAATTGTTGAAATTTACTTTTTTTATCAATTATTTTGGTTTAAATTTTGCTATATTTTTTTTCTCATGTCCAAAAGATTACTTATGTTTAGTTTTAAGAACGTAGTTATTAATTTTAAAATTAAAAAAAATAAAAAGCATTTTTGAGGCCTTTCAAGCCTTTGAAACCCGGCGGGAACCGAACCTCTGAGCTTTCGAGTCCGAGTCGGGCTCACTCGCCCGCTACCATTGAAGCGCTTGCGCTTCTTGCTCAAAAAGCGAACATGAGATGAAAGTATTTAAAAAACCAAACTTTGACCTACCATATCTCAAAAAATAGAGATTGTTGGCAAATAATTTTTTACACCATGGATCTTAGATTTTTTTTGCTCTACATTTATATATATACCACTAGTTATAACTCGATTTCGATTATTTGCGATTTCCATGAAGGTTTTTTCGTGTTGTAAAGAAAGTTTTTGCACTTTCTAAAAAAATCGATTTGTAAAGAAAGTTTCTTCCAATTAAACTCATTTTTTGTAAAGAAAGTTTGGGCAGTCCCAGAGATTAGCCTATTACGCAAATTGTAATTTCTTAAAGTTAAAAATGATTTTTTGAACCTTTCGAAATCGACAAGCGGTTTACAACGTGGTTAAGTACTGTAATCCGAAGAGTTTTAAAGATATTGTTTGTGTTTACAGCATTAAACTGTGAAAAGTTACTTATCACATCAAAGATTAGTCCAGTAATGAACAGCTAAAGCCGAAATTCAGAAGAAATGAAAAAACTTTGTTTACAAATTACGAAAATGCAAAAACTTTATTTATAAAACAAAAAAAATATAAAATTTTTTTTGCAAAACGAAAAAAAGCAAAAACTTTCTTTACAACCAAGAAAATAGTTTAAACCCACAAAACAAAGGAAAAAATAGAAAAACTGGCGAAAAGCGCAATAACTTTCTTTCCAGTACAAAACCCAGTAAAAATTTGACAAAATTTGAATAAAAATGAAAATTACACATAATTTAAACCTTTTTCTCAATTAAAAATAGTCAGTTTGCGTCAACTAGCCTTAGGGTTTTATCACACAAAGCATCACATGCCATTGGAATGCGATTGATAAATCATTTTACTCCTTCACAATGCAATAGAAAGTACATTATAATGTAAAGTACACTGTGATATAAAGGTTGTTTTACATTGTGATGTAAAGTAAGTTTTACATTATGTTATAAATTATATTATTGTTGGGTAACTATAATAGATTTGTAGACAATTTGAGTTTGCCAGATTGAGGCAATTGGGAATCTTACCCAATCTGCCCCGCTCTGATTGACTTCAAAATTTTTATATAGAAAGTTTATGTTAATATAAGATCTTCAGCAAAATAATGTAAGCTTTGATTTTTGTCTGCAAAGAAGTTGACGTGATATGCCTTATTAATAGATCGTGATATTACACTGTAAAGAACAAATGTAATTGCATCAGCCTGAACAATAAGTGATCTGTTAACGTTTAGGTCTAAAAGTCATTTTATGGTAACAATTTTTTAGCAAAATATTTTTTTTAATATGGAAATGTCATATTGAAAGTATTTAAATAAGAAAAGTGACTTTAAGACTACTGATTGTGAGAGTGGAATCAGAGGTTACTTTAGGTCCAAAAAAAGAGGAAGAGGAAATATTCTCAGTAAAGGCTAAGGCCAAAAATATAATTTTTTAACATTTTTTTATAGTAAAAATTCAATAGTTAAACAAAATTTTAAAATCCTAAGTTTAGTTTTATATAAAATAACGTTATGTATCAAAAATAGTAAATAAAGTTGCGTGATGTGCATTAAAATGACTTCACAGATCGTAAATCAACCGCCTATAAACAGGTCAACTGATATCTGATATGAATGATATGTTTTCTTGTATGTAACTACAATACAGTAAAAATTGATTTTTGAAGTTATTAAAAATAAACGCTGTAAGAGTAGAGTAAACTAATAGGGTGATATAAGATGATATTAAAACTAAGGCAAACTAAGGAAAGGCCAAGACAAGACTAGAGCAAAGCTAAGTCACGGCTATAGCAAGGCTATGGCAGGGCTTGGATAGAGCAAAGCAAATCCTAAGGCAGGGTAAATACAATAGAAATAGAACATAGCAATAATAAAGCTAGGGTGAACAATGATAAGGCTAAGAAAAAGTCAAGATAAGGTCTTAAAATTGTTAAATAAAGCAATTATAAACAACTACAAGTTACAATTAAATTTAGTAGTCTAAACTGGAAAGGTGAGTAAAGTAATGTTGATATCAAATTTACAACCACTCATTGTAAATTGATCTCTTATAACAACAAACTGTCATTGAAACGCTACTTTAACTTATTTATTGTGTGAGAACATTACAATTCGGAACATTACCTTGGAATATTTTAGTTTAAAAAGTGCAACACAAATAAAGGTTGTTCAGCTAATTCTGAGCTCCTTCTTAAAGCAAATTTTTTGGGTTAAAGAGCACAGAATTATTTAAACAACCTAGTATATATGACTGGTTGAGTTAGTTAACATATTTTGTGTAGCACCAGTTTGTGCATCGATTAATGGAAAAGTTGGTTTGAAGTGTAAATGTAAAGATACCTATAGGTAAAGAGGCCAACCCTTTGTTTAATTAACAATGATATTTGGTGAAAACATCCAGTATACTATCTTGACTTACAAAGTTTTTCTCATAATTACTGAAAATGCCAAGTTACAGTAACTTGTTTCACTTTGTTATAGTTAAGGTCTGACTTCAAATTAAACAAACTTTTTTGTTCTTCTGCTATTTCCAAGTGTAGTATCTGATGACCTGTTTGATTGTAGACTCAGCCCTCCCATACAAAACTTTATTACAACTTTTTTTGTTGTACATCTAATTAAACAGTTAAGATTGTTTGTACAAATGGTTATATATCACAGTAAACAACAATAACCAATTAATTGTTTTGTACCACATCTGGTTGAAGGTTGTTGTTGCCGTATATAGACACAACGACCTTATATATATACCTAAAAACCTTATACGATTTTTTTGTGACAAGTCTGACATGTGCTGGTTAACTATAATCACCCGGAGTTTGTTTGTGCTAACAACAAGTACTGTATTGACATTGTTCTTTGCATCTCAACAGGTTTACATTACTGATTATAGTAAATTTATGCAAACAACCAGTAATCTTTCTACATATAACCTCAGTTATTTTACTGCTACTTCAAGCAAATCAATCTCAGATGACAAAAGCCAAAAATTACTGTCAAAAATAGAATCTACAATATGCCGTCTACCAGACTTGGATCCATGGGACGATAAGGCCAAGAAGTTCATTGATAAGTCGCTAAATGAAATGGACGGATGTGAAGTTAAGTTTGAGTTTATTACCAAACTAATCAATGGAAGGGTAGTTCTGGATAGAGATGAAGAACAAAATGCTACTAAATGTGCATTTAGGTACGTTGGGACCTTATAATACTCAATGTTTTAAAATGGAAATAAACTTTACTTCTACAAAACACTAAGTATAACAATATGCCGCTTAACACTGATATTACAGGTGTTTTTATTCAAAAAACGACTATGAGTTCACTTATGGTACGATTTATGACATTTCTGTACGTCCAGACTGCGACGTGCTTGAAGTAAACTGTACCAAAGAGTATGTTAACAGAAGTCCATATAGTGTTCTTCATACTCAAATCTATAGAAAAGAGTAAGCATACTACAACATTTTTACACACTTTTACTTTTATCTTTGAAAATATGTCTAATCCTCTACATTACAGTATCCCACCATTACCTTCGCCTACAGTACAACCCAATGTCTCTACAACAACACCTCCAGACAAAATCGATGTTAGACTACCTCAGAAGACATCATCAAAACCTACAGTTCCTCAAAAGCCTGACGTCCATCTTCTGATTCTGGATTCTGTATCTTCTACACAACTCATGCGATCCATGTCGGCTACAGTAAACTTTCTACGCAATGAGATGGACGCTATCATATTTCCGTATTTAAACAAAGTAGGCATCAACAGCATGCCCAATGCCTATGCCATGTTGATGGGACGTCAGATATATGAGGTAAAACAATCACCTGTCACTAACATTCAGAAGCCAGAATTAAATTCTACTGAGTACTGTAACAAATACTTGGACGATGAGCAATTCATTGGGTTTGAGTTCAAGAGGAAGGGATATAAGACCATGTGGAGTGAGGATTGGGACATGGGAGCGTTCAATTGGTTGGCATGCAAAGGGTTTCTGAGGCCACCGGTCGATCATTACATGAGGTAACATTTAACATCATACCTTGGTAAAACTAAAAAATTTACTATAATATTTTGATCTATTACTAAATTTAATACCTGTAGAATACTGTAATGCTAAAACATAATAACTTTGTTGTATAGTTACCTTGTTTTAGACCCTTCCAACTCCAATTAGAGAAACAGAAGCCTTTCACGATAAACAAGACTTTACCGTCATTCGAGCTCCAGATGAAGACCAGCAACAGTAGTACACTTCAGAAGGATCGTATGTACAAAGATTTGTGTAAAGAACCACACGAGTACCAGATGGACTACTTACAAAAGTTCATCGATGCTTATCAAGATAAGCCCAAGTTCTCGATTACCTGGAGTGCTTACCTTGCTCATGATGATACTAATGCGCTGTATCATGTAGACTTGTACTACAAGAAGTTCTTTAGAAGGAATAGAGAAAAGGTATTATATTTAGTGGCGAGGGGGTAAACTTGGTCTTTTTACGAAAGTGGGGCGGGTTAAAAATATATTTTTTGCTTATGAAGCACTTTCAAATTATGCTACATGAGAGCGAACAAAATGTTACTAGGTATTATTAGGTACACGATACCACTAAAAAGTAAAATGTAACGTAATTGTAATCTTTAGTTCTCCAACTCATTCATCTTTATCATGGGAGATCACGGTAATCGCTACGATAAGATAAGAGCTACAAAGCTCGGTGAAGCTGAAGAGAAGAACCCAGCCTTGCTGTTAACCCTACCTGAACATCTTCGTGAAAACAAAGCGATAAAAGACAGTATTAGCAAGAACACCTTACAATTGACTACTCACTTTGACACTTATGCCACTTTGGTCGACATTGCTCATGTAAGTTAGCTTATATCTATGTTAAAGTACTAGTTTTTAGCTAAAAACTACTATTCGTAAATTTACAGCTATACATAATATTACTGCAAAAATTTAGAACAACTACTCTACAACCTCCACTACGTCAAACTCCACAAAACCTCACAGACCAAGCCATCTAGACATCATCGGAGAGTCATATCTTCACCCTTACAACCTCTCAAAGCCTCGAAACTGTAATAACCAAAGAATATCTTTCGATTACTGTAACTGTCAGTTTAAAGAAAGCCTTGTAAACAACACAGACCTTATCAACAACATCTCCAAGTTCGTGTTAACCACAGTAAACGAAGCCATTGCACGGCACAACTACTCTGACGTATGTTCTATATTAGAATTGGCCAAGAATCATAAGCCAGAAGTATATGAGTTTGAACCGAAAATTAATTTTGACACGTACAAGGTTACTGTAAAAGTAGAACCGAGTGGAGGATTACTGTGGGGTTATGTTAAGGCTGTAGATGGAGGTAATAGTGGATTCAGATTGATTTCTGAGAGATTCGCTAGAATGGATTCTTATCGAGATACTGCGTTCTGTTGTAATGACACTAATGTAAGTGTATATCGTTCGTATATCTCACAAATGCCACAGTAGAGTACGATACTGTAGTACGTAAGAACATGACTTAAGATACTTTATTAGATAGATGTAACCCTTATAATGACATAGTTATTGTTACCTACTCTTTTCAGATACGACCATACTGTTTCTGTAAAGAACTCTTGACAAGACCAATTAGACTTAACTATGTATAACCTAAACCTTCAGTAACGTGCCTACTATCTATATCATCAACAATATCTCTACTTCCACTCTCCAAAAGAATAGTACAAATTTATTTATTTCACTGTAAAGAATGTCACCAAAACCAAAAATTACGGTAGGACGCCGGTTTTTGACCCAATAGTACAGTAGTATACTATTTACTTCTTTCCAGTAGGAGTGTTATCAGTGATAGATGGAGGTCCGCCCATTCCAATGAAAGTCCTCTTGAATCTCGCAAAATCTAGTCCATTGACTGCGGCCAAGACAGCGGCCAAAAGAGTCAAAAGCATAAAGAATCTCATTTCTACTGCAGTAGCTACTGTAATATCAAACAGCTTTTACTGGTAAAACAGCCTTTTATCTGCTTTTATATTACTCTTGATTGTTTTCCTGATCTTTAGTGATTATATTAACATGGATTTGCATGTATTATCTCGGTTTTTGTATTATTATTGCACTGATATGTGTGATCATCGTGTATTGAAAAGGAAAAATACAATCGTTTGCTGCCCATATTGTTCATGATTTTTGGCGTTTTTGAGTGATCAGTCGAATCCTGTGATAAAACATATTTAAAACTACCTTTTACATTATTTTTTTTAATAAAATATTATATTTTTACAATAATAAAGCCTAAAAATAGTTTAAAAATCAGGTTTGACACAGATTTAAGCCATATTGCCACTTATAAACTAACTGTAAATATAATTTGAAAGTTTTTTAAAAGAAAACTATTAAACCCAACGAAACCCCACTCAGAATCAGCTCATAGTTTTTATATAAGCTCTTTGTAACATCAATAGTAGCCATAAAAAATGTTAGCTCGCGCTTTTGTCTTAAAATTTAAGTACTTGAGTTTCCCGCTAATTTGGCCTTGTGTTACAAGCATTTTTTTCAACTTTCCAGACGAGCTACGGTTACAAATTTAAAATTGTAGGTTCGTTTAAAGGTTTTCTACTAGTATATCAAAGAAAAAATATTAAAAGTCAAAAAATGACAAAGTTATAAGCTTCGAACACAATGCCAATTTGACGGGAAATTCAAAACGTAATGTTTTGTTCTCCATGTTTTCGATATTGCCTACAAAGCGAGATTTGTTACTTATATATTTACATAATATTTCAATATAAAAAGTTTGAAGTCAATCATAGCGAGGCAGGTTGGGCACCTTCCATTTTAGTTTATATATCATAATCCAGATACAATAATTAAAAAAAGTCATAACTGCAGTTTTACAAATACATTAGTCAAAGAAACCAATGTTTTGAAACAAAAAAGTATTAACATAACCACAACATCATGCTATAATGACTAAACAGCTATTTTTTGTTGTTATGACCGATCAAAAACTCATTCATGAACCAGAACATTGACAAAACTCTCTAACAGTTCCCCATTCTGCCACTTTCTCTCCTTTACCATACTTATATACCACAATGTCAAACACTTGTTGTCTTGGCATTCTAGCTCTAGTCCAATATTTGAAGATGCGACAGACTTTGTTCAAGGAGTCTTCTCCAGAATACTTGTTTTGAAGACGGTTGATCCTTCTAAAATACGCTGAAAAACGTGCTTTTTGCGTTCTTGTCCACGATTCTGACATGGCATCGGCTACTGATTGTGATAACGATGTGTTTTGATTTGGGGTTTTGATTATGAGATCAAGAGTTGAGCTACAGTCTCCTGGAGAAAAGGACGATGTTTCTGGTTCCGGGACGTCTATTGGAGCTGCGTTAGCTTTCTGAAGATTGACTGGTTAGTGTAGTAAAGTAAAACTACAAAGGATAAGGTTGCTATCAAAAAATAGAGGAAGGCAGAGGTGCCTTATCACAAGATTAGCATACTTTGCCACAAAATTAGGCACCCTTCAAAAGCCTTCTTTTAGGACACGTATGGCCAAGTTTAGTACTAAAAACCTACAAAAGAAATGGCAGAAACCATCTGACCAATAGTGCCGTAATCGCCCAACTTCAATGATAATATAACTTTGGTTGCCCATGGCTGAATAATTAACCATTGATAGAGCTGAACATTAAAGTATTTGCTCCTTGATTCTACTGACAGATTTTTCCTGAATCCATTTGCTAGCTTTTTCGTAAATTTTTTTATTTGATTACGCTGAGATACTGTAGCAAGGCTTGTATCTCCAGCAGCTGTATTCAAACTTGAAATTAATTGACACGGGCTTCCGCTAATAACTGGTGATAGGTTTTGTGCTCTCCAGTACTAAATTTTAACATAATTTTTTCGCAAACAAGACGAGCAACTTACATATGAAGCAGTACTAAACAGTACCCCAACATAACCATAACCGTCGATATAACTGCCAAGCACAACTGCCTTTCTATCATTATCGCTACCCAAGAAATTGGCTATAATAACATAAACATCTGCCAGTTTCGATGAAAGTGCTTTGTTTCCTTTCAAAATCAACCTCAAATCAATTATCAACTTCTGAATATCATCATTGTTTACCACTCTACTGTTTATCTTCCGCAATGTGTCTAACAAAACACAATTTCCATTCGAATCCAGTTCAATAACAACATCAGTAACATGGTACAAAGTATATACAGTAACCTCTTCCAAGTTAGCTACAAAGCCTCTCCATTCGCTGATGTAGATATTGTTGATGGAAGAGGCAGTTGATGGGTAATTCGCAGTAAAAACCAGCAGTTCACCGTAAATGGCAACAATCTTTTGTTTATCAGACAAGCTGGCATCAAAGATAACGTCACTTTGTAGCCTTTCAAGCATCTGAACCCACTGAATCTGTATCGCGCGATCTTCGAATTCAAAAGTCGCGTTATTCAAAGCTTTTAGAAGGTAACAGTAATCTGAATATCCATACTTTGTGCTTGTTACAGAAGAAGAGTTGTGGTTATCCTCTTTAGGACATTGACATTCATTTACAACTTCTTTAGAGACATAGTCTTCGTTAACATATTCACCATCAATCCCTGAACCATCAGCTATTCCTACAAAAACGGTAGATTCTTTGCACTCACAGTCTACCGGACCCGGCCCTTTAAGTCGATCTTCGTTCTTCGCTCCGCCACTCAATAGAATCCCCAAAGATCGTAGTCGGGATTCTGAATCTGCTTCAAAACTGGAGCCTTTCTTCACGAATTGCCCATAAACATCATTTACCGAGCATAGTATAATGAACAGTAAACCCAACTGCATCATAAACAACAATTTAGAAACACATACAAACAGATCTTGCACAAACCCACCACTACACAGTAACCTCGTAGTAAACACATTTCTAAAAGTTTTCACTTTTCAAAGGTTTTTTCATAATTTTGCATTCGTTATCGACCAAAACAGACGTAATAAGTAGCTGTGCGCAGTTTCCGTTTTTCAAACGTTATAATCAATGCAAATCCATCGAAAAACACAAAAATATATAGGTCAAATAAGTATGAATTTCATTTGCAACCTACTACAACATGGTATATAAACCCGCAGCCGAGCCAGCATCCTCACGCTGACTTTGTTCGCGCTGACAAAGTCACTAGCTTTAATTTATAATCATGCAAGCTTTGTCTCTTGCTTTGCTTTTGTGTGTCACAGTTGGGACCACCGCCCAATTCTGCACCAAAGGCAGCAGCTTTGCACAAGACTCAAAGACACGGCAAGGATCGTGCCAAAGCCTGTTCAATGGAGGAGCCAAGAGCCCAGGTGAGGTGAAGGGGCCCACTCCAGGAGAGAAGGGATCCTCCGCTTGTTGTTGTTACGGATCGGGACCCAGCGGTGGTTCCGGAGGGTCCAGCTCTCAACCTTGGGGCGGTGCTACTGAAAGCTCTGAAACCGGGCCTTCTTCTCAATCTACACCTGCCGCCCAATCCACAACTCAAGAAGAAACTGAAGCCACTAGTCAAGCAGCTTCTTCGCCTAGTCAAGCTTCTTCGTCCAGCAGTGCCGGATCTACTCCAGCCTCGTCAACCGGTTCAGGCTCTTGGGAGTCTTCCGGATCTGGTTCAGGCAGCGGTGGAAACTCAGGATCTGGATCAGGAGCATGCACATGCGGCAGCAGTGAAAGCAGCAGCTCCAGTAGCAGTGAAGAATCTGGATCGGGATCCGGTAGTCACGAAGGATCAAGTTCCGGCAGTCACGAAGGCTCAAGCTCCGGCAGTCACGAAGGCTCCGCTTCCGGCAGCCACGAAGGATCCGGCTCAGGATCTGGTGGAAATGGAGGATCAGGAGGATCTGGCAGCTGGGGAGGCTCCGGAGGATCTCAAGGTTCGGGCTCTGGTGGATGTGTATGCGATGGATCTGGAAGTGGCACGATCAGTGGTATGTATGGCAAGGAAGACTTCTGTATCTTATTCCAATACTTCCTTGAGATCACGGTCGAATTGGGAGAAGAATACATTCAAGAAGCTTGGATCGAACTTCTCAATAAGATGCAGGTCGAGATCATCTTCGATGTCAGCTTGACCGCTGAACAGATGGCTGCCGCTGTCTACGGAGAAATCAGCGTCTTCTTCCTCCTCTATCCATCCTGTGCCTCTACCATCAACAACATCTTCGTCACCGAATGGAATGGCTATGTGTTCGACTTGGAAGAAATTGCTGTTGACGTTTCCTTCGAAATTTCTGAAACCATCATTGAATTGGACGCTACTGGAAACTGCGCCTTGTTCGAAGCTCTCCGCAACGCCAGTGCTGGTACCTCTTTCGAAGCCCAAGTCGAGATTTTGATCGCTTCGTTGACCGTCACCATCCAAAGCTCTTCGTCTTTCTCAGTCCAATGTGCTGGTATCTACGCTAAGCTCATTCAGTTCTTTGCTACCTACAGTGGGTCTCAAGCTATTCTTTGCGGTGGCTACATTGAAGGTTATGGCACGGTGTCCATCTTCGTTGCCGTCTCCGGAAGTGTAAGTTTACTTCCAATAGTATGACTGTAACGTAGAATTTCTGTGGTTCTACTAGCCATTTATTCATAGGATTCTAACCACACCTTTATTTCAGTACTGGCGTATTCAAAACTTTGCCGTCGCTGTTGGAGGTAGCGCCAGCTCTTGTGAATTGATTGTTGAACTCAATGCTACTGTGTACAATGTTAATGCTGGGTCAACTTCCGAACGTGCTCAACTCAAGGAGCTTGTCGAAGACTTGGTAACTAACTTTGCTTCCTTGTCAGTTGAAGCCCGAGTAGAGTACTTCATCTCCGCCTTCTACCAGTTCCTGATCATCCAAGAATGGTCGGTCACCATCACATTCGAAATTGAATTGCAAGGATTCGGAACCATTTGCGAATTGATCGCTGCTGAATGTTTCGTAAGTATATTTGTATTTATTGGAATATGATTTCATAAGTTATCATTGAAGCAACCTAAAAATAATAGACCTACCGAAAATTCATTTCAGGGAGGCCAAACTGGAGCTTTAACGACTTCTGCAATGAAATCCTCAACTATGGGTGAAGAAGAGACTTCCCAAGCATCTCAGGCTAGCTCCAAGGCTTCCATGTCAACTACTGAAGAATACGAGACTTCCCAAGCATCTCAGCCTAGCTCCAAGGCTTCCATGTCAACTACTGAAGAATACGAGACTTCCCAAGCATCTCAGTCTAGCTCCAAGCCTTCTGTGTCTACCACTGAGGAGTATGAGACCTCTCAAGCCAGTTCTAAGGCTTCCGTAGCTTCTACTGCGGCAACCCAATCAAGCACTCCTCACGTAACTACAGTAGCTGGCACAACTAAAGGAGCCTCTACTGCAGCTACCACTGCCAAGCCAGGAAACTGTGCCACCGCTCTTCAACTCATTGTTAAGGGCAGCAACAGCAATACTTCCTTGACCATCTCCATTCAACAGAGCTTCAGCACCACCACCTGGACTGCTCAACAGAAAACTAGCTTCTCAGCCTACTTCAAGAACATTATCAACCTACAGGCCCAATACACTGGCCAGACCTGCCTCAACAAGGTCGCTAATGTCTTGCTCAACTGGACCAAGGACGCTGCTTCCATCACAGCCACTAAGAGTGTCCAGATCTACTTCTATGCCTCAAATGTCAAGACCACCTACTGGGGCACTGTCGGCCAATTCTGCAGTTGTGCCACAAGCTAATACTGACCCATATTCTGAATTCCTCACGTTACTTGTTTGATTCATAAGTTTCTAAATAAACATGGCATAAAAAACTGACGTGTCTTCGTAGATAACATAATATAGAAAATTATAATATAGCTAACATAAATTAACATTTAAAAACCTCAAAATAAGATTATGCACTCCTTTTTTTCTTAAAAACAACATTTTTTGTTATAAACCTAAAGAAAAACACCAAAAGAATTAAAATATTAAGTTACAATATAGAAATTAAAAACTAGTTACCAAACCAAGGCTATGAACGAATAATTTCATAAGATCTTCTCCGAAAATACATTTTCTGTAATAAAAAAGAATTTATTGATTCCAACAACGAAAACAATCAACGCCAACAGTTGTTGGAATTCTGCAACAACGACATTTTCCGAAAAACGACATTATTTTAATTTGATTTTTACCAAAGCCTAATGAATTGGAATAAACACTGTGTTATGATCGTTAGTTAGATGTATAATATACTTTTTATGTTATTTGAATGTTATTCATGTTTTTTTTCGTATTTTCATATTGAAATTTCGATTTATTTCTTCTTAGGCCTCATTATAAAACTAAAGTTAGTTGGCAAGTTGATGAGAATAAATTATTAAAGATAAAGTTAAGATTTTGTTCTTAAACTTTTCGTTTGTTTTAGCGGTTATGAAGGTTACACCATTGTCAATTTTTCAGAATCTGTTCAAGAATAGTTGCAGAGGTTCTCTAATTTAGCAAAGTAATAAAAAGCTTTAGAAATCTCGCCAATACATTACAATCCGATGACAGGCACTATTAATATTTTTTAAAATAATTTTAATTTTATCTGCAAAATGTACTTAATTTCATATAACGTGATAGATGACGAATAAAATATAAAAATTAAATTTTATGTGATACTCTCATTAAATTGACTATTATTAGGTACTTCTAAAATTTTATGAAATAAAAAACAATTTCCTATTGTAATAACTTTCACCATAAAACCAAAGTCTGGCAGAAGATTAACAAAACCCTCCCAGAATAGTATGATAAGACCGAGAAGAGCATATGTTAATGAACAACTGACCTGTTTAGTGAGATATTCTGTCGTCTAATCTGATGCAAATCTCCCAAAAACAAGGTCTGCCTATGTTAACATATTATTGGCCGGCAGTATATAAACCCTGCCCAGCATCGTATCCAGCATACTGACTTTGTTCTCGCTGACAAAGTCCCACCCAACTGAGCTTACCTTTCTAATCATGCGCGCTTTCTCTATCGTGCTTCTTCTCTGTATCGCCGCCGGCATCACCGCCCAATTCTGCTCCAAAGGCAGTAGCTTTTCGCAAGACTCCAAAACTCGACAAGGATCATGTGGAACACTGTTGAACGGTGGAGCCAAGAGCCCCAGCGAAGTGAAAGGACCCACGCAAGCTGAGAAGGACGCCGCCGGTTGTCTATGTGGTGGCTCCGAAAGCTCTCATGAATCCCATGAATCCGGTGAGTCCAGGAGCAAACGCTCTGCTGAAGCTTCTGGAAGCGAAGAATCCACCACCGCTGAAGCCACCACTGAAGCTAGTGTTGAAGCCACCAGTGCTTCTGGATCTGAAGAATCTTCTGGATCCGGCTCCAGCTCCGGTAGTGAGGAAGCGTCTGGTTCGGGATCAGGCTCTGAAGAGTCTGGATCTGGTTCTGGCAGCTACGAAGCCTCGGGATCTGGCTCTGGAAGTGAGGAAGCATCTGGTTCTGGCAGCTATGAAGCCTCCGGTTCTGGCTCGGGAAGTTACGAAGCATCCGGCTCCGGCAGCTATGAAGCCTCAGGCTCTGGAGGATGTGTCTGTAGCGGATCTGGAAGTGGAACCATCAGCGCCATCTACGGCAAGGAAGACTTCTGTCTCTTGTTCCAATACTTCCTCGAGATCACGGTCCAATTGGGAGACGAATCCATTCAGGAAGCTTGGATCGAGCTCCTTAACACCATGCAAGTCGAGATCATCTTCGATGCCAGCTTGACTGTCCAACAACAGCTCTCTGCCATCTACGGAGAGATCAGCGTCTTCATGCTTACCTACCCATCCTGTGCCTCTGTCATCAACAACATCTACGTCACCGAATGGAACGGTTATGTGTTCAACTTGGAAGAGCTCGCCGTCGATTCTTCATATGAGGTATCTGAGACCATCATTGAGTTGGACGCTACTGGAAACTGTGCCTTGTTCGAGGCTCTCCGCAACGCCAGTGCTGGTACCTCCTTCGAAGCCCAAGTAGAGACCTTGATCGCTTCGTTGACCGTCACCATCCAGGGCTCCTCTTCCTTCTCGGTCCAATGTGCTGGTATCTACTCTCAACTCGTTCAGTTCTTCGCCACCTACAGTGGATCTGAAAGTATTCTTTGCGGAGGTGAAATCGAAGGTTACGGTCCCGTATCCATCTTCTTGGCCGTTTCTGGAAATGTAAGTTTAATTAACCTAACATATCTTTTATATTGACGTAGTATTAGAATAATATTAACCTTTATGTGCTCTTTCTATAGCAACTTCTTTCAGTACTTCCGTATCCAAAACTTCGCCGTCGCTGTTGGAGGTAGTGCCAGCTCTTGCGAGTTGGTCGCTCAGCTCAACGCTACTGTGTACAACGTCAATGCTGGTTCAACCTCGGAGCGTGCTCAACTCAAGGAGCTTGTCGAAGACTTGGTCACCAACTTTGCTTCTTTGTCAGTTGAAGCCCGAGTAGAGTACTTCATCTCCGCCTTCTACCAGTTCCTGATCATCCAAGACTGGTCGATTACCATCACCTTCGGCATCGAGTTGAAAGGTTTCGGAACCATCGGAGAATTGATCGCTGCTGAATGCTTCGTAAGTGATCGTTGATGTTATATCTGAAACTGCTTTTAATATTCGATAACTTATTTATTTAAACTTACCTTCAGGAACAACAATACGGAGCTGTCAGTACCACAGTTCAAGTTGCAACCACCACCGAAGAAGCTGAAGAAACCACCGTATCTACTTCTAAAGCAACTACCACTGCAGCTACCACCGCCGGTACCACCGCAGCTACCACTGCTAAGCCAGGAAGCTGTGCCACCGCTGCTCAACTCCTTACCAAGGGCAGCAACAGCAACACATCCTTGACCATCTCCATTCAACAGAGCTTCAGCACGACCACCTGGACTGCTCAACAGAAGACAAGCTTCTCAGCCTACTTCAAGAACATTATCACCTTGCAGACCCAGTATACTGGCCAAACCTGCATCAACAAGGTCGCCAATGTCTTGCTGAACTGGACCAAGGATGCTGCTTCCATCACAGCCACCAAGAGCGTCCAGATCTATTTCTACGCTTCCAATGCTAAGACCACCTACTGGGGTACAGTTGGCCAATTTTGCAGTTGCGCCACCAGCTAAACCCAATCCAGACCCTTCCCTTGATCATTGTTTTACGAGTTTCAATAAATGCGGCATACAAATATTTTATTTGGCAGAACATATACCTAAAATAAGAAAAAATTAAAAATAAAAGCTATTTCTCAAAGATACCTTAAAAAGAAGTAAAACTACGTTACTCATAACTTTTCAAAAAAAAGCAAAATTAAAAATATTTATCTAGAGTTAAGTTCTGTACATTGGCAGAGATAGACCTAACTAAGCAAGAAAATGATTTACTTTTTTATACCCTTTTTGAAAAGTTTCTTTTTCAATAAAAATACCATTTTACGACATATTCCAATTCCTCTCTTAAAGGCTTTAAATTTATTGATTATTAAAATGTCAAGGCTTTACAAAATTATTTGAAGCAATTCGAATTCAAATAAACTATTTAAAAAAGTGTATATTGTTCATCACAAAAGTTTTTGTGAAAAAAACTTTCTGTCTTTGAACGAAAGTTAAAACTTGACTCAAAAGTAAGTCTTGACTCCAAATAAATAAATTCGTCTGGAATGATCAGGTCCCCACCACAAACAGGTCCCCCCATCGATCAGATCCCTGCTCAATCAGGTCCCCGCATCGAACAGGTCCCCCCCCTTTAAAAAAAATAAGTAAATTAAATAAAATGGCGTTGCTTTATAATGTTTTGGTACTGTATGGTACTAATGGTACTAATTTTCCACATTTTGTTCTTTTTGCTATTGCATGTTACTAAATAGTACCCATTGGTTATACTAGTAAAATTTTAATATTGTTTCAGAATTTTTGATACTCTATGGTACTACCTATATAAAATGATAAACTTTTAGTATAGTTTCAAAATTTTTAAACCAAATTTAAAAAATGTTGATGTCTTCATCGTATGGTACCAAACAGTTTATATAAAATGTCGAGAACAAATAAAGCATACAAAAAAGAACAAAATGTGGAAAATTAGTACCATTAGTACCATACAGTACCAAAACATTATAAAGCAACGCCATTTTATTTAATTTACTTATTTTTTTAAAGGGGGGACCTGTTCGATGCGGGGACCTGATTGAGCAGGGATCTGATCGATGGGGGGACCTGTTTGTGGTGGGGACCTGATCATTCCAGACGAATTTATTTATTTGGAGTCAAGACTTACTTTTGAGTCAAGTTTTAACTTTCGTTCAAAGACAGAAAGTTTTTTTCACAAAAACTTTTGTGATGAACAATATACACTTTTTTAAATAGTTTATTTGAATTCGAATTGCTTCAAATAATTTTGTAAAGCCTTGACATTTTAATAATCAATAAATTTAAAGCCTTTAAGAGAGGAATTGGAATATGTCGTAAAATGGTATTTTTATTGAAAAAGAAACTTTTCAAAAGGGTATAAAAAAGTAAATCATTTTCTTGCTTAGTTAGGTCTATCTCTGCCAATGTACAGAACTTAACTCTAGATAAATATTTTTAATTTTGCTTTTTTTTGAAAAGTTATGAGTAACGTAGTTTTACTTCTTTTAAGGTATCTTTGAGAAATAGCTTTTATTTTTAATTTTTTCTTATTTTAGGTATATGTTCTGCCAAATAAAATATTTGTATGCCGCATTTATTGAAACTCGTAAAACAATGATCAAGGGAAGGGTCTGGATTGGGTTTAGCTGGTGGCGCAACTGCAAAATTGGCCAACTGTACCCCAGTAGGTGGTCTTAGCATTGGAAGCGTAGAAATAGATCTGGACGCTCTTGGTGGCTGTGATGGAAGCAGCATCCTTGGTCCAGTTCAGCAAGACATTGGCGACCTTGTTGATGCAGGTTTGGCCAGTATACTGGGTCTGCAAGGTGATAATGTTCTTGAAGTAGGCTGAGAAGCTTGTCTTCTGTTGAGCAGTCCAGGTGGTCGTGCTGAAGCTCTGTTGAATGGAGATGGTCAAGGATGTGTTGCTGTTGCTGCCCTTGGTAAGGAGTTGAGCAGCGGTGGCACAGCTTCCTGGCTTAGCAGTGGTAGCTGCGGTGGTACCGGCGGTGGTAGCTGCAGTGGTAGTTGCTTTAGAAGTAGATACGGTGGTTTCTTCAGCTTCTTCGGTGGTGGTTGCAACTTGAACTGTGGTACTGACAGCTCCGTATTGTTGTTCCTGAAGGTAAGTTTAAATAAATAAGTTATCGAATATTAAAAGCAGTTTCAGATATAACATCAACGATCACTTACGAAGCATTCAGCAGCGATCAATTCTCCGATGGTTCCGAAACCTTTCAACTCGATGCCGAAGGTGATGGTAATCGACCAGTCTTGGATGATCAGGAACTGGTAGAAGGCGGAGATGAAGTACTCTACTCGGGCTTCAACTGACAAAGAAGCAAAGTTGGTGACCAAGTCTTCGACAAGCTCCTTGAGTTGAGCACGCTCCGAGGTTGAACCAGCATTGACGTTGTACACAGTAGCGTTGAGCTGAGCGACCAACTCGCAAGAGCTGGCACTACCTCCAACAGCGACGGCGAAGTTTTGGATACGGAAGTACTGAAAGAAGTTGCTATAGAAAGAGCACATAAAGGTTAATATTATTCTAATACTACGTCAATATAAAAGATATGTTAGGTTAATTAAACTTACATTTCCAGAAACGGCCAAGAAGATGGATACGGGACCGTAACCTTCGATTTCACCTCCGCAAAGAATACTTTCAGATCCACTGTAGGTGGCGAAGAACTGAACGAGTTGAGAGTAGATACCAGCACATTGGACCGAGAAGGAAGAGGAGCCCTGGATGGTGACGGTCAACGAAGCGATCAAGGTCTCTACTTGGGCTTCGAAGGAGGTACCAGCACTGGCGTTGCGGAGAGCCTCGAACAAGGCACAGTTTCCAGTAGCGTCCAACTCAATGATGGTCTCAGATACCTCATATGAAGAATCGACGGCGAGCTCTTCCAAGTTGAACACATAACCGTTCCATTCGGTGACGTAGATGTTGTTGATGACAGAGGCACAGGATGGGTAGGTAAGCATGAAGACGCTGATCTCTCCGTAGATGGCAGAGAGCTGTTGTTGGACAGTCAAGCTGGCATCGAAGATGATCTCGACTTGCATGGTGTTAAGGAGCTCGATCCAAGCTTCCTGAATGGATTCGTCTCCCAATTGGACCGTGATCTCGAGGAAGTATTGGAACAAGAGACAGAAGTCTTCCTTGCCGTAGATGGCGCTGATGGTTCCACTTCCAGATCCGCTACAGACACATCCTCCAGAGCCTGAGGCTTCATAGCTGCCGGAGCCGGATGCTTCGTAACTTCCCGAGCCAGAACCGGAGGCTTCATAGCTGCCAGAACCAGATGCTTCCTCACTTCCAGAGCCAGATCCCGAGGCTTCGTAGCTGCCAGAACCAGATCCAGACTCTTCAGAGCCTGATCCCGAACCAGACGCTTCCTCACTACCGGAGCTGGAGCCGGATCCAGAAGATTCTTCAGATCCAGAAGCACTGGTGGCTTCAACACTAGCTTCAGTGGTGGCTTCAGCGGTGGTGGATTCTTCGCTTCCAGAAGCTTCAGCAGAGCGTTTGCTCCTGGACTCACCGGATTCATGGGATTCATGAGAGCTTTCGGAGCCACCACATAGACAACCGGCGGCGTCCTTCTCAGCTTGCGTGGGTCCTTTCACTTCGCTGGGGCTCTTGGCTCCACCGTTCAACAGTGTTCCACATGATCCTTGTCGAGTTTTGGAGTCTTGCGAAAAGCTACTGCCTTTGGAGCAGAATTGGGCGGTGATGCCGGCGGCGATACAGAGAAGAAGCACGATAGAGAAAGCGCGCATGATTAGAAAGGTAAGCTCAGTTGGGTGGGACTTTGTCAGCGAGAACAAAGTCAGTATGCTGGATACGATGCTGGGCAGGGTTTATATACTGCCGGCCAATAATATGTTAACATAGGCAGACCTTGTTTTTGGGAGATTTGCATCAGATTAGACGACAGAATATCTCACTAAACAGGTCAGTTGTTCATTAACATATGCTCTTCTCGGTCTTATCATACTATTCTGGGAGGGTTTTGTTAATCTTCTGCCAGACTTTGGTTTTATGGTGAAAGTTATTACAATAGGCAATTTTTGATATGTTATTGAGTAACCAAAGTATTTTTAGATATTATTGGGGTTGGTAAGGTTATGAGTTTATTTTTCGATGAAGTTTTGACAACTTCCACCTGAGAAGCCGATGTTACAAGCACAAGAGTAACGTTTGAGTGTTCCTAGACAGAGTCCATTGCCAGAACATTGTAACAAAGAGTTGCACGGTGGCTCTACAACAATATGATTGCTCCTTTTACTATATACTCATTTTTTTTTTAAATTAAATTTAAAATTTTTATTGGTTTAACATACCCATTTCACACCGTAACCCCAAGAATCCGAGGTTACAGAGACAAATAGGTAATGACCGTGTACCAATACACAACCCATTGTTGTTACAGTCATTTATAGTGCAGATGTCAAGTGGAGTTGAGGGTAAGATGCCATTACCACTACCCAGAAGCTTCTCGCATCGTGGACCATAGTAGCCCAGACTACATATACAGGTTTCAGCTCCTTTTACTCCAACACACATACCATTGTTGTTACAGTCGGAGGCGTCACACAAGGTGCCAACTACTAGATATAAGGATTGATATTTACTGAGTATTAAGGTTGATGTATTGAGGATATTTTAGGTTTAATAACATTAATGTTACTATAGGACGAGTATTGTCGTGAAAAAAAAGGTTTAACGTACCTTTCTCACAATTTCTACCACCGTAACCCAAATGACATGCACAGACATAGCTCTTCTTTGTACCTACACATAGCCCATGGTTGTTACAATCACTAGCGTCACATAGAGGGTACCATGCTGAAATATAATGGCATGTTCAGTTAGAATGGTATCTTGTAGTTAGAATGTTATTTTATGGTTAGTATTATATTATAATATACTGTAACTGTCCATGGTTTGCTCTGTTTCTTTTTTTTTATTTTAGAGTTGTTTCGAAAGTTTTAACAAAAAAAGTTTTTTTTAACCTGATGTGGCAAGTATAATATGTAGTAAGACCTTACTTTCTTCACACTTTTTACCACTGAAGCCCAGGTTACACATACATACGAACTTGTTCTTTGATCCCAGACATATTCCATTGTTGTTGCAGTCGGAAGATGAGCACAATGTAAGAGGATTGAACGATCCTTTCTGAGCATCAACTGAAATTTTAATGATAAGGTAATGTATTTGATGATAAGCTTTTTATAAGGTGGTTCAACTAATTCTGTGCTCTTTTTAAAGCAATTTTTCGGGGTTAGAGGGCACAGGATTATTTGAACAACGTAATTATATTTTAGTTGAACACTTTACATTAAAGCAAATTGCCAAATTAGGATAAAGCTATATAATGCCAAAAACAATTAAAATTTATTGATTAACAAGTTAGCTAACACTATTCGTATCTTCAAAATCATTTTCTTTTAATTGGCTTAACATTTCGGCTAGCCAGCCTTTGTCATTCTCTATCGTGGCGTTTAGAAGCCGATCCAAGGCCTCAGCCAACTTACGGGTTTCAATGACAGCCGTCTGACACTTGGGACCACTGAAGCCGAGGTAACACAAACAAGTTGGACTGGACTTGGTGCCCACACAGAGACCACGGTTGCTACAGTCTTCTGGGCTACAGGGATCCGTGAAGATTGTTTTCTGCTTCTTGTTCGGCTTCTTTGAGTCTTTGGAGCAGTTGGCGCCAATGTAGCCGGGACTACACAAGCAGGAGTACTTCTTGGAGCTACCAAAACACATTCCATGGTTGTTGCAGACTTTTTTACTGTCACAGGGTTCTGTAGAACGGTTTATAGATTATATATATAGCAATGGACATTAGTGAAGTAAATTATGGATAGATATCATGTCAATATAAAAACTATAAAGAGGTGATATGTGCTTCATAAAAACTATAAATTTCTCACCGTTTTCACATTTTAAACCATAATATCCAGTGTCACAAAAACAGATTGGTGCTTTTTTGAGTCCAACACATTCACCATGGTTGTTACAGTCAGCTCTGTTGCATACCTACAAAAATATTGGAAGAAATACGATAAAATATTATACATAAAATAATAACAATTCGATTTTTTTAAATTTTGAATATTAAAAATAACTAGCATTTACCGTAGTATCATCAGCATGAACAATATATAAAACAAACAATAAACTTAAAATATTAAACTTGTTAAGCATTTTAGGTATAGCAAAGTAAGTACAAACTAGAGTAAAGTAGATAAAAGCAAGATTTGCAAGATACAAATCTGTATGCAAGTTCATTCCTTCACACAGTTTATATAGTTAATAGCAACATCTGAGCAAACATAAGGTCGTGATCATACGGAAGTGGGCGGTGGCAATACGGAATGTTGGTAGGGTCACTTTTGCTGAGGGTACAGTAGTAGATTAGGTCTTTATAAGAAAAGCTATGATATAGACATTCCGTATAACAATCAAATTTTAAATTTCTGTGCTATTTGTTATACAGGAGTTTACTGTCGTAAAGATTAATTTTGCATTTGCACTTTTAAATCACAATTACTTTAAAGTCAACGCCAGGTTTATCTTTTAGTTTTAATTCAGGAAGCTCAATTACAACAAGTTTACATTAGCTTTTTTAAAGAATGAGTGCTAAGTTAGCCTACTACAATATTATTTATTTCATTTTTAAATTAGACCAGAGATTTTGTTTTACCAGGCAGTGTAAACACAATAAGCAATTAGTTACATTTTCTGTTTTATTTACAATAAACTATCAATAATGTAAAATACCATATTAAATAAAGAGATAGGTTTCACATTATATATTAACTTCATAATTACTGTACTTTGCTATCATGCAATTTCATCCTTGACAATGCTCGTACTGTAATTAATCTCTTTCTCTTCTTTTTTACTCTGTTGTCTCAAGTATTTGATACCATTTACTACCACCACGATAGCGAATATGTTGAATGCGATAAGCAATAGTAGACCGCCAATCCAGGTAAAAATGTCAAAAGCCGTTGATGTTTCGAAAATGTTACCTCGGAACAGTTGAAATGGCACTACTACTGTGAAGATCAACTGCAAGTTTTAGGTAAAAAAAGTAATATTTTACTTTATTACCAAAACCAGATTGACTTACCGTAAATACTATATGTACAACATAGCACGGGATGAAGTTGGTAGCTGTACCCACAAGTAAAAGAATAGATACGAAGATACCAATGATATACAGCCATACTAACACACTTTTGAGTATTTCTGTGGTAATTCTTGAGTCATGTTTGAAGATAATTTCATAACCAGCCAGACATACGAACTGGACTATGTCTGTTATGGCCACAAAGGCTGTGTTAGCCTAAAATTTATAGTAATTACGGTTAAAACGGATATGTAAAATTGCAATAGTAGTACGCATGATGTTAGGTATTTTAAATAATTTGTGCTCTCTGACCTCAACAGTTTGAGTTCAGAAAAGACACAGGATTATTTGAACAACCTAATAATAAGATAACACTGTAAGTCGTTTAGCAATTAGTTTAATAGTACAATAAACTGTAATCTTACAGTAGGTTTTCCACATTTGCCGAAACAAAGTACCATCACGATGGGGTGTAGCGTTTCAGAAGTGAATAAAGAATTAAAGCAAGGAATTCAAACGATTACTAATGTCTCAAACACACGATATGTTGAGTCATTTATGCTGTGAAATCATTGAAATTATGAAAAATATAGCTTGGCAATTTTATTATAGGATAACATAAAATATAAAGTAAAATATTATAATATAACACACATTTAAAAAGTAATACCAGATATAAAACAAAGCTCAAAGTCTACAGCTGAGTACTCTCAATACCGTAGTCACTTTTTCTTCTGATCTGTTCTTCTCCTACTTTCAACATATCACTTTCCAGAGTGTCTACGTCAAGTAATACTGGTTCTGCTCTTGTATTACCTTCTTTTTCTTCTTCTTCATTGTTATATTCTTCTTCTTTTTCTTCTTCTTCATCATCTTCTGCATTTGTCGATTTACTGCTGCTACTGCTATTTCTTCTTTCATTCGGTTTATTAACTACATCATCATTTAAACTTTTACTTACTGAAGCTTGACCTTTACCTTTATTTTTCTTATATAAATAGTTTGAAGGTGTAACAACTTCATCGCTGGATTTCAAATCTTGGTTTGACTTTAGGTGATCATCTCTCACAGTAAAATGCCTTTCAAACTTCGACTCATTACTTGCAGTATCTCTTTCATCTGCGTTTTTGTTACTATTGTTTGTAGAATCATCATCAGAATCGTGTTTACTTCTTACTGTAGACCTATTACTGTCAAACTTTAAGTAAGGATCACTAATGGTACTAGCCTCAAAGCCAAAATGGCCATCAGAAGGAGACATTGGGGTCATGAAACAATCTTCGACATCGGATCGACTGCCGTCGTATACAGATATACTTGGCACAACAAAGTTGTTAGTTACAGTATCCTCTTTAGCTTTGGGTTTTACAGTATCATCTTTACTTTTTTTTGTTACAGTAGTCTTCCTAGCTTTGTTCTTTATGCTAGTATTTCTTTTGTTACTCCCATTATCACAAATGCCATTATTTGTAACAGTACCATCATAATTATCATTTACCGTACCACTAGTTCTATAAACATTGGCATTCCGCATTGATAGTTTTCTACTGTAACTTTTGGTTGAATAAGAGTGTATAATGTGTGATGTCTTCTTCGTACATCGCTGTGAATCGTATATTAAACATACTATGGTAAACAAGCTTAGCAGAAAGTATAATATAACAGCGATTACGGCAGCTGCTAGTTCCAACGTTACTGAACCTTTGAATAGTCGGATGACAGTATTAGTCAGTAGAAATACTGTGAATAACAACTGAAAAAGGTAGTAATTATTAGTGAAAATGAAAACAGTAAGTAGGTTATTTAGGTAATAAGTACATGTTATTATACCTTGTCAGTTTTGTTAAAAAAAGTGTCATAGCCTTAAGTTTAATTTGTTAATCAACGCATAAAGCTTACTTTAACTCCAATATACGGTAAGTAAAGCTGCCACACATGCCGTATCCATCCAACAATCAAAACGAAAGTTGTTATCAATGAAAACCAGTAAAATACGGCTGAAAATATTTATTGTGTTAACGTATAAATCATGTTTTATAATAAAAAGATCAAAACCTCAAGAAAAGTACCCCATTGAAGATTCGTTTTACCTTTAATATGAATTGTTGTGCACCTTTCATCCCACCATAAGATTGAAGAGGTTTCTTCAAGTGTAATGTAAAATACAACCAGCAAGAAGGAAAACAAGAAACAATCTTCAACGGCTCCAATAATGGATATTATCTGAAAAAATTACTTTTGTAGGTATCTCCACCTCCAAAAACTGACTTTACTTTTGAGTTTCAAGCAATGTAAAAAAAATTTAAAATAAGGAAGTTTTCTTGTGAAAGTAGACATAGAGGAAGACATGACAACAAAACTGCAGAGATCTATACCTAGCCCAATCTTAAATGAATAACGTCCTGTGAATATTACATTAGCTAGTCACAGAACAGGTATAACATACCTATGATAAGATTAAAAGCCTACCCGACTGAATTCTTTCAAAAAAATTTTAATTTCTTTTTTCATGGCCAAATTACTTTAAAATGAAAATTAAATATACATCTACAATACCTCAAAGTAACAGTTTTAATAGTTCTTCAGTAAAAACAATAATAACCATTTACGTTGTTTCGTAACGCTGTAGCTAAAGCCATGTTCACACGCTGATTCATGGTTTGTATCACATATAAACTAGTATTGTAAGTTTCTTTACATTATGAATAAAGTAGTGTAGTAACTTGTGTATTGTAAAGAAGATAAAGTAAATTAATATACATGTATATATATCACAATGTATTTTACATTTTATTTGATATTAATATCACAAAAACATATGTCACAAAAGAACAACTAAATTTAAAAGCTCTGTCAACACGATGTTATAAAATATAATAACTCTACCCAAGTCCTTTTATATAATGAACATCCTTTGGAACATGTAGAACATACCTATGTATGTTTACAACGTACATATATTACGATAATCCGTAGTGTTCCTACTACATAATACATATACAATAGCCAACAGTATGCCTACTATAATATGTAATAAATGTCCGTCACATTACTCTGCAAACTTTGCTGTCCTTGGAGTAGCCTATGCTCGTGTCTACCACTTCTGCCTCGTGTTCTACTACCGTGCCGCGTATTTGTGGTATGTTAACCTTCTTGGCAATCTCAGGTTCTTTGTGTGGTGCATTAGCATCCAACACGGCGACTGGCGCCCTTATACTGTTTATGGCTTGCTCGACATCTTGTTTCGACAACTGGACGCCTGTTATGTCGGCTGCCAGGTATCTAAACCACAATTCTACTGTATTACATGATATCATTCGACAACATTGTATAATATTATGCTTTATGAGGAGAGGGGAGGGGGTCAACTAAAAGAAGAAAGGCGGGGCAACTTATACTGTTAGTAAGATACCTTACTTAAAAGCCAGATCAATGGAATCTCCTGTTTTGGCTGATACGTAATGTGAAGCCATGTTGAACTGATCAGCTAGTCGACTGTGCTTGTCAATTCTGATGGCTCGGCGATGTTCCAGATCCGTTTTATTACCCAGTAAGGCTAGTTTCGTGTTCTAAAATAACATAATTGTTATTATGCACCATTCCTAATAACTCAGTTATAAAATTATACCGTTTCCTTACAGAAATTGCCACTTATTTTATGTTTTAAATCTATAATACTATACCTCGACTTGATAATTACATTACCCTACCCTTTCTTAATATTTTTTCAATTAAAATAAGTTTACCTTTTCCTCGTGTTTCAATGCCTTTTTTACTGCAGTAACCCAATCTGTTATACTGTCAAATGTAGCTGCGTTTGTGACATCGTATACGAAGACTACACAGTCAGCATCGTATACGTATTTACTCAGCATATTGGTCGACAAACTTTGGCCTCCAACATCCCATACCTACAAATGACATTTGTAATTACATTTTCGACAAAGACTTGCTACATTACTGAAGCAGTAAACATGGTAACAGACAAGAAATGAACCACGAATATATTTTCAATGTAATATTACCTGACATAACACATTGTCTTTGGGCAAGTCGAGTCGTCGACTGTAAAAGTCTACTCCCAGTGTCTGAAAACAAAGTAATGTAAACCTTTCAAAAGAGTAAGAAGCATTTCATAATAACCGTTTCTATAAGCCTACAAATTAAATTAACTTAGTAACTTCAAACGTCCTTAGCACACTCTTAGGTACCTACCTGAGAATATTTCCCACTAAAATCTCTTTGAGCAAATCGAGTACAAATAGACGTCTTTCCACTAGTACCATCGCCCACTAGTACTAACTTGATAACCTTCTCTGGGCTATCTTCATCTTTGTCTTTCTTTACACTCCTCAACATCTTCACCACGTCGTCTTCCTTAGGTTGTTCTGGAGCTGAAGGTCGCGGAGAGTTAATATCCGGCTTTTCCTCTTCGTCCGACATGGTTACAGTACTCTCATATACTATGGTTTTAACGATAAACGCACTTTTCCAAATATAAATAGAACTAAAGTATAGTATAGTAAACAGCTAGCTTTAATCAACTGATTACACTTTTAATTAGTTGTATATACAGTAATCACGACAATAGAAGTTACTTTACTCAATACAAATTTATCTTTAATTGTTTTGCAATACAAACAACAGCACTAGAGTGACAATAAAGTCAGCTTTGTAGCAGAAACAGAAATAAATTAATGGAAAAGCAGCCTGAAGCCTTATGAATGTTCGTATCTTATACATCAGAAGCCGGTTACCATGGAAATAAAATATTCCCATTTTGTGCCAAGTTAAGTGTAAGAATTAGCTGTGCATGAATATTCACGTATCTTATAAACATCTTACTGTATGTTTCTTTCTAAAACACGTGTTTCAGGGCCGTTTTACAGTATACTATATCATACGGCCGTATAATATTTTTTTAAATTTGCATTACTGATTACTGTAATAACTCAGAGTTACAAAAAATATATGCTTTCAATTGTAAAAGTTATTTATTAACAAGGTTAGTATAAAATTTTTAAAAAGTTATAAAATGCTTTAAAAATGCAATAACAACGTGGTAACCACAACAACAATACTAGATGTAAGTTAAGACATGACAAGATCAAAAATGTTATAAAATTGTTCCAAAAGATAACGGACAAATTATGCCCCCCAAAAGTAAATTTTAAACAATCTTTAAAACCAACTCTAGTGCCTATACAATAAAAAGTATAAAACAAATATCAAAAATAATAGACACTTCCCCATATGCACCCTCAAGGACTTCCGTCGTCGCTCTCGTCATAGTATTCTGGCAGTGACTGTGTAGTTCGTTCATCAAACGAGTACCTGAATTCATTTTCGATTTCAGCCGTAGGCAACGAACATGGTCGAGGAGAGCTGGCGGGAGTAGATACTGTAGAAGGCGGTGCTGTCGACTCCTCTTCTTCAAACCCTTCATGATCATTCCTACGTGGCAGTGGCCCTAAAGTACCTTCGTCTAGGTTGAGGTAGTAGTCGGCGCCTTTAAAAATGTTCAAGTTGGGTGGAAATTTGGCATACATGAAACCTGGAAGAAAAATATAACCATAAACACGTAACAAGTAATATATTAATTCTTGTTACAGAAATGAAAAAGTATCTGTCGTCATATATAAATACCGTCACACATTATATTACAATTACAAAAGTAATGCTACCAAGACGCACCTTCTAACTTCGAAGCTACAGAAATAAATTTAGTTTCCCAAAATTGTGCCATTTGCTTTTGTGCCTTCTGAATCTGATCTACAATTTCATCGCCATTCAACTTTTCGATATCATTTGTGTTCGGACTGCTCGCTAAATTACATTGAGAACTACTTGGCTCTGTACCAAGCCTCTGACGTTTTGCTGGCACTTCATCTTCATCATGTGTATCAGAAACGTTACTTGCACATTGCACACCATTTATTGTATCTTCTTCTTCTGTAGCACACCCTTCTTTTTTACTATTCTCAGTAGAGGCGCCGCCATCTTTTCTAAATTCTTGAAGAAACTCTTCAGAAGGCAACACTTTCAGAGCAATTTGTGTTCCAGTCGTTTTTTCTTGGTCAATTAGACTTTGGAGCTCAGGTACTCTTTCCACAAATGCTTCCCTGCTTCGCAGTTCTATAATACGTAATTTTATTCTACTCGTTTTCAAAACCTACGTTTCAAATCGTCTTATTTTTACGAAAAAGAAAGCATTAACGCCTATCGTACAATACTCTAGATTTCGTTCACATCCTACTACAAACTCATTACTTTACAGAACCTATTACACTTACCATTAATCATCGTTTCCCTGATCCGTCCTCCCATCGCTGTTGCCAAAGCCATTATAATCTCGTCGCAATCCCCAAGTAACTTAATATCAGCGTCGTATGTACGTATGTCCTCTCGGTTTATCAGAATTTGAGGAACATCCTCTTTCACATGATGAGGTATTTGGGAGACAGGCTGAACACGAAGAGAAGACCCAATGACAACTACCAGGTCCACTTGGTCAATATCTTCTCCCATTTGATTGTGAAATATTTCTGGTAAATCTTCACCAAAAAATACAATATCTGGTTTTATCACACCTTCATTGCATTTTTTACACCTAGCGACTCTTTGTGCATAAACATCATCCTTAATATCGTCACTAACGTATTTTTCTTTACAATTCAGACAAGTGGCAGTGGCAAAAGATCCGTGACATTCGATGACGTTGTTAATGCCAGCGACCCTTTCTAAAGTATCTATGTTTTGAGTGTAATTCCTCAATAACTTGTGCCCTTGTTCCAAAAATCTAATGAACATGTGTGATATACTAGGCTGATACATTCCTGGAAATATTTCTTTGGCAAATGAAAAGAAAGGTTCCGGTCTTCGTCGGAAGTATTCAATATCAAACATTGAGGTAGGTCGAGGAAGATCTGGAAACGTTTGTTTTAAGGTCGCGTAGATGCCTGTCGAAGAACGAAAATCAGGAATACCACATGATACTGAGACGCCAGCGCCTGTTATTATCATTATTTTCTTCGCATCTCTAAAAAATATGTAAATTTACCATTAAATCTTTCTTAAAGATTACAATCGCTATAATAAAATTTGGCTTTCAAATATTGTTTTAAAATAGCCAATTTTTTAAAATCCACTACGCGATAGCAAAAAAAGTCTAAAAAATCAAAGAAAAAAGCAAGATCCACATACTTAAACAACTGTACAGCTTGCGAGAAGTCATGATATTGTGGTAGTCTTGACCTGAACATTTTTTCGTCTAATAATTCGAACAGAAGTCTAAACAACACACTAGCAGGTAAATCCGTAGGTACAGTACACCCTTCTGGTGCAAGCGACTGTAAGATCTGATATGGAGACAAGCCCCTAGCCATCATTTCGTTGATAAACTTGGCATTCGGCCCATAACTTCGCCGCCAAGCAAAAGCCGGCTCTCCACTCATATCTATCATCTGTTTTATTGAGCCTACGTCCTTTTCCTTATCTTCTTTTATCAACGAGCATTCTGGGATACTCACTACAACAATATTGTAATAAAATAGCCATAAGCAAAGTTAAACTGCTAAAAATAACCTAAGAATATGCTTATATACATTTATGAGCATTTGCTTAATACCTAAAAAATAAAATAATAAACCTTTACCTCCTTCTTGATCCTCTTTATTGCTACTCGAATTCATCCCTGTTTTTAATAGTTAATATTATCAAAAATTATGTGATTACTTACGAAAATATATTGTGGACCCAAGTCTAAAAATACTATTATTAAACCAGTTTCTAATTATTTTAAATATTGTGAAAAGAATAACAGAAGATTAATATAAAAAGCTGGTGTAAAATTTTATTAGAAAAAGAAGAATATTAGTCGCGACATAACGCCACTATAAAAATTTTTTGCTAATTTGGCGGGTTTTTAAGTTGGAATAATAAAGTCATTTGATAGTAGAGATGTGTTGTGGCACTTCGTTATAGCAAAAAAAAATAAAAAGAAGTTTTATTTTCATAGACAAACACGATAGAAGGAGATGGCACAAGGTAATGGAGAAGCCACTGAAGAACTTACTGCTAATGGGGTAATAAATGATAGTGAAGCTACTAATGATAAGGTAGTAACCAATGATAACGGAGAAACGGAAAATAATGGAGAAGCCAATGGTAATGGAACAACTATTGATAGTGCAGCAACGAATGATAAAAATCAAGAAATAAGAAAGGAAAAAGTAAGTAATTTGCTGTTTTCGGATTGGATTTTAGGTAGAATTGGATATATATTAGATTTGTATAGTCAATGCTTTGGCCTGAATGTTTCACATTAGAAATATCAAAAGTTTGTTTGGCCGAAGGTTTTGAAAATCTTTTTTAACTGTAATATTAAGACGTTCTTTATAGCATTTATGTGAAACGAAATAGTGAACGGAATAGGACTTTGAATTATGGTACATATTTTGTTTTAGCGGCGTAGGAAGCGAAATACTAAAGCAGGCCGAGCCTTGATGGGCGTAGGAAAAATGTTGGAGCAATATCGTCAGCTGGCAACAGAAGGAGGGAATTTGGACATAGATGATAATGAAAATGGCAACATAGTGATTGGAGGATCTGAACTGACATTTGAATCTTGGGGCCAGATGACACGAACGAACGACGACGATATAGTGAGAGCAGACTTTGTGCCTCCAAGTCAAAAGAGGAAGAAGCTGAATGTCAGTCCAATACAATGGGTACATTTGGGTAAATCTAAGGCTGGTACAAGTGTCAATGGTAAAAAGAAGGACAGTACAGATGATGTAAGTTTTTTATGTTTTAATTGGAAATTTAGAGTTTGGAGTTTTTATAATGTCTTACATGGAGGTTTGTGTTTTTATGATGGTTTTTTTGCAATGTATAATATTATGTAAAATGAGTTGTAAAATACGTATTTCAGAAAGACGAAGGAGAACTATCAGATTCAGACCAATCAGACGACTCTATGTCTTCAGATTCAGACGACGACGCTCCAAGAAGGCATAAACGTAAGAAGCGACGACAACAACAATATCAAGCACCCGCTACTCAAGGCAGCATGTCACTACAAGAACTGTTTACGAAAGCCTACAAGATCAGAGATGTGGTGGTACAAAGCTTTAGTTTAAACGAGAAAATGACATTCCTGAACGCGGTGCGACAAACCTAACTTATTGTATTAGTGGAACACATGGTTATTTCAGACAATCTCTACTTTTATATGTTTTACATTGTTATAATCTGTTGTGATTAAATTATTGATTCTTTTTTGTTTGACTTTTGCTAATATCGTTTGAAGAACGGTAGATTATACTTGAATTTATTTTGTTATTGAGTTTGGTTTTTGCGTTTGCAAGGTTTTCTTTAATATTAGTCTGAGTGGCGAATCGATACATAGATTTTTTTAAATAAATTTAGGTTTTGGTAATTTATATTAATTCTATGTTATAGTATAAAGATGTCAGCGGATTGTTACGTAGGAGCGGCTACAGGTGCTTTTAAATGTAAGTTTTTTTTCTTTGGAACTGTTAAGCAGGCGATTATTAGGTATATTCAATCACTATGGTTTCTGTCAAAAAGATACAGAATTTTGAGCAGTTTCATAAACAAGGCTTATAGATTTTAGTAATTTAGTACAAAAGGTAGTATTTTTTAATTTAAATTGTTATAGTGATCAACCTGAAGGAGAACAGGTGCACGAATGTTCAGAATCTGGAAAAGTTGAGGCCGAAAGAGCATTCGATTGTTGGGATGTGTTTTGGTGATGATTCTCAAGTAAGTTACTATCATTTTCACATATTTTTATTTTAAATACTTTTGTAATCATAAAATCTAGATTAATGTGACTTATACTGTAGTTTTATTTTTTTTATGTACCTTTTTGTTTGAATACTGTATTTTTTGAATTTAGAGTGAAATCTTGGCTTTGCAAAAGAATGGAGATGTAAACTTGTACAATACTGTAACCGGTGGTCATACACGGTTATTTGAAACCGGCACTGATTTTGAGAAAGAACCCGCCAAGGCTATACAAATGGCTGCTAAGTAAGTTGGTTTTGATTTATTTTAGACTGGGTATGTTATATGTTTTATAAGGTAATACCTCGTTAAATCAGTACAATATTTTTGTTTGTAAGTCTTACAAATTAAGTCACAGTTTAATGTAAAATACATTTTTAATAAAAATATTTTGTAAAATGTACTCTTTTCAGTCAGAGGATAGTGATAGCGAAAGAGAACGGTAATATCCAGCTATACAATCAAGATGGCACACCACAAACTGAAAATGGCATTGAAGCTGGCGTTAACCTGAACTTCTTAACGGTCGATCCAAAGGACAGAGGACGAGCGATAACTGGCGGAAAGGAGAATATACTAAAGCTGTGGGATCTGGAGAAGGGAACGACTACTTGGTCTATGAAAAATGTAGGTACAACTTTTGTTTTACAATTTTTTGTTTTGTAAAATAGGTTGGATGAGGATTTACTTTTTTACGTAAGACACATAGGTATAAACATGACACTAATTATTATGTGATCATAAACGTTTGGTTTTAGTTGAAAGACGACCGATTGAGTCTACGGGTACCTATTTGGGAAGCAAATGGAAAGTTTGTCAAAGATCCCAGTTTAATATGCACAACTACAGGTCATCATCAGGTAAAGAAGTACTATAAAATGCCAATATAAATTGGTATATTTGCTTATCATACGTTTTGGAAAAGTTTTTTTGCATGATATTACCATGGAGTATATTTTGCTTATTTAAAAAAAAGCCGAGTTTCATAAAATTTATTTTTAGATACGTTTGTACGACCCAAAAACGCAGCGAAAGCCAATTATGATGTTGGACTGGCAAGAAGAACCTATCAGAGCTTTGGCCACATGCCATCGACCACAACATGTCGTTGCTGGTAATAGTCATGGAGAGTTGGCATTGTTCGATTTGAGAGGAAAAAGTAGGTCATATTACTAAGTTTTGTTACTAATTACTAAATTTTGTTTATAATATAATTAACTTTTGGTACTGTAACATAATGGCACTGTTTCAGTGAAACCAGTCCACAAATTCCGTGGAGGCGCGGGCGCAGTTCGCTGCATTGACGCTCATCCGACTGAAAAACTGGTCGCATCTGTTGGAATCGACAGGTTCATTTTGGTACATGATGTTGACACAAAGAGGACATTGAACAAGATCTATTTGAAGGCTCAACTGAACACAGTCCTCATGGCCAAGATGAATCAGCTGACAAATCCAATTAAAGAAGAACCTGATGCCGTGACAAAGTTCTTTGAAGGCTAAGATTCAGTCGAATATTGTCATATTGTTAACTTGTTTTTGTTATTTGTTACTTCTGTTATACAAATTAAAATTTTAAAACTGAAAAACTACATTATTGTTCATTGATTTTGTAGCTTTTTAAATTTTTATTGATTTATACGTTAAAATGTGTTGTGTCACTATATAACGTGTAATATCTAGTTCATATACGCAGCGTATGCGTAGTATGAAATGCCCATGTCGTTTCTGTTTCTACCACATCTGAAGTATCCGCCTTCTCACTAACCAGTACCCCATGAGTTCTTGACCACCCAATGATCTTCAGTATCAGTACCGTACCCAACCACAGTAACAGCATGAGTAAAGTTATTAAAAGCCGAGTGTATAATTCCTCCTTGATACATCTTTAAAGGTTCTGCGTCGATGTACACCACCAAAGGACCGTTAGTGAACAAGGTTTGCTTCATGGTCTCTTCGTTCTTAGCAACTTGATCCAGGTTGTCCACTTTTGTCACTCCAGGCTTCTCTTCGCACGGTGGAATGGGTTCTTTGTTGTAGACAGTGTACGGGTAATCTTCCCAACTGGCTATTGTGTGATTCATAAAGTATGCGATGACTTTGTCGGACCATCCACTTTCACAACCGTGGTTTGGGTTGTTGTAGGTACAGGAGATGACCTGCTGCACACTCAGATCACGTAGCTCGCCGTGCCGAATAGCATGCATACTTTCGATACAAGCTACGGCGAAAAAGACGTAGCATGACCCGCAACGTCCTTGGTCTTTGACACCAGTCATTTCCTTGACCTCTCCAATCATGGTCTGGGGGTGCATTGTCTTTAACAGGAGTTGGCTTTTTGGAGGCTGCAAAAATTTTAAGTTAGATTTTTAATTTTAGTTTATGAAAATAGAGTAAGGCTGTTGTTCAAATACTTTGATTTTTTTGGCTTACTCTTTTTAGAAGATTGATAAAGAGCTTTGTTGATATTCAGATTAGCCTAATATCTATGAAACTCTTCTGAAGTCAAATCTGACAGCTTTGTCAATCCGTATTGAGCTTCTGGATTTGATTTTTGATATTTTTCAATTTTTCTCAATGGTTCTTTTACAATATTGAATCTGAATTTGACTTCAACTTCGCTACTGTAAGTCTTTTTGTACCTAAAATCAACAAAATCAGTGACTAAACTATGTTATTCAGTATAATAGTATTGGCAGCTTTAAAAGCTTTCAAGTTTTTTCTGTGTTTGAAGCAACTCACTTACTTGATAATATGCAAAAAGAATTTTTGTAGTCTTCACGGTCTTCTACAGTAACATTACAACCAACTTTAGAAGCCAAAAGTACAGCTGTCTTAGTGTCCTGACCTAACTCTTTGAAGCTTGACAGTACATGAGTAACATCTTCCTTGTCTGAAAAGTTTAGTTTATCAGTATTTAAATTCTTTTCGACAACAAATGCCAAAGTAAAGGCTACAGAGAGTAGAATGAGAAACTTTAACATATTAATGTTGCTGTTTCTTATTCGAACCTTTTATTTATACCTAATTTTGACAATAAACATGTTTGTTTGTGGAGTACAATACCGGATAGGTTTCCGGACCTTCAGTTCATGTATCAAACATTTTTGTCGTTAAAACATGAAATTTTTTGTTTAAGGGTTTTGGTGTCGTAAAGTTACACTTGAACTAAACTAACAATAACTGGTCTAAATCGTTATCAGTTGTGGTTAAACCGTTTTCCAAATATTTCAAAAGTTAAATTTTAAAAATTTAACGGCATCTTTATTGTTTACATAATGTTTGTAGACAAATTTAGTTTTTTATTGTTTCTGGATAAAAATCGGAGATTTACACCGCTACAAATATGTTTGAACTTATAATAAAGATGTTTTTATAATAAATTAAATTTATTGTTTAATTAAGACAGTTGCTGCATAAAAGAGAACAAGAGAGGGGGGGGGGCGGCAGGTTGTGAAGTTGCCGTTGCAAATTAAGTTCACTTGTTAAAGCTGAAGTGCACCCGACATAATGAAGGGCGCGTTAATCAAATTCAAAAAAAAAGTCAGGGAAAGAGGTTCTCGCGGCTTGGCCACTTTTTGTTTACGTTTCAGGAGGCGTGGCGTCGCAGAACAAAGACCTTAACCGCCGATCGGAAGAGGCATGGCCAAGTTAGTCTCAACCGAAAGAGTTAACGGAAAGACTAAATGAAGTGAGGAGTGGCCAGCGCAGGTGGGCATCCGGAATCCAGGCAACGGCTTAGGTCAACTTTTATCTAACGCACAATCACCGCCCTGGCCAAGACGTTTCGGCGTGATGGGTAAGTCATAAGACCAATTAATTGATCAGATAACTTTCGGCTGGCCACTTTAGGTGCCCGGCCGACTCATTTAAGGTAACCCGTGCGACGGAGGCCGGTACTTATCGTACGGTATAGGGAGGGGGATAGGTAGGGGTGTAGTGCCAACGTGTGTAGGCAAAAACCTGACATTTTTTGAGAGATCCGGTCTACAAGTTTGTAGAGCTATGTTGTCTTTCTTTTCAGAGAAATTTCACAATCACTTGTCAACCCCTGAACATGTCCCCTCAGAGACATCAAGAGAAACCGAATGGAGATGAAGGCCAGGATTTGGCACGTCCTGGAGAAGATGGCCTTGAAGGTCATGGTTTGCTGGGTCAAGATGAGGCTGGAGCTGATCATGATGGAGACGTTTTATTGGGTCAAGAAGAAGAATTTGGTCACCGTGTGATGGCAGCTCACTTGCCGGAGCTGCAACTGGAAGGTAAGTGGTTTCAACAGTCTACGCTATTAGCGCTTCAACCGTTTTGTCCCCGGCTTCCGTTTTATCCCCGGGCCCGTTTTGTCCCCGGCCCAAAAAATTATTCAATATAATAGTATCATTGGTCATTTTAGACCAAGTTTAGGACGTACAGTACAAAAAATACAGAATTTTATTACAGAGACAAGACAAAGAACATGTTGACGTACTTCTCATGCTGGACCTCCTTCCCTGCTACACATCACAATGCCTAAAGAAAGAAGTAAAGCAAAAGATTGACACATATTATGCAGTTTAAATATAGCATACTAAGTAGGATAGGGTATGGTATGTCACATAAGACGAGTACGATGTAGTAGGTAGCATAGGGTATGGTTTGGCAGGGTTAAAATATAAAGTGGTAGGGTTGGGTAGGGTTGAAATCGGTTGGGGTAGGCTTAGAAAAGGCTAAAACAGCCAGGGGTAAGGTCAGGGCGAGGTCGGGTAGGGCTATAAGTACTATATTTATAAAAATAGTATTTTTTGTACTGCACGTTCTAAACTTGGTATAAATTGACCAATGATACTATTATATTGAATAATTTTTTGGGCCCGGGACAAAATGGTGAGAGTGCGCAATTAGGCACACTGCGTGATGCAGACGTCAATTATTGGTAAATTTATGGTTTTTAGACTTTACCTCCTCAAAGCTGACGAGCAACGAGCGAGAGATCTCGCTGAAACGCGTATCAGAGTGGAGATTATCGATACAGGGGCCCAGCCGCTTCCCCGCCGCACATGGGGTGCCCACAGACAGTTTGAGGGCGGCTCGAATTGGACGAAGGCTGACTTCTACAAAAGGCTTGGCTTCGTAAGTACCTTTTACTGTTAAACCATTTTTTTTAATTTCAAGGGCCTAAAAGATCCCAAAAATAACCAAAAATAATTTTACAGGTCGAATGTCTGATGAGCGCCTGAGGTGCAATTACGTAAAACAGCACGGTGTGCCAGCGCTGTCAGTGGACCCCAGACTTCATGGAGCACGCGACAGATAGACGCACGTAACTCAGCGCAGCTGTTATCGTAATTTCGATGTATGGCTTAGGCTACAGAATGGCACAGAGGAGCGTGTCATGAAGGCGGCCGACTACACCGAGTTGATGATGGATCTAACAACCGATTGGACCAAATGAGGGGTCGATCGTAACCACTCGCTGCTACCAATTAGCAATATGAGTCGGTCTTACTGGATCTGATATCCTAGTAAAGATACGGGGGCAAGGGGGGAGGTCAAATGGGGTTTCTAGAATAAATACCTAATATAAATACGACAATGTATATGAGCACGTGAAATATACAATAAAACAATACAAAAATCGGCGCTGATGCAAAAAAGGGGATCCGGGAAAGGAGGGGTCGACCGAGCTGCGGACGTCCTGGAAAGGTCGAAGCGGTCGGCTTATATACCATGGCCTGGAGGCGGTCCTTGACCCTGAAAGTGATAGGTAATGAGTAATTATCACTGTATTCTGTCTGCTGCGTTCTTGATCGCGCATGTTCTTCCCCGAGAGCCGCTTCCTGATCCTGCTTTAGGCGCGATGAGTCAGGATTCGGCCATCGGCTAAGGCGCTGTACTGGTGAAAAGTCACCTTAACTAACTTTAATTATACGGTAGCGTCATTACTCAATGTTTTCAGCGCTTACCGTTTGCTGGATTTAAGTCACGACATTCCACCCGGAATGTCACTGTTTGATAAATTACTATATTATAATATTGGGAGCCTTAAAGTGCAATGTTTACAAGAAAAGTACCCAATCTGCTTCGCTCAGAATCAGCTCAAAGTTTTTATATAAATTATTTGTACCACCAATAGTATCCATAACAAATTTTAACTCGCGCTTTTGAGTGTGGGGAATCTAAATATTTGAGTTTCTCACCAATTTGGCACACTTGGCATTGTGTTGCACATCTTTTTTCGATGTTCCAGATACGGCAAACTTATAATTTTAGGCCCACTCAAATATTTTCTCCTGGTATAATATATACTGTATAACCAAAGAAAAAAAATTAAACGTCGAAAAATGGCAGTTATAACATTGAAACACAATGCCAATTTGGCGGGAAATTCAAAAGTTTTAAGTCAATCGGGAACGTGAAGTAAACTCTTATATTTTTTATAAATAAATAAGGTGTTTTACAATTTAAATCATTTTTTACACTATTGTTTATTAAAACTAAACAAAAAATATAAAATTGTAGATCTATGTAAATATGGTATGCTAGTTAATTGTCAATGTAAGCGGCTAATGGTTGTTCTCCAATGCCTAGATCATTTTTATTTCTTCCAATTCTAGCATAACCATCGTCTCCCCAACCAGTGCCCCACGAGTTCTTGATCAGCCAGTGGTCTTCAGGTTCGAATCCATATCCAACTACAAGAACTGCATGGTTTAATTCTCCATGTTCACCATGCATGATTCCTCCTTGATACTCCTTTAATCGTTCCCCGTCTATGCCAACAACGATAGGACCGTTGTTGAATACTGTGGATCGCATGACTTCTTCATCAGCGTCCAGCCATCCAGATCGATCTAGGCTTGTGACGCCAGGCTTCGTTTCGTCACACGGTGGCATTGCCTCTCCGTTTCCAACAACATATGGATAGTCGTCCCATCTAGCAATCTCATGATCAGTGTGGTACTCGAGGACAGAATTTGGATCTCCGCCACCACAACCTTTATTATTACCACATGATAGTGATTGCTGAACGCTGAGGTCGACCAGCTCGTTGTGACGAATAGCGTGCATACCTTCAATGGCACCAACAGCTGCAAAAGCAAAGCATGCACCACATTTGACTTGGTCTTTGATACTAGTAACCTTGCCTTGTTCTCTCCAATCGTGATGTTGAGGTAGGTCTTCTTTAATGGGAGCTGCTTTTCTGGTCGCTGCAAATTTAAAATTAAAATTTTATTTAAACAAATTTAAAAAAGATTTAAAAAAACTTTAAATTGCAAATATTTGGAAGGTAGAAAAATGTTATAATACATGGGCTTTGGTCTTCAAACTTACAATTTTTGGAATTCAGACGAGCGGCTTTGTAAGCTTTGTAATCCAAATTGGCATAAGATCTGTGGAACTCTTCTGAAGTCAAGTCAGACAGCTTTGTCAATCCGTATTGAGCTTCTGGATTTTCTTTTTGATATTTTTCAACTTTTCTCAATGAATCCTTCACAACATTGAATCTGAATCTCACTTCTGCATCGGTACTATACGTCTTTTTGTACCTAAACGTTTGCAGGTATAAAATTAAAATTTACTTTTAAAAATTATATTAAAGTAGGTAAGTTACGTTGTTTCTAATTATATCAGAGCTTCCCTGGTTTAACAGAACAGCATTTTTTATGAAACTTACTTAATAATATGTAAAAAGAACTTTTTGAAGTCTTCATGATCTTCTAAAGTAACATTACAACCAACTTCAAAAGCCAAAAGCAGAGCCGTCTTAGTGTCCTGACCTAACTCCTTGAAGCGTGACAGTACATGAGTAACATCTTCCTTGCCCAAAAAGTTTAGTTTATCAGTATTCAAATTCTTTTCGACTACAAAAGCCGAAGTAAAGGCTACAGAGAGTAGAATGAGTGACTTTAACATCTTGATGTTGTTGATGCATATTCAGAAGTTGTATTTATACTAAGATCCAGAGACAAACATGTTTACTTTCGGAGTACAATACCGGATAGGATACCGGATCTGATATTGTTTTATTGGACCGTCTCGACGTTAAACATCAAGAAATCGTGTTGTTTTAGGTTTTTGATGTTTTAAACGTTGCATTTTACTGATTAGATGTTTTTTTATCTGTAATAGTTTAACTGATATTGTTTTTAGCTCTAATTCTTTGAAAATCAACAATTTTAAATAAAATTACAAAAAATAAAAAAGCTAAACGTAAATTAAGGTTTTTTTCAACTGATAGATTTTTTAAAGAGGCCGGGCTAAAAAGGTAAGCCTAGTCCGCTGGGTTAGGATTGAAAATTAGGCCCAGGCTTAAAAATATTTTTTCAGGTTTTTACCATTTCTTATTTCTTTCTTGTTAGTGTTTTTTTTATTCTGTTTTATTATTCTGTTACAATCACAATTTATATAATCAGTGCCGAGCGGGGACTTGTGGTCTGGGGGCGGGGGTTAAAAAATTTTTTTCCAAAAATCCACAGGAAGGCCACGTTCAACTTTTTTCGAAAATTTTGTTTCATGGTGACCCCCTGTACACTCCCGCCTGGCCCTGTATATAATAGACCGCGCCGGACCGGTCAGGGAAAAAAATAAAAATTGACCGGGTCATGAGTTGGGCCTTAAAAGAGAGCCTGGTCCGGCCTGTTTCTCATTTCTACATTTTATTCATATAACAAAAATATATTATGACAAATTTTTTGCTTTGTGTTATGTTCGGGGCCTGTCAGGAATCATGTAAATTGAATTTTTATAACGATGTAAGAAATATTATCAAAGAATTTGTAAAAATGTAAAAACAGTCTGGCTAAAGATTAATTGCCACGTTTATAAAAGTAAGTTATTGGTCCAAGCTTAAAAGATTAAAATTGGCAAAAAAGTGTAAAACGTGGTAACTGCAATAATTACTAGGTCTTTGTAACTACGTGTACAAGTCTCATTTAGCAATTAAAATTTTTTTATTTTTTTTATATTTTATTTTATTATAATACTTTTTTTGACACTGTTTTGAATTTTTTGGGTACTCACTGTTTTGTCTTATTGTTAAGCCTACTAGATTTGCAATGCCATCTTTTACACTTATAGTAACAAACTATAACAATTTGCGAACCTTTTACCCTTTAAGCAGTATTGAACTCAAAAATGCTTAAGATAACAAAGGCTTGTTATCATTGTAATCGCCTTAGGCATGATTGTAACATATCGGTTTATAAACCCTGGAGTTGTGATTCTGATTACTTTTGCAATCTTCTCAAAATGAAGACTTTTGTTGTGTTAGCTCTGTCATTAGCTGTCGTATCATGTTCTTTCACCAGTTTCGTACTCAGAAATCAGTGTGACTTCGCAATCAGTGTTTATCGTACTGGCTACGATCGACCAGAAACCGACCAGTGTATTCTGCCATCTGGGTTGGGATGTGCTATCGCTTTTAATGCTACTCATGTCGAGTTCAGAGCTAACAAGGAAGGTAAGTACTGTGATTTTAAGAGTAAAGGAAAGTAATTTAATACGTACGCCATTTAAACGTACGTTTCAAAGTGTCACGCATTGAAACAAAATTATTTAGTACCGTGATATCTACGAAATGCCACAATAGGACGGATATCTTTGAATTTACGTTAAAGTGGTTGCAAATACTCATTAACACAATCTTAATAATTTTTTAAAAGGTTACAGTAGCTTTAGTTTTTTGCAGTGGTATAAATATAGCAAAACGTACAGTACGGTAGAAAACTTGCAAAGCTATTGGCATACACTTTTCAAGATAGTTTCCATATTACCTTGTCATGCTAAGCATATCATACAGAATAGCTAAAAAAAAAAGCAAATGAAAAGTTTCGAAACATAAAGACATTGTTGTAGGCAAAGCCCAGACCAAGTTCTCGTTGAATGAAAACCAAAGCGAGGTTGACTACTATGAAATTGACACATCTGCTGGTTACGACACCCCAGTAGCCATCTACACAACTGACGGTCATTCGAGAAACTTGACCTGCAATTCAGCGTAAGATTTTTAATTTTTTTTAAAATTTAAATTGAATATTCAATTTTATTTTTAAACTTAATTTGCTTAATATTGGGTTGTTTAAATAATTCTGCGTCTCTTAACTTAAAAATTTTGATTTGAGAGGAGGCACAGAATTATTTGAACAGCCTGTTTATTTATATCATTTATATATTTTTGTCATTTTTTCATATTAACTTGACACTATAGAACTATTTACTTTTCAGCACCTGTTCTGATGCTGGACAACGTCAACAACTTCCTCACGGTGGAAAGTTCTACGTTGTTTATTGTCCTTAAGTTTACTTTAAAGTTCAATAAACACGATTTTATTAATCAAAACTTTAAGAAATTAGTCAAAAGATGTTTAAAATATAATTCTTGTGACAAGCTTTGTACCAAAATTATTATTTTTTACGTCAGAAAGACTAAAGTTATATAAAACAAGTATTCTTTACGGAAAACCATCATAAGTTATTAATACTTAGCTCAAGTATTAGAGATCATAGCAGAATGATTACGATCCGTCGAGTTCCGAGACACTTTGCTGTTTACAGCACCAATTAATCTCTTGAAACAACCGATGATAAAGCGTCGATAAGGAGTGATAATGATATTCGACAGGACTGGATTAACAGCTGGAACCCAGCCCACGATGAAAAGACATAAGGACGGCGTAGCACCTGCATCAATCTTCATGAACAAAGGTATCAAGATTGCAGCTACTGGGATTACGGAGTTACAGAAGGTCACCATGGCCTGAAATATAATACTTGTGGTTCGTAGTGGTAGTTGACGTTCAAGTACTTATTACAAACCTTTATCTATCTCGTTCTAACGTTTAAATAAATACTTAAAGTTATGTATTAGGTATTATAATAGTTCAAATAATCCTGTGCCCTTTAACACCAAAAATTTAAAAAAAATAAGAGCGCCCATAATTATTACATTTGAACATTAAATGAGTATTATATAGCAGATTGTTATAGATAGAATTACCTGACAAATGAGAAACCGAGTAAGTTGCTTCTGAAGTTGTCTGGTCTTATTAGAATACTTGAATCCACCATTACTTTCTTGATTCAATTCTCTCATAGTCAAACGCAAAATGTAAATGAAGATGCCAAAAGACAAGTTAATTAGTATTGTAGCTTGTAAAAAGTACATTTTCACATTGAAATGTCTCTGAAAATCAATATTTAAAAAACTTTTAAAAACCATTTTTACAAAAAATGTGTTCTACTTACTTCTTGACCAATAAAACAATCTTAATTTTTGACCGGCAAGCTTTAACTTTTAAACTTACAATATTGGCGATGTGAGCAACAGGTACAGGGAACTCTTTATACCACAGTAAAGCATAGTTATAGTTTGGCCAGATCTCGGCCGAGTAATCAAAGCCAGCACGGCAGAAGTAAGCGGTCGGTAAAGTGCAAATGACAGAAAAGATAAACAAAAACAATGTCTTTTTGACACTCAAAAATGTCGACCTAAAATTGAAATTGCTATATATGTATTTAAAATTGCATTATTACTGTTAAAGTATCAAAAAAGTCTTGGCGTCAAATTAAACTTGAAAATTTTTTAAATTATAGTAAAGTTGTTTACTTTAAATCAAGTTTGAGGTCGAATGCCAGTGTAAAACCTACGTTTTCAGTGCATGATATCGAAAGTAGGCCTGAGCTGGTAGTATGGTATGTATCAAGCAGATACCGAACCCATAACAAGCCAAAAACATCAACTGAACCTCCCTATCAAAATGTTTGGCAGCTCCGTTGATACTCAGGAAGTATACACCATCTATCAGTATGCCTTTCTAAACAGATTTAAATATTAAAATTTTAAAATTTTTGTATATTCAATATTTACTTTATAACAACATACGAACTTACAAAGCCAGTAAAAAACATCCAGAAGAACATGTCACTCATCGAACACATGAGCAACATCTTGATGTACGGCTTAAAAACGCCTTTTGTTTCAAAAACTACCAGGTAAAACAATGTCATCGACAAGCTTCCACCCACAATGACTATACCAATGTAATTGGCACGATGAAACTTGTTGTAGAGATCCATCTTGTCATAAGCGTAAGTCGGAAAAGTACCAGTTATTGGGTCGGGAAAGTCCCACATGTAGGGACTTTGTTTGTGTGGAGCTGGATGATACTCTACTTGGGCCATTATTGTTCTACAATAATATACTAGGCTTATATATAAGTTTTTTCGTTAGTTTATGTAGGTTGAACCATTAAAACGCGACAATCTTACGTTTCAAAAATTTAAAATTTAATTGCAATGTATAATAGAAATGACAACAATAATGTGTTTGTATATAAACGTCATTATACACAACTACGCATACAACAGTAAAACCATCTTCTATATATAAGCATGTCTTCTAGAATATGATCAATTTTACAAACGTTCTGTCTACTAACTACAGTAATTTCCACTACCGTTCTTTTATTTTTGAACTTTGTGTCATTGCCTACATATATACGAAGAACCTAAATAAGCTGTACAAGATTAATATATGATGTTCACATAGACAGTATAAATGCCAAAAGAAATAAAATTTACAGTTTTTACCAACAAACTGCTATTCAACGCCCAATTACATAGAAACATTGTAACAATGTAAGACAAAAAAGCAAACATGTATAATACAAACACAATACACATGCCCTCGTTAGACACATTTTCACCTTTTGTGTGGTATTTAAAGACAATCCCTAAAAGCAACAAGTACGTGCTTGGAATCGCGTGTACGACCATCAAGTTCAGCATAAAAACGTGTCAAAAGCGATAGTTCAATTACGACGGAAACCCACATTCTGCGGCAAGGTGGTTAGAGTCAGATATGTCGTCTAAAGTTTACTTTACAGTCGCGACATTAGCACCCAGTTTCAATTACAAACGTAGGTTTAACTTTTAATTAACTATTTTTAAGAATAGGTTTAGTACCTTCACTCCCAGAAAAAGTCCACCTTCGTAAAAATATAGATGATCCCAACCTTTTCTTCAAATAATTCTGTGCCCTTTTCAAAAAAATTTAGAAGTTAGAGGGCACTGAATTATATGAAAAACCTAATATATAATGTAGAAGTCGTATTTTAGAATTAAAACCTCTTCAAAATCTCAAATTTTAAAATTTAAAAACGTATGAAGAATATCATATCAGCCTGCCAATCCGTTTGCAATATAACAAACCTCCCACCGTCAAGATTACATATAATTTACTATTTTAGATATCGTCTAAGTTAATGAAAGCAAAAAAAGTAAGTACATCAGTAATTATGCTATACGATATTTTATATTCATATTATTAAATAACTCATACCGTTTTTAGTTTTAACTTTCTACTCCACGCTATGTTGTAAAGTTATGCTTTCACCCTGGAATTCTTTCGATGTACTGTTCTTTTTATACAAACAATAGTCAGGTACTGTAACATATGTACCCGGATTTTGCTCTATAACACAGACCAGAATAAAGCTATAAAGAAGCTACGATAAAGCTACAGTAACAGCATCGTAATAGATAATATATCATAATATAATATTATTGTATGGAAACAACCATAACGATATGTTAAGCCAAAAAAGGTAAGGTTACACTTTATCCTACAGCTACCTATAGCCAACAAATAAGGTAGAAGTTCAGTAACTCCAACTCACCTAAAAAGGGTTCGTTTTATACAACTGGACAATTACAACGCTGTAAGTCTCGTTTACATGTGACTACCGTAATATTAAAATACCTACTTTGATGTTGTAAATGTAGCCAATGTCACTCATACTTCCCAGAACTCAATTATTAATAACACATGGGTGTTCTTTCCACCTGATATTACGATATGCAGTTATAGTATTCATAACATGCCATTAAGCATTATAATAACGTGATAACGTAATAACTATTACAAACTCTTGAAACATGTTTTGTAGCCTTGTAATTATGGTAAAACAGTAATTTAATTTTTTATTTCAAAATAGAAAATAATTATGAAAAAAACCTTTTTGCAATATTTTGATACGAAAATGGGTGGTTTTTTTAATATGAATTTGTTAAACGATTGGCGATTCTATTCATGTTGTGTAGCCCTAGGCATAATATTGCTTGTTTGTGTCTTCATGATCTTATTTTATGGATATTGTCAACCAGGCGAATGTAAGTTCAGTAAAGCTGTCACCGAATGGAAAGTCAGACTCTGCTAAAGCTAGTTTCCTTTTTGAAAATCAGTTCAAAAGCGAATTCATTACATAACAAACTTTAAATCAAGCTTTAAAGTACATTATTTTTCAAATCTTGCAATTACTGTAACTTTTCAGCTATGTTTATGGAACGTGCTAGACTAATCAATGGAATTCGAACGGCTTGTGTAGCCGAAGATTTGAACGATGAAACCAGATTTGAGCACAAAGGTCCTCTAATGTTCAACATCGACCATTTTGTCATCAGATCGGTAAGCTACTGTAGAACCATTATTTAAAAGACCATTTAATAACCACAAATAATATTAAAAGAAAATAATTCACTTTTCTATAACTTTCAGGAAATGAGTGAAGAAGACACAACATCAACTGCTCCTCATGTTAAAATAGGCCGTAGTGGACATGTTATCTATGAAATAGACAAAAAATCACAGAACAACTACAAAGACATACCTAAATCACCCAACAGTGACACCACAGAAAGCGCATGATCCATGTTCAATATAATAAACTTAATAAAAGTTTGACTTGAGCACTTTACGTTTAAAACTACCTTAAAATACCGTCAAGCTTGTTTTAGACAAGTTAAAACGCTGTTTATAATGAAAATCATGTAATATTGTATTTTGACGTTAAAAAGAAACGAATCTTGTATTATAATTAAATTTACATAGTTATATTGAAAAGTTGATGTACGGTGTTCCTTCGTATTCATTTGCGACCAGCTCTCTCTCCCTTGATCATCAGATCTTGCATTCGTTTGCGAGTTTCGTCCACTGTGCTGCCCAGAACTTCCTTTGATTCCCTTAGCTGCTGCATTTCCTAAATTAATGTTACAAACAATTAAAAAATATGACAAAAAACCAATATTAAAGAAAGATTTTATTTTAATCTCTTCATAAACATCAATCAAATCAGCACAACTTTAGAACTTCTACAGTAACATTAATACCTACATTTACAGCTTTGTACCATAAAAGTGCTGTCAAAGTATCCATGGCACTCCAATCTTCCTCGCTCTTCTTGAATTGAAACATCGGACAGACCTTGAAGTGACACGTACTAAAAACATGAAAAAATCATAACAGTTAACTTACAATGGGTCATCCGACGGATCAAAGACAAGTTCCTTCAAGCACCATTCACATTTAGCACTGGGCTCTTCTGGATCAGCAGATGTCATCAAGAATCCAGCGGCTGCTAACTAAAACAAATGATAATGTAAAGAAACGCGTAAGATATAAAACAAAAATTTATAAAAATTAAAACAACACATTATTTTAGTTTTTACACAATGAAACAAACCTTTTTAGACGTGCACTCGTTCTCCTCATTATTGTCGTATGGCCATTGACTAAAGGTCTTCAACCTTTGGTCCGTGAAAATCCAATCGGTCTTGAACTTCTTCAAGATTCTTGCAATATCCTGAGTGTGCTGCATGGATACACTTGATTTCAACGCTAAAAACACAAAAAAATTAAGATTTTACAATTAAATTTACAAAAAAAGAAAATTTATTTTTACGGGCTAATAAAAATACTAAAATATTTTTTAAAATATTTTAACGATTTGAAACCAAAAATGCGCGGTATTAGAAGAATAAGAACAAAACGCCACGATAATAACGAAACGCCACATTTTATCGGTTTTCAGAACGAAGTGTCACATTTAAAAATAAAATGTTGAAAAGCGAAAAATGGCAAAATGCCGGCCAAAAATGGAGTTCCGGTTATTCTTTTTTTGTTTGGTTTGGCCAATTTTACATAGTTTTGAAATATTTGATGTAAAGAGATTTTTTACAGATGATATGTTTTGGCTTTATATGTTATTATAGGCTATGTTTCATACTTGTTTTCGGTTTTTATTTTGGTTTTACACTGATGTTTGCGTTATGAACTGTTACTTGTAAACAAAAATGTATTTATTTTGCTTTTATAGTTGTAAAATATATGTTTTCAGATATGTCATTTGAATTCTTAGATGAATTTGATGTGTTAGCCAAATGGCCAAATGATCAGCGGAATCTGTTGGAATCAAAACAATGGAAAGAGAGGATAGAAGGCTTGGAATCTTTACTCAAACTTATAAATGATCATCCACGTCTAGCAACTGGAGTGGCTTACAATGATTTGGTGACAAGGCTAAAAATGGTAAGATTTTGGATTTGTTTCTTGTGTTTTTAGGTAATATCAGATTTTTGGAATGGAATGGTTTGTGTTGCCGCATGCTTGACAGCGATTTTTTAAATGTTTTCAGATAAATTTACTTGCACATGTTATACTGTAAAGCTTATACAATACTTATTATAGATCGTTATCAAGGACATGAACGTAAACGTAGTCGCAAACGCTTTAAAAGTGATAACTGGATTAATTAGAGGATTGAGGAGTCATTTCGATCACCACGCAACAGTACTGGCTCAACCATTATTTGAGAAGTTTAAGGAACAGAAAGAAGTTGTGAAAGCTCCATTAATCGAATGTACAGAGGCGCTTGTTGAGTTTGTAAGTTTTCTTTATTTCTATGTATTTTAGAGGTAGTTTGGGAGGAGTTTTAAATTACAGTATACATGTTTTTTTATTTTAAGTTTATACTATATGTTTTCTTCATAAAAAGTAGTCTACATTCATGTTTTTTAGTGTAATATTGACAAAATTCCTGCAGCGATGGAAGAAGCATTGAAGAAGCCGCATCCAGCAGTGAAACAACAACTGAATGTGCTAACTTATAAGATTTTAACACATTACAGTCAACAAAACCGGCCAGTTTCATTTATCAAAGCTGTTTTGCCAAGAGTGGTCAAGGTAAGTTTTCAAATCGTTTGAAACGTTTATAATGTTTGTTAGGGAGTGAAGGGGCTTTAGTTTAAATTTATGTTTTTATTACTTTAAACATTAAATTATGGTTTTAGAGTACAGCAGAAGCCGATAAAAATGTCCGAGATTCTGGATTTATGGTTCTTGGCGGTATCGTTAGGCTGCTTGGAGAGAAAGCGGCACAAACCATAGCCGATGGAGCTCAATGGAATGAGGAGAAGGTGGGTCAATGCATATTGTTTGTTTGAAACGTGATTTTTATATTAAAACTGTGTTTTATTAACGAAGGTTATGCTACAACTTTATGTTTTTAGCCAAAAAGCTGTTAACTAAACGTGTTATAGTTTAAAAATTATTTTAGGTAAAAGAGTACTCTGTGAAGGCTAAGGAAGATGCTGAGAAATGGGCCGAAGCACACGCAACATCAGGTGAAAGTGAAGCTAGAGTGTCCGTTGATAATGGGGAAGAGAAAGAGAATACAACTGATGGGAAAACAGATGTTCCGGTAGAAGATATTGACCCATGGGATCTAATGGAGCCGAGAAATATTATAAAAGATCTGCCCAAAGAATTTGATGAACTTTTGGCATCCAAGAAGTGGCAGGAACGAAAAGAAGCCTTGGAGGTAAGATTTATAAGTTTTATTAGCCTTTAATTAAGTTGTTTAATTATTTTTTATATTTTTACCTTGTTTTAGGCTTTGTTAACGGCGTTGGACAAGAACCCCAAGCTGACACTCGATTTGGAGCTATTTAGAGGATTGGTGGGAGAGCTGAAGAAGATCATTGAGAAAGACTCGAATGTGAACGTCGTATCTCTTGCTGTGAAGTCGGTTCAAGGGATTGTCAAGGGCTTAAGACAAGTGATTGAACCTGTGTTACCATCTGTGTTTCTGGCGTTGATAACAAAGTCCAAGGAGAAGAAGGAAGTCTTCAGCGATGCCTTCAACAAGTGTTTGGACGAGATTTCGAATTACGTGAGTTTAAAAAAGATTTACAGTCTGTATTACTTGTTTTTTTTGGTATAATATACATATTACATTGATGTATGGGTATAATTTACGCATGTTTTAACCTGTAATCTAGCAAGTCATTTTGTAGATCCACTTGAGTCATTTCACGGACCATTTGTTAACAGCGTTTTCCAATCAGAATCCACATACAAGAAGGCAGTTTCTACTGTTTACTGGCCGCGTCTTCAACAAATTGAACCAAAAGACGGCACCACGAGAACAAATAAAGGCACTAGCACCACGTTTGGCAGAACTGACGTCAGATGCTACACCAGACGTCAGAGATGGAGCTTACGTCGCTATTGGAGCTATATCAAGGTGTGTCGGTGAAGTGGGTACGGAAGCTCTATTCAAAGAGTTAATGGCCGACAACTTGAAGAAGCCAAAGATTGAAGAGAAGAGAAAGCGGTTTGAGGAGGAATTCGGATCGAATGTTGCCTCCGAGTTTTCAAAGATCTACACGGCTACAGCAGGGCCATCAGCTAGTCGACCACCTAGTGGTGTTACAACGAAACCGGCTCCAAAGCCTTCTAGGCCAGTGAGGTCTGCCCCGCCAACAAAACCATCGTCTAGGCCTAGTGTGGCTGTGAAGAAGGTAGGTCTTTTCATTTGATTTGAGTTTGCTTGTTGAATTAAATACTTGATTTTGTTTGCAAATTTTATACAGAATGACGTTTTTTATCTCTATTTTTGGAATGTTTAATTTTAAAATTTTTATTAATATTGATTTAGCCTCCGACTCCATCTGTTACGACACGTCCTACACCACGGTCTGCTTCCAAATCTCGACCGGTCCCAAGTGCTCCACGACCAGCAGCTCCTCGGCCAAATGTTGTCTCGGCCCCGAAACCTATTTTAAACGTTGTCAGAGCAGCACCAAAACCGAATGGTGCCGTTCCAACGCAAACTGCAGCGAATCGACGTCAAAGTGCACCAATAAGACCAAATGTGGTTCGAGCACCCCAAATGGCAACTGGGACACCGTATAAACCCCCGGTAGGAGTGAGTAAAATCAACAACAAGCGGACGGTCAGTAATGGAGTGACAGCACGACCTCTACAATCTTCAAGTTTGTCTTCGATTGCAAGGTCGAAGGTAAGCAACTCCAAGATTTTTGAAAATTTTAATTTTTTAAAATTTTATTTTTATTGAATTTGTTTGTAGACTCCAGCTAATGAAGTACCTAAACCTTCAAGCACGTTCTACGCTCAGCGTTCTATGTCCAACATTCAACCTCCTAAGTCAATATCCTCTGGCATCCGAGCTCCTAGACCACAGACAGGTGGTCTAACTGATGGTCCGTCAATGTCCAATCCTGGTTCTCGACAGTCCAGCCAGACTAGAATCGACATAACCGGAGCCAAACCAAGCCGACTACGACCTCCGTCCAACGCCTCTAGAAACCTCTGAATTTCGACTTGTATATTGTTGTAGATAAGGTAATCGAATTGTTTGTAATGTAAGGTAGATGTAATATTAAGGTATGTAACGTATTGAAACTTACTTAGATTTAATCTTAAGTTACCTTATCCTCGATGTAATGTTAAACTACATTATTATGTTTCAACGTCGGTTACCTTATTCCGGTTGCGGGTAGATCTTGTCATTTAAAGTTTTTGCAGTATTTTTACGATTCTTATCTTATTTATTGTCTCGATGTTTAATAATTTGTATATTTTACGTATATTAAGACCATTTAGTAACTTATACTATTGTATAAATTAGCACCATTCTGCCTTAATCCCGTGACGTCCACAGCATTATATTATTGCTTTTACTTCTCTTATACACACAATAAATCATTCCTTAAACTTGAAAATGTATGTGAATGTCTGCAGTATAATACTGAAGTTATATTACTAAAATAGCTGTAGTATCTGATAACTGACTATAAGAGTTAAAACTACGGTAAATGAAGTTACCATTGAAGTTTCAAACTTTTATACTGAATTATTCTTTGAAACTTTTGAGTATGATGCTGTTAGCTACAGTATAATATGCGTTTCAAGTTTTTAATAGAAGTTAACTATATCCAACATAACAATTGCCAACTACAATATACATGTTATAATACATATTATGGTAATATTAGATTGAGATTTTTGACTACCGAGATTTTTGTGAGATTATTAGTTATCTTATCCTTTGCGTCCTCCTCTTTGACCGATTAGTTTCAGCATGGGGCAGTATTGTGATAGCTCACTGAAATTTTATTTTGTAAAGCAATGTAATATTTAGAGTTGTTATAAAAGATTATTTTTGATACTATCATTCTTGAAGATTTGTATACTTTGAGTGTGTGAGTTACGTAGTATAAACCTTTATAATCATCGTAAAAACTCACTTTAATCCGGCCTTAACTGTACATTCACATAGTTCTCCAGCTTCCTTTTTGAAGTCGATCTGTTTGGTACACGTTTTCAGTGTCTTCCTCGCCTTTTTGTCAGCGATCGAAGGCTGACAATCTTTTCGAGTGAAGCAGTAACCTTCTGGTTTGTTCTTGGCTACGAAACAATCTTTAACACAGAGTCCGAACTCTCCCACGGTGTCGACTATCTTCCTGATCGAGCCGGACAAGGTCTTGGTCATCTTGGCTGAAGTCTTGTTGATACGCTCCACTCCCAAAGTGAACATCTTGTCAATGTCGACTGGTTGAATCTTCTTGTCTTCGTGTTTGGCCAGGCATCTGAAATAGTTTTTGGTTTTAGATGAATGTAGCAGATTGGAAAAGCAATGAAAAGTAGCCAAAAAGTGACAAAAACGTATCAAAATTAAATGATAAAGGATTTGAATTTTGCTTCTCGAGATACTTTACAGTATGAGGTACTCAATGAACACTTACGAGTCGACGTTGTGTTCGAAGCAGTCCAACACCGAGTCCATCAAGTCGTCTCTGTCAGAGAAGCACTTCTTCAGTTCGTCTGGTTTGCTGGAAATGGAGCCAAACTTGTCCCAGCAGGTATCCACACACTCGAAGGCCTGGGTCTTCATCTCTTTGACGCACTCGGACTGTTCTTCACATGTGCATTGCCTGATTTCAGCTCCTGGGATCAAACTGTCGTTGATGATCTTGCGTGTTTCTTGTGTCAACTGGTCGAAAACATCACATTTTACCACGGTAAACAGAAGAGCTGATATCAGAAACGTCTTCAACATGCTGGCTGCAATATTCAAATTACGTGTTACAATATTTTGTGATAGTAAATTGAAAAAATACTCGAGTCAAAAACAAAATATTCATATTCATAAACAACTTAAAAAACCATCTCGCTACGACAAATACTAAAATGCTACAGCATCTTTATACTGCATGAAGATCTCTGATGCCTAAACGACGAACAATTACTGCACAATAACTATATGTAATAAAACGAGACCTGATTGTGCTAATTCAAACACTTTTTGAATGGATTTCGAAGCGAAAGTCAGTGAAAAGCCTGTCATATAAGGTTCCACAAACAATAAAAACACAAATATGGGGGATTTGCGACGTTCGTTTCGTATCTGAAAGTCGCTTTAAGCCAGCTATTACAATATTAGACAGACTGTAGTTTTGTTACAGTAACGTAATGTTTATATACTTTATATTTCTCAATAAAACCTAAGTTTACCGTAAAATTGTGATCAATATGTAGTTGTTTTCAAACTTCAAACACTTAAATACAAGGATTTTTGCAAAAAGTATCTTAAAGTAGCTGAAACTCGTAGGATTCGAACTGTATCTGCCGAACGAAATGTTAAAATAAAGTGCAAACTACTGCCTTAAATAAATCGAGCAATTAACCCCAAATTGTGTTTTGTAACTGGAGTTACTCGCATACCTTGTAGTAGCAAATTGCACGAATCTTAATCATCACGGACGCTTCTATCGTTACAATATTCATCTTTGAGACTTTCAACAACAATTACATCATTCTAAAATCATTTTTGGAAGTTACAACTTGCACTTTTGTTTACAAGTTAAAAACCTTGTTGTAGGTATGATCAAGGTTTAAATAGCTACAAGTTAGATTTTGATGTTATGCCCGAGCTAATGCTTATTGATCCTGCAGGAAACAGGTCAGTGATAGGCAATGGGACCCCTTTCACAACATTATCAATAACCCCATCTACAGTACATGTACTTTAATTCATCCTTAAAACAAAGTCATAATGTTAAAGCATAACTTTTCAACACTGCCCATTATATTTACTGATATTACTCAACCTCTAGCGTTCCATCAGCTTTTTAATGATCATAACATGTCACAAACGAACCAATGACTACATTAAATGAGAAATGATTTGTTCCGCAATGACTTTCACCGAAAACAAGCCAATATTGCTCTAGATGACTTGTGAACGGGCTTATATATCACCACAGAACGTACGACAGGTTCGCGCTTTTGGGTCAGCGACATGTTCGTGTTTTGTGCCAGCAATTCGGACATGTTGTGGGTTGAATTCTAAGTTTGGAAACTATAAACTACGCGCGTGGCGGTGTAAATCAACCAGAAATCAGTGGTAAAACAGTTAGAAAAGTCAAAGATGGCATTGTGGAGACTTACTGTATTTAAAAAAAGTCTGATAAATAATAGTACTAAATAGCACAAAAACCAAATATAAAGTACCACATCTGTAATGAATCAGCAGTACTATACTAACTTAATACTATGATCTTTGTAATACCTAATTACCTTTACAATGTCCAACCAAACCCTCAATGTCCAAATGTCTCAAAACACGCCAACATATAACTTATATACGAGTTGAACTTTGGATGTGACGTGTTTCACAATCCGCTATTGTTTTAATATTATTATAGATTGCGCGAAACAACTTCAGACGGATATTTACTTATCTTTCGAACTTCTAAAAATAACTTTGGAGCAAGTGATCACTGATATCAGCTCTGATCGTTGGTCGTATTTTCAGCTTGAAAACAGAGTTATTACATAGTAAAAAATGACATGATGATAAAAAATAAACAAGAAAGTTATACTCAAGGTTTACTTTTTCAGTTTAATGTTAAAGCTACTAGATATTATCATGCAGCAGTAAAAATAGCAGCTTTTATGATTACTTAGCTAAAAATATGTTAAGTTCACATTCAGTAGACAAACATGTCAAAATACGACGCATACGAACGGTGACATGACGTCGTCTACCGCCGTATTTATACTTTTTATTTGAGTTTTTTCTTGTGATTATAAGGCTTGTCAGTGATTACTTTGTGATCATTAAACAACCTTATTTAGCCGCCAATCCCCAGCATCTAGAAGGATTCGGAACAAAAAGTGCAAAACAAAAGAATTTACGGATTTTAAGTAATCCATAACTTATTCGAACGCTAGCGAGCGATCGATACATCACCCAACTCCAAGTTACAAACCATAAATGCCATCGTTTTCGCAAACTATATCTTGTGTTAGACTTTCAAACGTCCGAAAAAGTTGTTTGTCAACTATAAATGACAAAAAAGAGTCGAAAGTATAGATAATCAGAAAAGCTACTTCAATGTCATGAACAATAAATAATTTTTAAAATTTTGCTAAATAAACAGACATAAGAATTAAAATCTCTGTTTTCCCTCCCTAATACTAAATGAAAAAGCAACTCTACACCCCCAAGCACTCAAGAACCAGCCTGCCCTAACTGACTACAGTTCCCTGTCGCGTCCTTCCTGTTATCACGGCTTCCGGCTACTTGGTGTTGCTATATCGGAAACCTGAATCTCACGGCGGGAAGCAAACCCGGTCAAAAAATGTCTCAATAAGCAGTCGAACAAAGCCCAACTTTACAGCAGGTTATTATCATCCTTTTCACCGAAAAAACCTGGCGACCTTGTTTATGGAGCATTCCTTCCCTCAGAAAGTTTTTTCAGCGAGGAACAACATCAATCAAACTGGGCATTAGACTTCAAAAAAACTTGAATTTTAAACCACGTCTAAGGTTATGGTTTGTACCATCATTTGCGTATTTTACGTCAACCTAAAGAACCAGTTATACATTGTAATAACGCATAAAAACAGTCAAAAAGCAAAAAATGTAATTGTTTACTGCATGGTTAATATTTCTGACGTTAAACTTACGTTAAAGCATCAAAATTCATTTTTTCTTACAAAAAATTGTACAATAAGGGCATGAATACTGTAAAACAACAAAATAGACGAAATGTCACAAAAAATAACGTTTTCTTTTGCGAAGTGTCAAATGTTTTCTTAAAAATTATTTTTGTGAAATCTTGTTGATGCAGATTTCATTGATAATAATTATTTTACATTAAACATGAGGGTATTAGTTGTTCTTGGAGGTGAAAGGCGAAAAATTGAAGCTGTAGATCAATTGAACTATGGAGCTGTCAAGGGTAACATCCGTCAGATCTTTGGGTTTGATTCGTAAGTCTTTGTTTATTGTTTGTTTTGATTTTTAGATGCTCTGATTTTTCATATACGGTGATTGAAATTTTATTTTTTTTTAAATGTTTTAGAAACGTCAATTTTGTTTTGAAGCTTGGAGAATCGGCCATTGAATTGAACGATGATCAATTTTTGGCTGAAGCTGGCGTTGTATCTGGAGAAATATTGAAGGTACATGTTATTGACGGAAAGATTCAACGTCCTCAGAGTTCGAACAGTCAACCCACCACTTCTACAGCAGAAACTAACAAGAAATCAGTACCCAAGCCTTCTGAGGTTCAGTTTTCGAATGAAAATGTGAAGAAAATATTGGTTGATCAACTGATATCGCGTTGCCAGATGAATGTAAGTGTTTTTATTAATTTACTTGTTTTTTGATTTGTCAAATTTGATTTGCTAAATACTTTTGCATAGTGTATACTTTCTCTGACATTTAAAATTTTAGGTAAGATAATATCAACAATTTCTGTAATGATTTACTGCAAACTATAAGTTACCTTACAGGTCGAAAATGAAAACTCTCCTTCATTTTCTGACAATTTCTTTATCAGCAACATTATGTTGAAAACTAAGGTTACACCTTGGAGTAGAGGATGTTTGAACCTGACATTCGTTGACAAAGTGCATGCAGTTGCTAATTTAAATTTACAATTGATTTCTGATAAGGGAATTGTTAAACAGTTTGGAGTGACCACTGTGTATCCTATCGGATTCAGAAAGCAGTTGGACGCTTTCTGTGCAAATGTTGAAGAATTCTTGTATGGACGTAAGTTAACTCACTTTTTGCCTTTTCAAACAAAATGATATTTTAGTTAAAATAAAGAGATTTATTGCTAAAATGTTGAAATTTTAACACTTGATCATTTTTATTTACAATTATTGCTTTTTTATACTGTAAAACGTTCTTTTAGCCAAGAACAAGTTCCTGAGCACGTTTTTCTTTGGCTCGCCACAGATAATGGCGTGCGCACTGTGCAAGCACCTGGACCCAGAAAGTTTGTTGAGACTAAGCGTTATGAACAAGTACATGCGGAACTATTGTAATGGCTCATCGTTTGATGTTCTCATATGGAAAGAGATGCTGGCACGTTATAAACAAATAGGTAAGATTTAAATTTTAATACTCAACTATTATTCTATCTAGTTTTTATTTGAATTAAATCAAAAATTGAAATGTAAAATAATTTGTTATAATAAACCTTATTTCCAGCCGTCGGCGATGTACCAGCTCTTCCTGAAGGAAGAACTCATAGAAAAGAGCTGATAGCAGCTATTACGGCTACTCGAGAAGAGAACGAGAGACGCAGAAGGATGCAGGAGCAACATGAACATGATCTACTTATGTTCGACTTCCCACGCAACCGAAGAGAACCAATGGAACTACGACAACCCGGATTAGACGAGTTTGACCGCCGCTGGCAAGGTGGAGAGGTCTTTCCTAATCATCGGCCAAGAAGAGACCCAGCCAATCCTTTGATCATACCTCGACCTGGTCACCCCGACTTCCAGCCTGACTTCAACCCAGATCCTGACATGCCTCAAGGACCTTCCAGAGGACGCGGCCGAACCCCGCCAGGCTTTGGAATGCCATTCAACCCCGGCAACAATGGGTTCTTCGGATAATTACTATTTATTAATTTGTATTATATTTACAATGTAAATAAACATTATATGGTAATTTGTGTTGGCTTTTACACTGTGAGGTTATGATTATAGGTATAGAAGATTGAAGAATTAAAATAACGGAAACAATCCAATTGACTACATGCAAGTTCTAAGATTTTATAATTGTGCAGCCCAAAATATTTTGAAACCTAAGGGATTTTCCGATAGAATTTGTGACATTTCGTTGCAAACCTTTTTGACACTTCGCCTTTGGCGCTCAAAAAAATAATTCGCCTTTTATGAAATATTTTTTATACGTGTATACACTTTTCTTTGTAACAAATGTCGTTTTATGTGTTATACCTTGATTTTAGTTGTAAACCTATTAACATTTTGTCAAATTTTAGGTTTTGTGGGCCAAAATGGCGGATTTGGTCAAGACTTACATTGAAAATGAAAAGGCTGATGCGGATTTGGCCCAAAAATTAATAACAAATGATATTGGTAAGGTTCTTTTGGTATCACAATATTGTGATTTATTTTTTATCATTTTAGTCATGTTTGGATTCAGTTATTTAGCATATATCTTGTGGAAAATTTTGATTTCAGGTAGATTGTGCACCTCGGGGTCGATGGAAACAGACTACCGAGACTTTTCTGATCTCGGAGTCAGAGAGTTTGTCGAATTAAATTACACACCACTACCTCAGGAACTTAAAGAACAATTGCGCAGTAATGTTTTGTTATTTTGTTTTGGTTTTAGGAGTCTATTAGCTAAATGTCTATGTTAATGTATCTACGGTAAAATAATTTCGTTTTGTGCAGAGAGACTATATTGATGTGTATTGAGGTACTAGGGACATTGTTGTATACTGAGGTGGTTGTTTCAGATTTACAAACTAACTGTGCTTTTGGAATATTCCCTGACATTTACCGAGCATGGATGATTGTTGACTCCGACTTGTTTTTATGGAATTTCGAATTTAAGTAGGTTTTTTATTAGTGGTTTGGTTATAGAAGTTGTTAAACGTGCTACTTTCTTATTATAACAGTTTTTACTGTTTTAACAGCTAAAAAACTATCAAAGAATTGGTTTCAGCAAAGATTTGGCATATTACGATCATATAGAAAATACGATTTTAAAAGTGGATTTGGTGACATTGCGACAAGGATCGTTTAACGGCCGGTTCTCGCAAGCTTTGGTGGTTGCTACAACCGGTGACTTGTATTTATTGGGAGTCGGATTCATCGATGAAAGTCGACAAGAGACGGTTTGTGGCCAAATCGACCACAAAAACCCCAACTTGTTTTTAGTGTTGGAAGAAATTGCAAAGGTATTATATTTTGTCGTAGTCTTTCTTGTATAATAATTAAGGATTCTTTATATGATTTGGCTATCATAGACAAAATAATATTATTTTAGATTTCTTTGGACGGCGTTGTTGTTACAGACCTGGCTTCTACATCAGATGGTCGGATATTCTTTTCTGCTGATAATGATGTATACGAATGTGACTACTTTGTAAGTTTACTTTGACAAATGGCTACAAACTTATATTTTTGCGATTTTTGTATATTCTTATGTTAATGTGTTTAAGCTTTGATAATGTCATTTCAGTCGGAACGATGGTTTAGTAGTAGTGTGCAGAAGGTCAATCTGACTAAAAGTTTGTTTCCTAATCCGTTGTCATTGTTCCAATCGAAAGAGAAGATAATGCAATTGGCCGTCGATGACACACGACATATCTTGTACAGTTTAACAGATCATTCTAAAATTGTCGTATACGACTTGGGGAACACAGGACAATCGTTCTCAAGAGTGACAGATAGTTCATTGGATAGAATTGTTGTAAGTTTAAGTTTTTAATTGTGTTTGGATGGCTTATAGGTTGCTTTTGGGGAAGAAAACATCAAATTTAGTTTGCAAACCTTAGTTGGTATAAATAACTAAAGATATTAAACATATATAATGTTGCTTATTTTCAGAAAGATAATCAATATCAGATAAGTTGTGACACTGCCTTTGTACGAGAGTTGGTATCTATTTCTGTGGTATCATCAACAAGGTCATTATACATATACTTAGAAGCTATTACCTCATTTGGTATTCGTATCTTCTTTACATGTTCTGATCAGTTTTTAGTAGAACGAGGAGTCAACAGAGTAAGTTTTCAATTTGAATTATTATTATTTTAAGTTGGCGCATAACACTTTACAATATTTCTGACGCTGTTTCTCAAATTTAATGTCATTCGTTTCAGTTTGCTCAACATTCAGTCCGACCTAAGTGTCTGAACGCCGTGCACATCAGATTCCCAACAGGGAATCCTTCAGTAACCTTGCAAGAGCAGAAACGGGTATACTATGGAAACACGTTAAATGGTAAGGTCTTGAGCATTTTATGATATTTTGAGTTTAGGTACGACAATAATGGCATTAAGCTCGGCGCGGGAGGAATCTTATGTTTATGCCATGTCTTCTGTTAACTTTACTTATACGCAACGGTTGATTGAAAGCTATGTAAGTGTTGTGGATGATATCATTATGTTAACTTTTATGTGTTACAGAGGATGTGTAATGTATTTTTTAAATGAAGGCTTTATTTTCATGTTGAACTTGGCTACAGAGGAATGTTCTTGTTTCATTTTTATTATGATAGTGATAATATAAACCTAAAAAACTACAAGTTTAGAATAAACTTCAAGTTCAAAACGCGATGGTTTGGTCTGCATCGAGAACGGCGGAACGTTTGGCTCTAGAACAGTGTAAAGTCCGTGAGACTGCCATAAATGTTGCTACGATGAAGGAGATCGAATTGGTGCCAGCTCTTCAACCCCCACAATTTTCTCAACAACATGTCTTCTCAGTGGACAAGGTCCACATCGTGACTCCAGAAGGCGTGTTAACCGTGGGACATTCGGCTCCAGTAGAAATCTTGAGGCAGATTCTGGAGAAGTACGGCACAGAATCCAGACAATTAAAGGATTGGCTTTACATTCATGGCAATATTGAAGTTTGCATTCAAGCTTTGATTATCATATGCAGTGACCAGAGCACGGACTTGAATATTAAGGTTAGGAAATGGATTAATGTTTTTTTTGTTTTGTGATTTCTTGAGATGTAAATTTTAGGCTTTTTGGGTAACATTGACATATGGATAATGAAAACTGATATGTGAATTAAATTATTTCGATTAGCATATTTGATTTCAGGAACCAGCAATCCGAACCTTTTTCTCTGTTGGAGGTCAGCCAGAACTCATGAGCCCTCCTCTTAGCGGCCGCGGTCAAGGGGATTTCTTTAATGCTCAATCCACGTTGAACTTTGAAGAAACGAATCATTTCATGAACCAAACTGGTCCATTAGTGTCATCAACACCACGCAGAGCTCTTCAACAACAAAAACAAGTCCCAGCATCAGAAATGGATATGAGACCTTCATTCAGACACGATGCTTTGTACACTCACTTCACTCGAATTGTGTATTACATCTGGAACAGGAATGTGTGCCAACGAAGGGACAATGAGGTAGGTTTTCGACTGAAAAGGACCAACATTTTGATAATGAGTAGTATATTATTTTAAGTGGTTTTTTAAAGCTATATCCAAATTTTAGTGTTTGAATTTTGGAAGTTTTTAATCTTTTTGTTAAGTTAGGTACTACAGATCACGTTCCGAAAAGTTTCAATAAAAGAATTCATTTTCAGATATTGTCGTACTTGTATCTTGAAGACCTTCAACTGATCAACAAACACATTGCTCTCTTCCAGCAAGCCATCGGCCAGTTCAATTTGATCAGTGGTGTGAAAGGTGCAGGTTTCCAAATTGATGGCGAAGGTAATTTCATTGCTATTTTAGTTTTGTTTAGTTATCATTGTATAAATTTATTTTATATTCTTAATAACATATTATACACTATAGTTGTGATTTTTCTTGTTTCAGTGATTGAACGCGAAAATCGTTCATTAGACCAGCTGCGACAATTGATTGGAATTACTCGCGAGTTCCTAAACCTATGGATCCTGTTATTGGAGCACAATTTTACAGCAGTGGTTGGAGGTCTACCTTCTGATGTGAAAGAACAGATTCTCAAGTGGAACTTCTCCGAGTTGGTGGCAAACAAACCTGAACAGATTGGAGTCGAACTGATCTCGGCCTTAATCAAGTTCTACTTTGGAGACGAGGCTAAGACGGAGAATCTGAACAACCGGCTTGCTTCTGAATGTCCAAAGCTTTTTACTAATGAGGATGCCAACATCTTAAAGGTATGCTAGGATTTTTGGTTGGAAAACGTTTTCAATGTAATTTGATGCACTACTGTAATAACTTAACCTTTGCTCGTAGTTCTTGTTTTTAAAGTTAAGTATGAATAAATGTTTGTATTTTAGGGTATCGAACTACTTCACACCGCCAGAAACGTCAACTCTTCAAGTGAAAGAGAACGGGCGATTCACCGTGCCATGGAAGTAATGAAGAAGCACGCCGAACGGGCTGACATGATCCTGGTTGCCAATCTGTTGAAAGACTTGAATTACTATGTCGGAATCATTGATATGGCATTGGCAAGGGCAAAAAGGGTGGATCCCCGAGATTACGCCAAAATCGCCTACAGGAAGAATCTACAGGAACTTGGTGACATGCAAGAAGCTGTGAGTTGTCTTATTAATGCGTAATTTTGCGAAAATTATTGCATATGGTGGTATATATCAACCATATTTTGCGTGTTTTTGTTTCCTGATCAATTTTTACATTTTTAGGTCGAAAAAAGAGCCGGAGTATACAGTATCGTAATCGACACTCTGAATTACCTCCATGGTATTGCGACAAAAGATTCCAAGCAAAATGATGGTCCCTTGAGTAAGGCTGCCGCTGTAGTCGAAAGAGATCAGATCATCTACAGAATCTCACACTCAGACGATGAAATCTGCCAAGTCTATTTGTTCAGATGGTTGATTGAGAATGGCATGGAAGAAAAAGTTTTGTCAGAACCGAACGAAACTCTGGAACACTTTATTTACAAGTCAGTTTTATTTGTATTAGCTGTTTACGAATCTAAGAAATGATGTTTCCTTGAAATTATGGCACTTTTTTGTCTTTTTTATAAGAAATACGTAAAAATATGATTTTTCTTTTTTTAGTGAAATTGAGACAAGCGGAGCAACGATTTACTTTGATATGCTGTGGCAGTACTACAAAGGAACAGAAGAATATGCAAAAGCGGCCAAGTTACTTTACGAATTGGCTACGAAGAAGGCCAAGACCACGAATACCGAGAAGAAGTTGGAGTTCTTGTCTCACGCCTTGATCTGCATCAATTCAGCTCCAGAATCCCAACCCAACGTTCAGTTGAAGGCCAACATAAGAGATTGGCTGGACGTGGCCAGAGTTCAACTACAAGCCCAACAGCAACTCAAAGCTGAAGCTGGAAGAAGACTGGATCCGAGTGTTGTCGAGGAGACCATCAACGAGTTGAACTCGAACTTGTTGACCGTATCAGATTTGTTTGAATTGGCCAACCGGTTTGACTTCCCGTTGATTAAACTGGCCGTCCTGCATTGTGCTGGACATTTCGATGCCGAAATGGTCGAGGGCATTTACAAGAATCTCATACATGAAGGTTAGTTTTGGTTAATTCTTTTTTATATTCTACTTTGTTTTAGTTTTTAAATTTGTTAATTAATGTCGTGGAACGGTTTTTTTAGATTTGGAAAGGGTTGATACAGAAGGCAAGGACATGTACGCAGCTGCCCGATCACTGGCCACTAGACTGGCACAACTTCGACGACAGTACGCGGCGTCTCCCAAGTATTTCCCAACCAGTAAGTTTGTTATATCAGCGATTAAGTTCTACTTTTTTTACAAAACTTTGCGTTACTACTGTGAATTCTTTACAAACCTTTTATTTTATAAATTTTATTTCAGAATTTATCGTACAAGAACTTCTACAGTATTCACTGAACAGTCTTTCCCCAAAATGGTTCGAACAAGTGATCCGAGGGTCGGAAATCCAAGTTCACGAGCTGATCACCGAATGTCTACACGTTTATCGTGTAGTCGATCCCTTCTGGAGGCGCAACTCTCAAGCCAAGAAGTTCATGGTACAGTTGTGCATGTTGTTGTCAGAGAATTTCATCCAAAAAGCACCTCAAATTGTACATGAAGAACGACTAGTGACGAAAGACACGTGCCTCGAGTTCGTGGGAACCCTACTCTTGGACCTACAGGACTCGTTGGAGAACACAGATAGACTAAAATCACTTCAAACACGACTCGAAGAAATCCGGTAGTAACCTTGACAATCATCACATTCAGAATATAATAAACTTGTATTACATCAATCTTTGTATTTTCACAGATGACTTCTTCTGAGTTACCATAGACATGCAATTTATATGAATAAATCTTGATTACTTGTCTTGTTATCTATACAGTTGGTGTTACAATATTGTTTCTTTCATTACTAATGATAATCTTTGATATTTTATCAAAACTAGTTTGTTTTTATAATTATTGTTTAATTTTATATATTCTTTCGTTACTTGTTCTCGATTTTTTGAAATTTCAAAAAATTCGTGTAGACCATTAAAAGTATTGTTCTTGTTAATTCGTTTCGATTTGTACGTTAACTTAATTAAATAACTATAAATGTTCTTAATATACATAAATTGTTCAAAAACTGGAATATAAATGTTCAAAAACTGTTCCAGCACTCAATAGCTCACGACATAACTAATTTACATTAAATTTATCGTAACTTTTACAGATCAGTACAAGTGTAATATAAATATGAATAATTAGGCGTTGATAACCCGTGCCAGCTTTTGGATGCGGTTCAGTAGGATGTCTCCGTCTCTGATCACGGCTTTGTACAAAAAGTTTTTGCTGTCTGGGTGGTTCATTTCGATCACTCCTCGTACCGCGTCTATTCGACAGTTCAAAGCGCCCGAAGCGATCAGACGGTGAAGTTCGGTGTCAATGAAACCCTTGGATACACCAAAGTCCTTGGCCATCATGTCGAGTCTTACCTAAAATTAAGTTTTTAGTATATTTAAAAAATTAGTAGTATTTTACAATTTATGAAAATTCTAAATGAATAAATTAACAAACATTAACTTACGGTCTTGTACGGAGTCAAAAATTGAGAGTAAGCCTTGAGGCGCATAGCTCTTGAGTAGAAAGAATAATGTGGAGCCAGATATCTGTCGAACTTTAATCTTTCGCTTTCCAATTGGGCCAAACTGACAAAGAACTGATCATAATGACAATTGTAGAAGGCTTCCAAGAAGTTTTTAATTGGGATTAGTTCTCCTTTCTCACCGCCTCCAGTTAACTAAAAAGATAAGTTAAGAACAGCCCAAACAATCACTAAAACTATATAACCCTTGAAAAACTTACTCGTTCTTGAATCTCATTAGATCGAATAACTTTGGTACGGAGATCTGGGCGTTCCAACGCTGAAACATAACATTAATAGCAAATCAATAATAAAAACATTCATCTCAACATATTACTGTATTTCTGTAAATCAAACTTACAGAAAACTGAGCAAATGACAGTGTAGAACACCAACTGTTCGTAGGACATCAACTCATACGACCCAAAGGTAGGGATGGTCTCCAAGAACAATGTGGCGGCTCCCTTCATGTCTCTCACAGCCATTTTGTACAAGCCTTCGTACGATCGTAGTCGGTTCTTTCGTTCCCAATCACCACCCTGTTCCATCAAATCCTTGGCTTTGGCAATGTTGGCATTGATGAGCTTATGATCCAAGAAAAAGAGACCAACTCGGATCAAACTAAACACCAAATCGATCCTGTACCCAATGCCTACAGTCTTTTCGTATGTTTGCCGGTACGAAGTCAAAGCGGCAGCTTTATCACCAATTTGACACAAATATTCAGACTTCCGAAGCCAAGCTTGACGAACTTCGGATTCTCCTAAAAATTAGATAATAAGAACAAAATCATAACAAAACTCAATTTAAAACTTATATTTAACTTCGTAAAGCCCCTAAAAACAAGTCGCCATATTTGACTTGCACTTATCCCGACTATACCTAAAATCCAAAAAACTAAACCAATATCTTACCCAAGTTCTCTTCAGCATCCTTGATCTCTACCTCAACTTCAGCCAACTTCTTAGCATTCTTTTCCTTCAACTCAGATAGCAGAGTTTGATCAACAGTTTGTTCAGTTTCTTGGCAAACCAACTCATAGAACGGACCCATATCAAACTCTTTTATTTTCTGCAAAAAAATAATAAAAAATAAAGCAAATAAAAGAAGTTAAATACTACAAAATTTAAAACATAATGTTTAAAAGACACTTACCTCGATTAGAAGCAGCCATTTCGCTTGCTTCACATCTTTGTCCAGTTCAGGATGGTTCACAAGAAAACGTAGTTGAGCGATTTCCAAGTCTGGAACCTTTGAGATCTCCTATAACAATATAATTTTAAAAGTTCTGAATAATTAAAACTATTTTAAGAGCAATATTATAGTAAACTCAACTTTTCTCCAAAAAAGCACTAAAATACCCTTCAAAAAATAGAACGCTCATAAATTATATTAACTTACATCTTTTTCAATGTCAGTTGCACTGGTCTGTTTAGCAGTTTTAACCTTCTCCTCGCCCATTTTATTCGACTTGAACTAGAACGACAACAATTCAACTCGAAATATTTTTGATTACAAATTTTTTCTCTTGTAACAAAATGCCACATATTTAAGCTAGCTTGTTTTCGTTCCAGGACTTATTAAAAGCAAAGTGTAGTAACTTCGAAACGTGATTACTCGCTTTGTAGTGATAAAATTTATATAACATTTTGCACAAAGCTTGCTTAGATCTAATAATAAATTGTTTATCTTTCGAAAATCGAAGTTTACTTTTAAAAATGCATTATATACACACAGGATAACCGTTTATCATTTGTATAAGACTCTCCACTTGTATAAGAATAAAAACGTTTAGAATTAAAAAAAGTAAATTTTAAGAGAAGCTGAAGTCCTATATAACTTATCCACCAAGAATATGTACCCAAGTTGCTATTCTCAAGAAATCACTACTCCGCTACCTACTAGCCAGTTGACCGGTTTCTTAACTTGTATAAACTACGAAATAATGGAGAAACAGGCAAAAGTTCACAATTTATGCAAATGTAGCTTGTTTCCACAATTTTTGGAATTGAAAATGCTCATTTCTACTGACTGCGGTCTGTCGTGTACAGTCGCTTCTACTGACTCTGTTCCCGTTAGCTGGTCACTGGAATCATGGGCATACTGGACTTCGTCAAGGTAAGACTCGTTTTTTTGTTTTTAAATGATTTTTTGACATTTTTGATATTTTTGTGAAGCTTTGGTCAATGTACATGTTGTTTTTTTATAGTTTAGGTGCAACTGCCCTGCGCGGTCGTACAAATTCCATTGTTTAAATTTTAAAATTAAATTTTTTCAGATTTCACCTCCAGCTCCTCCCAAGCATTGTATGGTGTTCCCGTACTCTTCTCGTCCCCAAACTCGCCGTCTGGTAGTTCGAAATGCTACTACCAAAGCGATGGTCGTCAAAATGCTTCCCACCTGCCCTCAGGCACTGCATGTTGATAACTCGTCGTTGGTGGTTCAACCGAACGAGTGGAACTCCACCACGATGACATTGGATCCTAAAAAGGTGAAGAACTCAGACGATATGAACAACCATTCGTTGTTGGTCTTCTGTCGTCTGAAGTCCAAATCGCACGAAGCTCTCTTGAAGGAGTGGATGGATAACACCGAGGTCAGCAAGGACAATTTCACTCATTTGGCTTACAACTTGAAGGTAACTTTTAATGACTGTTGATTTTTATAAAATACTTTTTGTGACTTATGGTTACCAAAAAAAAGATTGTATATAACACTTGTAGATCTACCGTTCTCGTGATTTTGCCGCTCCTGATACCGTCGTAGACTTGCCCGGAGCTTCAGAATTACTCGAAGCACCCCAAGGTGTGATCACGCTTTACGATCCCCAGGAATTTGTGGATTGCCTCACGGCCAGGAACGTGGAATCTGAAACGGCTACAGCCAATGAGCTCAGCGAAACCGACTTGAACGCTTGTTGTCCCGATTCGATGGCCAAAACTGCTCATTCCATCGACGAAGGCACCAGAACGGCCAGAAAGATTGGCAACAGCTGTTTCTTAGTGAACGCTTTGGACAGGATCTACCCAGGCAGTGGCGAGCCGGTCGAAAAGAATCTGCCCAAGTCCTACTTTCCATGCGGTCAGAGCTAAGGCGTTTCGAGACGAATAAAGGTTTACTGACTGATTTTGTAAATATTACTTTAGTTTAACGTAATTTCTTTTAAGTGTGTTTTTCAATCTGATTTGTTATCCTCTGATTTTTTCTCTTACTTATACAGAAGTGAACAATATCTCTTTAAAAAACCTTTATCACAGTTCAGAACAATTTTGTTAGTTATATTACTAAATTAAAAATATTTACAGCTCTATAACCTTACTTTAAAAGAACGATACATTCTACTCTCCAGTCCACACATTCTTCTGCCTAATATTGTGTTTCTCTTCTTCTGTCAAGTCATCAGGTAGACCAAGTAAGGCTCGTATCTCTTCCGGAGTCCTTCCTTTCAGCTTTGCAGCAACTGCTTGGCAACTATACAAATACAACGAAGATATGTCAAGATAGGAAGCTGCCATAATAATTTGTTCCAGTTCTTCGACAGGTTGATCGAGGAACTTCTTTTCAAATTCTGTGTACGAAAACCACTTCCTTTCTCGAGTATGAGGATCTACTTCAATTTGAGGGTCCGATTGTCCTGAAATTAAGTTTTTTGACCGTCTCATCGAACTTTGTATTGACCCAGTAATGGACAAAATACAGATCTAAATCGCCATGAAAGAATGGGTGCTCTAAAAGCTCCAAAGTTAGCAAAATCCTTACCTTTATGTTCAACACACCATTCCAAGACCTTTTCAAATACTTTGCCATCAATTCGATCCACATGGAACTCTCGACTTTCTGCAAATTCCGCAAAATTGTTCGTAAACATCGTGTCGAATACTTTACTCTGTTTCATCACGTTTACAGGAACATTGAAACGTTGTTGATCATTTGTCACAACTATAATATCATGCTGATGCTCCCTAGACATTATAGAAGAGAAAATACAATATTTTTAAAACAGACTTTACTTATTGATCACATTATTGTAGTCTTAAAATTTTTATTGTTCTCAATATTAAATAAAGAAAAACCTGACTCTTTTTTTCTGTGAGTCGTCTTTTTCTCTAGGTAACAATTTTTCCGCGGTTTATTTTTCAGCGTCGATTGACTGAACTCGATGGAGCCGTTTTTGAACTGATGATGTAGAATTTTTGAGGAAATAGTTTTACTTTCAAACGATACGACGTAATTTTCTTTTTTAAAGTTTGTCTTTGATTTTAGGTACGAAGATACTAAAGAACTCCGGTTTATTCGTCGCTTTCCGGTTTTTTCCACAAGCATATCCAGTAAATTGTCTCGTATTCCTTTAGTTTTCGGTAGAACTCTGTGCCTGGAGCACAATAGGTTGCTCTGATAGCGTTTTTGAATGGTTGAATGAATATTGGGGCCTAAAGTAGTTTTGAATTTTATAATAATTAAAATTACCTTATCTAGGATCTTGTCGTATTCGGTTGATGTGAGTTGAATTCCGTTTAGTATTTGCTGGTTTATTATTTGCAATTCGACCAGTTTGAAGCCTGCTTTTTGTGCATGTTGTATTGGCTCGTCTTTCTAATAAAAGTAGTTGATAAACTTGGGAATTCAGATTTTGGTTAGACATTTTAGTCTTTTTATATTAACCGTCATCCAATTATTAGTTTTTTGGCTAGGCTTTGACTTATCGTATATTATTATTCTTATATGTTACCTTATGTATTCTTCGTAGATCAGCCCAACATAAATGTCCTCCGGGTTTCAAAGCTCGAAACGCTTCAGAGAAGAAGGATTCTGGATTACCGTACAAATGACTGCTTTCAATGTTCAAAACAATATCAAATGTGTTTGATTTTACCGGTAGGTCTTCGGCATCACCCTGGAAAGGTTTTAAATGAGTTCTGCAAAGATCGGCAAAAAATATTAAGGTAGTTAAGAAAAAGAACAGATTACTTGGACAATAAGTGGATTCATGGTTGATGGAGCACACTTGTCTATTCCTAGGACACTTCCGATTTCTGAGTGGATTCTAAAACCGTATTTTAAAAGCTAAAGTTTTAGATGGTAAAATATCTACGTTGGCTTACTTTTGAATCCACTTGAGGCCTCCACCAAGCCCGCAGCCGACTTCTAGTAAGCTTTTGTTTTCTAAGTTGTTATAGTAAGGTAGTTTTGACAACGTTCTTTCATATAATTCACAATGAGCTTTCTCTCCGGGACTTTTGAATATTGTAGACATGGATTCAAGCTTTTGTTCGTCGTAAGTAGGAGCATAGCCAAGATTCAAAAAGCTAATCTTTAACTTTTTACTTACTACACGAATAAGAGGATACAGAATTAGACGGTCGAATATGTAATAAAAGAATCTAGAGAGTAGTGATAATATTCGGGATATGCACATGACAATGTTTATGGTGTTAGGTTTTTAATAATGTAATAAAGGGTAGCAAGCAGGGTTGATATTGTATAAAGTAGTATTTTTTTTAGTTTTTGCTTTTGGCAGTAAATTATCAGTACTATCGAAAAGTCTCCTTGTTTGATTTTGAATTTCGTGAAGACTGCCGCGATAATTGCCTGTATTCGAGTAGTTTGCCTTTTTTGTAATATTTTTGGCTAATTTCAGAAACAGAATGTCTGGTCGACAAGGAGGAAAGCTGAAGCCACTGAAGGCAGCCAAGAAGGGCGACAAAGTCATGACAGATGTAAGTGTAAATTAGTTTGAACATGTTTAACATTGTTTTTGGTTTAACCATATTTAAGGGGTTTGATGCTAATCAGTGTAAAAACATGGTTAAGGTAAAGGAGCCGGGCCGGTTCTAACGGGATTTTTTTGAGGTATAGTGAGGCGCTTTGTTGTAATATAGCTTTCTTAATTTTAACAATTTTAATGTTTAATGTATCCCAATTTCAGGAAGATATGGACTTCAAGAAGAAACAGATGGAAGAACAAAAGAAAATGAAAGAAGCCGCCGCCAATGCTGCCAAGAAAGGACCAATGGGAGGTGCTGGAATCAAAAAGTCCGGAAAGAAGTAATCGTTGTTATGTGCTGTTTTCTGTATTTTTTTTGGATAAATCTGATCATATTACAATTGAAAAGAATGTGGTGAAACGTGTTTTATTAAGGGCTTGGTCAGAAGTTTGTCGCTATGACAAATGGAATTTTGTTAAGTAAAAGATAATAGATTAAGTTATCATATTTTTTAAACTTTTTTTAAGGATTGTTTGTTTAAAAGCAAACAAAATAGCTAATCATAATAAAAGTAATGAACGCTTTGTTCACAGTATCCTGTTTAACATTTTAAAAATTATGTAGTGTCAATTTTTTTAAATGAATTTGGTTCCGCTTGTCTACGTAGATGTAAACTCTATGAATGTTCGTGCCAAACAATGTAAAATCTACTCGTACTTTTAAAAAATATATAAGATTTACGCAAAACACATGAGTTTGTATAAAAAAACTGTGACAGTTGAGGGTCAATTACGATTACACAAACTTTTTTATAATTCTTGGATTTGTATATAAGGATTTATATAATAGATTCAGTAGAACTATTTAAAGACTTAGTAGAGCTACAGTTCTATTTTATTGTGTTTTACAGAAAGCTACGTAGGTTTAGTCTAATTTTCAAATGGTTTATATTATATAACAAAGAGATTACTGACTAATTACAGCCACTGCCGACTTGCCACTTTTGGTCTTCTTGGGGTGAAAAATTTAAAAGTATAGCTTTTCCTTTTTACAATTTTCAACTTTTTTAAAAATTTTTGCGTCATCAATATAAAAAAATTGTCCAAATTTAATACTGCAAGTACACTTTGTACGAATTCATGGCATTTCATGGAATGTCTATCGGTTGTAACAACTAAACGGAGCTTATGTTACACATGCCACAGTGTGGAATAATTACTGTGTCACAACTGCTAGTCTATTTTCAAATAGATTTCGTATGTCAAATTACAGGATTCAGACTTTGGTTTTTGTCGATAAAAAGTAGGAGTAATGTAATGTAAATTATAAGGTACAACACTTTGTTTAGCACGTGGTTGGTTTGGTGAATTAGTGTACTGTCCATAATTGTTTTACTTTCTATTTTTGACTAGGTAAAGACACTTCTTTTTGTATTGTTATATAAGAATATTAATGTCAAAATAAGTTTTTCTTTATAGGACAAATCTTTGTTACAAAGCGATAAAACTTAGTTTACGCTTTAATAACAATATACTGTGTTTGGAATAGTAACTTAGATACATTTTGTATGATAAATTAATTTTAAAGAATTTTTTTTAGTAATTATGTTATATTATATTCCAGAAGTGTTGAATAACATTAACTTGTAACAGTTTTTACTACACAGTAAGCATGCGTTTTCATACTTATAACAAGTTTATCTGTTTGTGTGGTTATTTTTTTCATAATTTCGTTTACCTTTCATAAGTTCAATAAGTTTACATGAGTATTCACGTGTATATAACCCATACGACATCAATAAGAGTACGTGACATTTAAATGTAAACTTTGAGGGTCGTGGTATGTTGTCATTATTGTTTTATTCGAAACGCTTTACACATCATAATGAGTCTACAACTTTATTGGCTTTTTGCAGATTTTATAAAAGTGCAAAATTAATTTTACAGTAATATTTCGCTATTTACCGTGAGATTTTTTGAGTTTGCGTTAACTATCATACCTGAAGATATATAGTTATAACCAAAACTACAGTATGATATTGTAAATATAACATCATTCTACTGATTAAAACTTGTTTTCTTATTTGTCATCATTTTTTACGTTTTGCAATCTTGTTTCAACTACAATGTCAATAAAACCAATTACCATGAAGTACATTGTCGTACGTTTTCAGCCAATAGCGAAAATCATCTCAAGCAACTCACGCAATACAACGTTATGGTATGTCGGTTACTTTTTACACTTTTAAATAAAGTTTCTACTCAGGCCAGACACAGTTTCTTTACTGCGTCGTAGTACATTCATGTTCGTTTGACAATACATTACTGTTGTTACATGTAATTTTACACTGTTCACGTACATAAAAGAGAAGTAGTGTAACATATTTGGAAGTTTTAAAAAATATAATAGTTTTTTATTACTTAGAATTATTAGGTTGTTCAAATAATCCTGTGTTCTTAACTCTAAAAATTTGCTTTAAAAAAAGGCACAGGATTATGTGAACAACCTAATAAATTTTATCTTTGTTAATGTTATTGTAGGTAATTTTAATAAAGTCTATAATCTTGATTACTCTGTAAATTATGTATATTTAACTTCTAATTACTATGCTTTTATATACATTTGCTATGTAGTTTACTATGTAAAAGCTTTACTGGTTTGTAAGATTACTAATGCCAGTATCTGCTTTACGTTTACAAAGTAATGCAATTTACTTTTCTTTACTTAATAATAGTATTACTGTTGCTTTAAAAATTTTGTTACTCAAAAAAGCTGTGGGCCTGGTTTTCAATTAGGACAACTTTGAACGGTCTAAAAAAACTAATATAACAAGGAACGTTTTCAAAGGTGTACCCAAGTATATCACACTTTTTCTGGACGTTAGGTACCCCTTTTGGCACTTGTAAAATGCGAACCGGTCCTGCTTGTGACATTCAATTTTTTATCATTGCTTCTTTCTGTTTCGGCCAAAATTTTTCCTTTGTTTTATGTCTACTGTATGATCGTTCTGCTGTTTATTTTGAAGTCGTATTGGAACAAAGCTAAGCACTGAATATTACATTTGAATTTTTTGTAATTAAATTAAATGATCATTTGGTAATACAATTTTGTTTCTCAAAGGATTTGAGTAAGCAGAACTTGCATGTCCAACATTCGAAACGCCATGTCCTTTTAGATGAAACTGATGTAATCCAATTTATATATACATGATTATTATGTATTTTGCATCCCATTTTCATTAATTTCAAACTTTGATTTTTAAAAGCATAGTTCGAAATTTTAAAAATTCATTTCGCTCTGTAACTTTTTTTATCAATACTATTATACTATAAAGAAACACTTTCCCCTTGTTTTTGAAATAGTCTTGGCTACATTAATCGTATAATCTTATAGAACCCCTCTTTTCAGGTGTTCAAAATGGTAGACGCTTTGTCTACGGTAGAATATGTTGTGTTCATCGCTGCTATCATTGGAAATAGCATCTTTTTTCTGTTCATACGATACAAAACAGACCCGATCATGGACGTATATCGTATATTACTGTACTACAACTTGTTCTCAGACGTCTGTTTAACTGTATTTTCATTTTTCTGCAAACCTGTAAGTTTTTTAAATTACAATTGAAATTTGGGAGCTTACTGTAACTTTTATTATACTGCTTTACTGTGGCTTTTTATAATGTTGTACTGTAGTCTGAAATGTGGTCCCTTTTTGTAAACTTGTAATTACATTAGCACGTAAACCTTCTTAAAAAATAATAGAGTTACAATTATAAGTACTTAAAGGTTTACCACGTGAGAAAGTAAAGTCTATAATTATAAGTTACTATTTTTTAAATGTTTACGTAAGTTGCAAATATAAAGATCACAATGTAATAGGTGTAATTAACCACAAACTGAGCTGTAAACTATATACTACAAGATACGATACTTCTGTGAATGTAAAAAAAACAGCACAGTAAAAAATATCTTGTTTAAACCTGCAATACGTTTTTGAAAGAAATAACAATACCTAAAAATGAGTACCTTATTCCTTTCCAGATGATAGTAATATACGATAGTCACGCTTACTTCCTCGGTAACTCTCCCATTCAATACGAAACATCTCATTTCCATTTTATCATGTTTTTACTGTACATCTTTTGCTTTTACCAGCCATTCGTCGTATGCCCAATGACATATTACTTTAGATACTTGGCTGTTTGCGAGTAAGTTTTTACTGCTAATTTTTGGTTACAAGTTGACTTAGTAATAATTATTACATCTTTCAAAAATATAGTCTTTAATTACTAATACAGCAACTTTCTAGGGCTAGAATATTATCAACGGCACACTTTTTGTTGTTAGCTTTATTTTGGACTATCGTAGCTGTTGGAAGTGACTGTTTCTCAGCTTACTTGAGCGTCTACCCTACAGAAGAGCGACTTACAGAGTTTCATGAACATGTCAGTGCAAATACGACACTTCTCAGAGCTATAGAACGACCGTTTGCTGGACTTTCAGCTGATAAAGATGTAGGTATTTAGTTTTTACAGGTATTTTTACATGGTTTTTGACATAGATTTTTTATAAAAACGTTTAACAATTGTAAAAAGCGTAATGTTGGCGTTTTTTAATATGGTATAAAGTATACCTTAAATATTTGACACCGTATAACATGGAAAATTTAAAAAAACAACAACAAAGTTCTCTGCTCATGCCTAAAATAAACATTTTTTCAGCTAAGAATGCTAACATTTACCTTAACGGTAGGATTTGTTATCGTATCAGCGTCATACATCCTGACATTCACCTTCATGCACTTGGTGACATCGTCTTTCCGGGTACGTAACCGCGGCACAAAATGGCATGACATAAACAAACAGATTGCTCGTGTTATGTTGGTACAAGTGAGTTTTTGTATCGTACAACGTCTAAATCACAAACACACATTTGCCTCAGCATTTACGTGTCATTTTTAATACAATACTGAAGTTCACTCACTCTCAGCACCATCCCCTAATATAAAAAAACAATGCCAATACACCTACACCTAATTTTAGGCAAGCGTACCAATGTTACTAATGGCCCCGGGCTACATGTTACTATTCCAAATGTACACTATGGGAGCAGAGTCGGACTTCAAGCAGTATCTCATGAACATCCTCATGACGATGGCGCCGCTTGTAAATCCGTATGTTGGCGTTCTCATGGTAAAAGCGTATCGGGACCAAATCAAAAGCTGGTTCACTGGTACTACTGTGACAGAAGTGTTCCCGGAAGAGAGGACGGCTTCTAATGCTTAAGAATGGATTCATAAGAATAAATTACAATATATGTATTTCATAACTCATAAAAAACGAAAGATAAATTATATTGTTCAAAGTAATAAAACATTTATGATGTTATATTCACTTTATTTACTGGAAGTAGTTTTAAATATATGTAATAAAAAGCAAAAACTAAAATTTTAAAACCTACTTTACTTTGACTGTTTTGTTTTGAATACATATTTGCAAATTTCGTAAAAGAGCTAACTAAAAACCCACGAAATTTATTATTTTTGGACACTTTCCGTCGTATAACTTGTCGCTTTTATACACGTTGGAAAATTCGTGGCGTAAATTTTTTTTCGTCTGCAGACAGATCTGATATTGGATTCTTGAAGCGGCTGTTGATCATTACAATATGGTGCTGATAGCTGCATCTATTTACAGTAAAAGTGGCAAATGTAAGTTATCTTATATTTTTCTTTCGTCTTTTAGTTATTTGGTTTTAAAGTTTAATTTTGTTATTTTAGTGCTGCTATGTCGTACATTTGTCTCGGAAATGACCAGAGGTCGGCTTCAAGGCTTGGTTGATACTTTTCCAAAGCTTGTCATTGGCGAGAAGAGTAAGTTTTTACATTTGAACTATTCTTTTAAGGTTAATTCTAAATGAATCATAAGCGATTAGATGAATTTGATCTTGCAGTTAGATTACTTTTCTTGTGTTGTTTCTACTATAATATTGTTTTAGATCAAAAAGAACATACATATGTGGAAACAGATTCGGTCAGATACGTTTACCAGCCAATGGATAAGATCTACTTGGCTTTGATTACCACCAAGACCTCAAACATTATGGAGGACTTGGATTGTCTTAGATTGTTTGCCAGGATCGTGAGTTATTTATTTATTTTTATGGGTTTAGGTATAAACTTCAAAGGAAAGGTCGTTTTGGTTTGATTTTCGTTTTATATTTTCTTTTGGTTAATTTGTATCTAAAACTATGGTATATAGTTTATAGTTGGATGAAAAGGGTGATAATTGGTTGATTTTTGTAGATTCCCGAATACTGCCGTTCGAACGACGAATCTGAAGTGTTTAACAATGTTTTCGAATTGATTGCTGCGTTTGATGAAGTTGTAGTGCTTGGATACAGAGAGTCGGTAAATTTGGCTCAAATTAGAACGTTTACTGAGATGGATTCACACGAAGAAAGAATCTTCAATCAAATACAGATTGTAAGTTGTCTAGCTGTTTTATATTTACTTTGCTTTGGGCCATATTATGACACTTTTATAGTTTTTTGTGTTGTATTGACATATTACAGGCGCAGCAAAAGCAAGCCAAGAACAACATGTTGGAGAAGGCTAAGGAAATGAAGATGAAGAAGAAGGCAATGGGCGGAGTTGCTGGTGGTTTTCAAGGAGGTTTTGGTCGCACGTCTGCGTCTTCAGGTATTTTTCTTTAGATTTTAACGTAATGTGCTAGGATTTTTAGTTTTTTTGAATATTATCAATAAGGTATCAAAACATTTAAATCTTATTTTTTCTTTTAGGAACCGCGCCTACAGCTTCAGCTTCGTTCAAAGCTCCGATCGCTTCTTCTGACTTCGGAGCTCCTTCTTCTGAAGCCTTTAAGCCTAAACCAAAGGTTGGAGGAACCGGAAAAGCTCTCAAGCTTGGAGCCAAATCTGCTACGGAGGATTCTTTCCTTCAACAACTTCGTCAAGAAGGGCAGGTTGTTACCGAAACACATAGTGTAAGTTGTTGTTTATAAGAAAAGGAATACGAAAAACTTTTTACACAAATCAACTTTAAGTCTACCCTAATTTGGTTTTATTTAATCTTTTAATCATATTGGATATTATTACATTTGAGTAGTTTGAACTGTTTCAGAAACAACATGCGGTCGACCCGGTACAAGAAGTGGCCGTACACCGAGAGCCTGTTCATATTAAGCTTGTTGAGAAGATCACAGCTCAAGTTCCAAGAGGTGGAGGTTTGAAGTCGGCCGAAGTTCAAGGAAATGTTTCTTTGAACATTTCTGATCCAAACTTCAACACCACTGTTATTGCCATGAAGAACAACAACAACTCGGAAGCCCAACTTCAAGTCCATCCTAATCTGGATAAAAAGATATGGCAAGCGGAAGGAATATTAAAGTTAAAGAATCTGAACAAACCGTTTCCTCCAAACACTGATGTTGGAGTACTGAAGTGGAGGCTACCTTTGCAATCCGAAGATGAACTTCCATTATCAGGTAGGGTCAAATTCATACAGTAAGAGGCGGCATAGTTAAAGGTTTAGCAGTTTTAAGAGTGTATGCGGTAAATGCTATAACTTAAATTGAAGAAAAATAGAAGCTTGTATAACGTCGTTTCATCCTTTACATTTAGGTTTATAATTTTATTTCTTTTAGTCGTATGCTGGCCAAACGAAACTGGAAATGGAGTCACAGTCAATGTAGAGTACACTCTCGAAAAGAAGGAGTTCAGTTTGGAAAATGTGAAGATCTCCATTCCATTGCCGTAAGTTTATACTAAAACAATTTGTTAAATTATGAACATGTTAATAAGCTTTTCTGACTAAATTTTAGAATGAAGAATTTGAATTTATTATATCTTTTTACTATTTTTGCTTCTTAACTACACTACTTCCTACAAATGACTATTTTTAGGCCATCGACCGCTCCAATTGTATCCGAATGTGAAGGAGACTACGAATACCTGAAGTCAAAGAACACCCTCCTTTGGTCGATTCCTTCCATCGATGACTCAAACAGCAATGGCACTTTGGAGTTTGAGGTAGCAAATGGTGACAGCGAGCACTTCTTCCCGGTTAACGTCGTCTTTTCGTCTCCAAACCTGTTCGTGGAACTGGCTGTCACTGGCGCTCATTCGTTTGAAGGACAACAACCAGTACAGTACAGTACCGAGACCAAGTTGGTCACTGATAACTACCAGATTTTGTAAACGATAATTTTAATATATTTTCTGTCTTTATTTATATCTTTATAAGTATTTGGTTCGTTCTAATCTTGTGATAGAAATAAAATAAATTTTGTAATATTTTGAATAGGTTTTTTAAATATTGAAAGTAATCTCGACAATGTACGTATGGAACATAAGTAATGTAACTTCAGTCCTTTTGAAATTAAGTCTTCCTGTAGAAGTTGACGGTAAAAACCTCATATACCATTGTCGGTTGATCTTACAATACAGTTTATCTAGTCTGGGTATAATGGAAGGCGATGACTTGATTTCTCGCGGAGTTTCGGATTTCAAGAGACGGAACGCCAAAGAACCTTTTTTCGTTCCGAAGGTCCATTAAAGTTGTGACCTGTGTGTGTTAATAAGCCTACCGTTTTCTTTTTCAATTTACAGTTGGTAATACCAATTGTTAAAGTCCTCTTTAACAGGATCAAAAAAATTGATTCGTGATAGTCGCAATAATTGATGTTCCATCTTCAAATCTTCCACTCGGCCATCCATTGTGACAATTTCCTTAATGTCGGCATTGAAGGTTTTTACTCGGATGCTGTCTAAAGTAAAGACCCAGGATAAACGCAAAATTTTGATAAAACTTGCCTCTTTCAAAGCGCAAATAAACATGCTTAGACACGTTATTTGTAAAGGATTCCATTACGCTGAAGTTTGGCAGAACTAGATGATATCTTACGCAGTAACGGTAGTATCTACCCAATTGAAGACTTGGATCGGGTTTAAATTCTTGCCAGTAATCAAACTGTTTTTTATATATTTAACATATCTTTCTATATAAATGTTGAAATTCAATCAGGGGGGGGACGGACAGCCACCTGTAACTTTAAACAATTCGTCATTCAAATAGGTCGAAACTCAGTAAACCTAGTGGTAAAAGTTTATTTCTCAATCAAAAGCAGGCAACCCAAACTCTTCAGGCTTGAAGTCGGCCATACTCTTTAGAATGTTGTCCAATTTGGGTCTCAATCCCTCTATCTCGGCCTTGGAAGCATCACAAAGGAACTCGTCTTGAGGAATCATGATACAGTGCATTCCTGCCGACAACGCGGACTTGCAGCCATTCACAGAATCCTCGAACACGATGCATTTGCTCACGTCGGAAACGCCCATGTCCTTGGCACAAACCAGGTATGGATCCGGATTCGGCTTTCCTCTTTTGACACGAGCGTCGGAGCCGGCTAAAATACGAAGCGGAATCATGTCCAGCCATTCCTTTAGCTTTCTGGTCTTGATCTCGAACTCGTCGGCCGCTGAAGAGGTACAGATGGCTATGGGAACCTTGTGCTTGTGAAGGTGACGGATCAACCGGTCGGCTCCTGGCATCGGCTTCACGTCCTGAAGGAACTCGTCGTACAATTCTTTGTATTGCTAAAATGCTGTAGTAGGCTTATTATAAAAAAGCATAAAAACAAATATGACTTTCTCTTAGATAGTTAGAGCTAGAATAATAAACTTAAAAGTAACATAATATAAAACTGAATAATACTAACTAACTAGTTATAGGTAATAAAACCTTCCATTGTATTACATTCAAAACAGCCATACCCTTTCATACTCTTCGATTGTAACCTTGCCCTCCAGGCCATTCATCTTCACAATTGTGTAAACCTCGTCTTGTTTTCTCATTCCTTGAATTGCCAGTTTCTGTTTCAAATCGAACGTTTTGCCCCATTTGGCCAACATTCTTCCGTGCATAATCGAGTACAAGCCTTCTGAATCTACCAGAATCCCGTCAAAATCAAAAATGACATGACTAATTTTGACTTTGCCTTTTGATTGAGAGCCACTCATGATCAGTAACAGTCAGTATAACGAAGGAACCACCGGTCGATCGTCAAATTTTGTTAAAAACAAGGTTTTGTTTGTTTACGCATAAATTTAAGTTCATTTTTGAATAATATTTTCGCTAAAAAGTGGTTATTTTAAATATGGTTTGTCATTTTTGTATATTTACGTCACTCTAAAGTTGCAACGATAATAGATTTATGCACGACAACGAAAAATTGTTTTTGCCAAATAATCTTGGCGTTCCGATACATATAATTTGTGATGCGAAAATTTGATTGGATCGAAGAGATTGTTTATACGTTCCAATTTTATATCTTGTATATTTCGTTTTGTAAATTCAGAATAAATTTTGTATTTTTCCGAAGTAAATGGTAAGTACTTTAATATCTTTTAGTCTAAGGGCAATATTTTGTAAAATTATAGAAGTTTTACAACAAAATGCAATGTTAAATTCACAATATTAGTGTTTATTGGTATAATGTTTTCTATTTTAGTCGTTTTTTGGATTTGGGCAATCCGCGGACTTGGCGATTACTTTAGTAGATGAAGCTTCACGTAAGACAGCTTCAATAAGGTCGGAAGATGGTGGACAAGAGACTCATTACCTGTTTTTCGATGGGGAGACAGTGGCTGGTGAACTGAACATTAAACTGAAGAAGGCTGGGCAGCGATTAGAGCATCAGGGCATTCGCATTGAGCTTCTGGGTCAAATTGGTAAGTTATTTTCGTCTTTTTGATGTTTTATGTTTAGAAGTGTACTACGACCGAGGAAATCAACATGAGTTTCTGTGTTTGACTAAAGACTTGGCTAGGCCAGGTGAATTGACATCAAATGCCGTGTTTTCGTTTAGTTTTGCCAACGTTTCGAAGCCATACGAAAGCTACATGGGAGTTAACGTTAAAGTTAGGTAAGGACGGTTGTGTATGGTTTAATGGTGTTGAAACGGTTATTTTTTGTTATTATGTAAATTTAGCTACTAATTTGCGTATGTCATGGGTTTTGCACGGAATTGTATGTTATTTTAATTTTTTTGAGTCAAAAAAGTTAATTTGTTGCTTTTTTTTATTTTTAGGCTTTTTAGGTATCATTTTGGTACCTTTTAAAATTTTTTATTATAAAATACGGTTAATATTTTATTTTAATGTTTTTTGCAGGTATTTTATCAGAGCGACGATTTGCCGACGTTTAACAGACCTAACAGCGGAGAAGACTTTGATTGTGCATTCGTTGTCAGCTTATCCAGAAAATGAACCTAACATCAAGATGGAAGTTGGTATCGAAGATTGCCTGCATATTGAATTTGAGTACAACAAATCTAAGTACCACTTGAAGGACGTGATAGTTGGAAAGATCTACTTCTTGTTGGTTAGAATCAAGATCAAGAACATGGAATTGTCGATTCTGAAGAAGGAATCAGTGGGCTCAGGCCCATCTTTGTTCTACGAGACTGATACTGTGGGCAAGTACGAGATTATGGACGGAGCACCAGTGAAGGGAGAGAGTATTCCGATCAGATTGTTCCTATCTTCTTTTGATCTGACACCGACGATGAATGATGTGGGAAAGAGATTCTCGGTCAGATATTACCTAAATCTGGTGTTGGTAGATGAAGAGGATCGACGATATTATAAACAACATGTAAGTGGGGTTGTGTAGTTTTAAGGTCATGTTACACTACGTAGATATACTTTTTAAAGTTTAAAATAAATTGTTTTACTTTTTGGATTTTTGAAAAAAAGGTCAAATTTCAAAATTGTTACTTTTAGTATAGGTACTAGTGCTTTGAAGATCTATGATTGTTTTTAGGAGATTATCTTATTCCGTAGAGCGGACAAACTTGCTCGTCGACCTCTATGCGAACAGATGATCAACTCCACAGCATCACAATGTGAAGACATTAATGACAACAAGCCTATCAGCGTGGGACCAGAGCCAGACACAGTAGCACCAGAAGTGGATTGAACGACAAAATATTTATTACGCGTTTCCTATACTTTTCAAATCTCTAATTTCATTGATTGTGATAAACGATAAGACTTTTGCTTACTTTACAATGCTGTTTCGCATTATTTGTGAGAAATGTTTTGATTCTGATCACACCATACATTGTAGATATTGTTATAGTGGTATGTGGGGCTTTTATTTATATTTGAAGTGGGGGTTGTTGTGTTGTTTATTATATTAAAGCTGAAGTTTAGGAATAAGTAAAAGGGTTAGAAGGGACAAAAAAGTAGTTAAACTTGAAGCGCTAACAATGTCACGGTATGACACATGTTTTACTGTGATATCACAGTGAAATATATTGTTTTACTTCTTTATTTTGAAAATCTAAAGTTGTTTTACATATTACACATGACAAAAACATGTTTAATGTTGTTGTATTGCTTTTTTTAGATAAGAAAGCAATGAAAGGAATTTGAAATGAAGGGAAATTCTTTTTGTTTCTTCTACTATAACTGCTCCATGAATTATCTTCGGTTTTTAAACTTATGAAACTGAAGATTTTAATTTATGAATTAGCCTGGAATTTAGTTGATATAGAAAAATAAGTATCTATAATATAATTATAGATATTTACTTTAGGGGTGAAAGTATCTTTAGAACTGTTAGAGTAACCTTATTTTTATTTTATAAAGTTTGATTTTTTTTATTTTGCTTGACTATCATATACCATGGTTTACAGTCATATAGAATAGACACATACTTATGTATTAGACTGTTCAAATAATTCTGTGCTTTTAATACCGAAAATTTTCTTTGAAAGAGGGCCCAGAATAATTTGAACAACAAAATAGAAGTGATGTTGTCTATAACGAGTGTTTTTCATTTTATTAGAAAATACAACACTGTATTATAAAATTACTGTTTTGGAATTCATCAAGAACTGAACTGTATTGGTCTGTCCACGATTCGCGACAAACACTGTTTTGTATGCTAATATCGAATACGAATCCATGACTCATGTCAATGGCTTCGGTGGAGGTCAAATGAGCGTCCGACCAGGAATTTGGCGCTTTTTTGAGATCCGTTTGTTTTTTGATCCATCTCTTTTTTAGCTGGACATTAAGTGATCTTTGTCCTTTCATTTTAATGAACTTTGGGTAGCTTACAGTTAGTTAACTTTTACAGCAATTTTTAAATCTATGTTCTTACAATATTTCACAACTTGTGTAGTGTGTTGAATGAGTTAAGGTTTTTAAGTCAAATTATACCATAACGGCTAAAATTACTGTAGGCTATTTATTTTAAAAAGATTTTAAAATTTTTACGCTTTTTAACTTTTGACGCTTTCTTGAATAAGGGCAATAAATAGTGGTATTAAGTGGTAATTACAACGTTTTTGACACGAATTCAAAGGTCGTTTTGTTGTTCGTGAGGTCATTTGGGAGGAAAAGGCACTTTCGAATTGACTTTTTGTATTTTTAAAAACTTGATGAATATGTACTGTTAATTTTGAAATATTAAAAAAATTTTTTACTGTACTTTTTTATGTTGCTTTACTTTTACTAAATTTAATTTTTATTTTTTTTCAATATTTTTATTATCATATACTATTAGGTTGTTTAAATAAGTCTGAGCTCTCTTACACCGAAAATTACCTGTCAGAGGAGCACAGAATTATTTGAACAGCACGATATATTCAGTACTGTTTTCACCCGTTATCTAACTTCAACTAAACTTAAAATATTTCCAGAATCCAATGTGGCATCGTCAGAAGAAGCCCCAGAACGAAGAGAATTCTGTGCCAACCGTACCCGTGAAGCACTCCCAGCCTCCGGCCATACCTCCAAAGTCAGGCGAGAAGAAGTCGATCACGAAACGAATATTGAAGTTCAGCGGATTAACTTCCAACAACAACAATTCGGATGGAAAACTCTCGTCGTCCGAACTGAAGCGCCTGGAGGAAACCAAAAATCGACTGTTCAAGAGTAAGTTACAGTACTGTTAGATTGTTTAGTGTTCAGGTGTCTACAGGGGTTTTGGGCATGTCTACTAGGGATTTTGAAAGTACATATATTAGTATACATTATATGTTACTACTCAACATACATTATGGTAAATGTATTAGGAAAAGTACAGTATTAGGAGTTCACAAAAGTTTTGTCGTTTAAAACTTAGCAAAACAATACAAACCAACGACAGAACTTTTGTTTTACGTTGATAATTCATGTTTTATACAGTTCTATAGACTTTTTGACCAAGTTCTTTTCTCAAAAAGTTGGCTCACCATAATAACCAAAACAATTGTGATATACTGTTTCCAAAGCACATCTACTGTATTATTATATCCTTAAATTGATACAGTCGGAATGACCACTGACTCACGCTCAATACGGCTTTTGTGACGCACCGTTCCTCGTTTTTGTACATTTTGAAGAAATTCTCTTTCCCGTGAGCGTCGCTCTTCCTGCAGCGACGAAAGAGAGCGGCTACAGAAGCAGAAGGAAGAAGGCGCGATCGAGGCGAGGTCATCGAATCTGTTTTTTACCCAAAATAACATTGATATAACCGGGTTAAGTGTGATTCTAAGCGGTGGGGTTATGGAGGTTTCAATTATTTTCTGGGGGTGTTTTGGGCTTGGGAAATTGTGTTTTTAAGGGGATTGTTTAGGCTTAATTGTGATTTTTGTTTGGAAAAAGTAGGCTTGATTTGGCTTTAATTTTAGGGTATATTTTGAATTTTAAATTTATTTTTAAATTGATAAAGAGATAAAAAAAATAATTGTCTTCAGTTTTAAAAATGATTTTTTGTTCAAAAAGTTCATAGAATCTACATATTTTACCTTTTTTAATGATTTTTCAAACTTTTCTGATTAAGATATTGTTCTCTAAGACTATATTTATTTGTTATACACGTATTTTTGTTTGTTTTTAGTATCTTACTCTAGCTTTGTTACAAAATATTTATGAATTTGTACATTTTCTTATCTATTTTAGGTCCAAAAAGTCCCACCAAGGGTTCTGATGAGCCTTTACGATCTCCACTGAAGACGTTGACAACTTCGCCCAATCTGATTAGTCAACCATCGTCAAGTTCGACCAGTCCACGATCAGATATGTCATCTGATGTTACCTACGTTCTACCAAAAACGTTTAACATTCCCAATTTGAGCCTGCCAGCGTTGGCTTCAGTTCAGGTCAAAGCTCGAGATGTCGTTCTACATCGGAATGTAGCTGGTGGGTTTATATAAATTTTGAATGAGTTTAGACGTTTTAGGTTATCTTGCTATTAAAAGCGTATTTTAGGCAGTGTTGGCTAAGTTTTCTTTAGTACTATCTTTAGCCTAGTCTATGACTTTGAAAGTATAAAGATAAAGCATTTTAGGAGATTTTGGCTTCACGATTCGTCGAATCCAATACCCAATAACAACTGAGAATGGCACAGAAATGTCGCATCTGATCTTTGCTGAACCAGTGGACCACCTTAATGGTCCTCCTCGACCGGGTGACCTTTTGAACGGTCTTCTGCCTGGCGATCAACTCCTAGAAGTCGAAGGGTACGATGTCAACAAACTGAAGCGTGACGATCTTCTGAAGCTGATCCAAGAAGCTGGTCAGAGCATCCGACTTCGAGTACAAGTTGTACCAGAATTGGCTGAACTGGCTTCCAAGTCAGGTGGTGATGAGTTACATCTTATCAGCAATGTCAAGGATGCTGATATCAGTGGGATTTCAGAGGACAAACGCTACTGGCTGATACACTCCAATGGCTACAGTCTTGTTGAGCTACTGGCTCAACAAGAAGATGGTTTAGTCAAAATAAATGTGTCCGGCCAGGAAATGACAGTAGACGCATCTGACCTGGACAAAGCCAATCCAGTCCAGTTCGACCGTGCCAATGACATCGTGGCTCTGAGGAATCTGAATGAGACTTCTGCCATTCATTTACTGCGTAATAGACTTGGCAGCGGACTACAGTATACTGCAGCTGGGGTTAGGAATCTGGTTTATTTGGCTAGCCAAACTCAAGAAACCAAGGGATTCAACCAAGATCTGATAAGGATGTTCAAAGGATGTAGAAGAAGTCAGCTACCTGCTCATATATTCACCATGGCTCAACAGGTCTACAGACAGATTCAGATCACTTCGAAGCCTCAGGCTGTCATACTGAATGGTGCTTCTGGTACTGGAAAGTCTCAGCAAATCAGAAGTTTCATCGAGTTTTTGTGTGGATCTGCTGGCTGGACTAAGAAATTGACTTGTAGGTTGTTTTGACTTGGTACTATGATATTACTATTGACATGATGATTATGTCAATAGCAATAGTAATTATGACATATGTAAAATAATTTTAAAAATGGATAAAATTGTATTTTAGACGAAGAAATATCGTTGGCAATTGGAATTTTAGAAGCTTTCGGTAACTGTTCTACTGAATTGAACCAGAATTCATCAAGATTTGTACAGTATATTACTCTAGGCTTCGATACGACGAGTGCTTTGAAGTGAGTGTCATCTTTTTTTAAATTCAACTTGATTTTATCTCATTATGGCCCTTTTCTTGATTGTAAGCAAAATAAAAATTATCTATTCAGCTCCGCGCGGATTCAAACTTTATTCTTGGACCTCGAGAAGATAACGTCACGCAAGCCCACAGAATCCACTTTCCATATCTTCTACTATCTTTGGGAGGGTGTAGATAGCACCACCTTCGATTCCCTAGGCTTTTCATTAATCGACCGACCATTTTTCGAAGAAAATCTATCAGAAACTGATCGAATCGCGGCCAAAGAAGCCTTCCAACGAGTTCTGGAAGCATTCAGAAGTCTGAATTTCACGCAAAATCAAATTGAAGGTGTGCAGAAGGTATTGGCAAGTATTCTACACTTGCTATACTCTGGAGCTCAAGGCAATTTGGCTACGAAGTCAGCGTTTACACGACACAGTAATGCGGAGAAAGCCGCCGATTTGCTGGGAATCAGCTATGAACAACTGAATCTGGCTGTCTTCAAAGGGTCACAGAACTTTGATTCTTCAAGGTGAGACTATATTGTACAGTACAGACACTATAAAACGTATTTTTAATACAAAGCTTTGTTTTTATTAAGAATGCCACTTCTTAAGACCAGAATAGGTTTTGTTACCTATCAATTATACTCTTTCAGTCGCTACAACCTGGTGAACCAATCAGGCCACGAAGCGTTGGTATCGTTCGTCCAAGTACTCTACAGTGAACTATTCTCGGCCATATCAACTCAAATCAACAAGTATTTAAACAAACAATCGCCCTTTACAACAATATCTCTACTTGATGTACCTGGCTCTACCTTCCATGCCAATGTTAGTGAACCAGCTGATTTGAGTGATTTTACCTACAATTACTTTAATGAAAGGATCTCTGAGTTGTTTTACAAAGTCAGCTTCAAGAATCCAGTTGAGTTGTATCAAAGGGAGAAGGTCGATGTTGAGGTAGAGAAGCCGTTGAGCAATCCTGGTCATGTTACTCGGCTGTTTGATAGGAAACAACAACTTGTAAGTTGATTTTAAGAGATAATTTGGTAGAAGGGGTTTTATAATATAACTTTATTTGTATAAATTGGTCATCATTATTAAGGCTAGCCTTTAGTCAATAAAATCTAAACGTATTTCAGCTCAACTCAGCGGACGTGGACCGTCGTAGCGAAGAACCTCGAGGCATATTCTACGTTTTGGAAGAAGAATCCGTGTTTCCAGGAGCCAATGAACAGTCCTTGATAGAGAGGATCTTTATGCACACAGAGGAAAGGTTGGTAAAGCGGTCTCCAAAGGATCGACTACAGTTTTGTGTAGCTCATGCGATGAATCAATGTACGGTGAGCTACAAAGTGACCGACTGGTTGAAGAAAGTGAAGCCAACAGGAGCCATGTTGAGCTTGAGTCAAGTGCTACAGAATACTGCCAGGTAGGGTTTTATGGGGGTGATTAGGGGTGATAAGCTGAGAGATAAGGTCCTTCACCTTTAAGAGCTTTTCAGTGTAAAACGCATAATTTATTACTTTACTTTATGGTGTATGTCGGGTTAAGTTTTTCAAATCTTAAAAATATGCAAATTTATGAAAAATTGAAGGTCATAGTAGTTTTAAACTGAATAAAACAATGCTTAAATCAAAGACTCCTTTCTCATATTACTATTATATAAAAATGCCCCGCGGCTACTATGCTTGCTGGAAGGAATAAAACTTAATTTGAACAGATTTCGGGGGAGGAACATCAAAGCTAACTTAATATCTAAATAGCTGTTTGTACAAGTCATTTGCTCTTTGTATGGAAGGGGATGTTGTTATAGTATGAATTATGGATAAAATGGGTGTTTTATATGTTAAAAAGTTTGTTTTGAGGCGATAAACTGGCAAATAAACCTATCTTTAGTTTTAAAATGACCAAGACTTACTTTACTTTTTTGATTTATACCCGGTTGAATATCAAAAAACTCGAAAATATTAATTTTATGCCAAAATACGATAACTTCTCGCAATATCTACCACACTTTTATAAATTTACCACAATTTGTAACACGATACGTTTCAGTGAAAGCATCCGCGACCTATTCACCGTGCCCGGTTTGAAGGAGGGTTCGTTTAAATTGAGGCGAGCGACACAATCAGTTAACGAGATTGTCGCTTCAGTCGGCGGAGGATCTTTTGGCGGCTACTTTACCGCCCTAACCAGTCAATTTGTAAGTTTTAAATCTCGGGATGGAATCAAAATTGTTTTTATTGGCTTTTCGAGGTTTATAATTTCACGAAAATGTTTATTTTTTAAGTTTAGGTAACATTTTATGAGTTTAGGTATTGTTTTTAAATATTTAGGTAACAATTTTGGGACTTGGGTAACATTTCTGAATTTTTAGGTAACATTTTATCATTTTAGGTAATATTTTTTGTTTTTAACAACTGAAAATCAATTTTTCTTTCAGGACCAACTGATTTCCTTGATCGAACGTTCTGATCGTATCCATTTCATTCACTGCCTTCAATCGGCCGATACTCAAATGCATCGGACTGAACTGCTGGATGTCGGTCTGGTCCGGGCTCAGCTTCGTGCTGGTCTTCTGATCGAATCAATCAGATCGTCGAACAGAGGATACCCAGAGAGAATGCCGTTCCGTGATTTCAGACGACGCTTCCAATGCTTAGTTAAGGAGAACTACAGTAGTGTCAGTCTGAGTGACACTTTGGATGATAGGAGTGCTGTTAAGAAGATCTTCGAGAAAATGCAAATTTTCGAGCATCGCTACAGATTAGGTATCTCTCAGGTGCTGGTGAGGTCAGATGTGGTGGCCGAATTGGAGGAGAAGAGAGATCTTTGCTTGTCAGGTATGTTGTAGTTGATAGAAAAGTTGTAGTAGGATAGAAAAGTTGTAGATTTGGATTTTGTTGAGTATTTGGTCGAAAAGGTTGTAGAAATATGGTTAGTGTTTATGACTAGGTGGACAAAAGATTATTTTTTGTTTCTATTAGGTTGTCCGGAAAGTTCTGCAATATTTATTCACTTTTGAACTAACAATAATAACAATATAATTAACAACTACAATAAATCAAAGTAATTACCGTCTGAATCAATACAGTCTTGCCAACGATTTACAAGCTTTTTTATTCCACGATTGTCGAATTCCGGGTTTCTGGAGTTGATGAAGTTCTTGAAGGCATTCTTGGCATCGTCTGGAGTTTTGAAGATTCTTCCATTAAGAAACGAAGACAAGTGTTTAAAAAAGGTGAAAGTCCGTTGGAGCCAAGTCTGGAGAATAAGGAGGGTGCTCCAAGACTTCGTATCCCAGTTCCCTGAATTTTGCCACGGTCTTCTTTGCAGCATGGGGCCGTGCGTTATCCTGCAGAATGATCGGACCCCTCCTTCTGACCATTGTTGGAAGATTGTGTCGCAGTTTGTCAATCTGGGCACAGTAGGTGTCGGCCGTAATACTTTGGCCAGGCTTCATGAAATCGTACTGGATCACTCCAGAGCTACACCACCAGTCAGTCACCATAAGCTTCTTTTCGTGCAATTCTGGCTTCGGAACGTGCTTAGGAGCTTCTCCACGCTTACACCAACTTGTAGATTTTCTAGTATTGTTAAACGAGATCCACTTCTCGTCAATAGTTACAATTCGATCCAAGAATTCTTCGTTTTTGCAGCGTTGCAGAAGCTTTTCGGAAGCACATCGTCTCTTGGCTTTTTGCAGATCAGTCAAATTGTGAGGCACCCATTTGTCCAACTTTTTGACCATACCCATTGCCTTCAAATGATCACCAATGGCACTTTTTCCACAGTTTAGTAACTCTTCTAACTCCCGGATTGTAATATATGGGTCATCTTCAATCTTGCGCTTCAGGGCTTCTTTGTCAAGTTTGCTGGGTCTTCCTGCACGTGGTTTGTCTTCAAGCTTCTCATCGTCCACACGAAACTTTGCGAACCATGGTCACCGTAGAATAACTCACAACATTCTTACCCTCATTTTCGTTTATGATTCTGAAGGTTTCTGCCGCAGTATTTCCGCGTTTGAATTCATTCCATATAATCACGCGCAGGCGAGATTTCTCCATTTTTTTCTAATACCTAAAACAATACAAAAAAATGAAATTAAGTTATGTAACTTACCTTTTTGAATAATTTAGGTAACAAACAAACAAACAAAAAAAGAATTTTTTCTTTCCGTCAAGAAATAAATTTTTTCTGATTTTTCAAAGTTTACCTACTCAAATATTGCAGAACTTTCCGGACAACCTAATACCTACTTTTCGATCAAAAATATGTTTCTACTTACTTTTTGATCAATTATTTGCCAACCTTGACAAAAATGCTTTCAAAGCGTCATACTGTGTGTTGCAGGAGTAATAGAAGCCTTCCAACGGGAATGCCGTCTACATTTGTCAAGAAGATGGTTGGAGAAGAGGAGGATACAAGAACAAGCTGTCACTTGTTTGCAACGGAATCTAAGTCAATATCTGAAGCTGAAGGATTGGCAGTGGTGGAAGTTGTTCGTCAGGGTCACACCACTACTTGGGGTTGCTAGGTATGGCAACTTTTTAAAAAATGCTATAACAAATGTTATTCTATCTCACTCTGCTTTACCTTGTCTTACCCTAACCTGACTCTTCTTACCTTAAATTTACCTTGCACTGTCTTTCCTTACCTACCTCACCTTACTCTACGCTATAAAGCATTTTTACTCTCACTTATCAATTTTTAGCCTTATCTTTCAAACTTACAGTACCACTTTTAGAGCTGATGAGAATGAAAAGCAATGGAAACTTCAGATTCAGAAGTTGGAAGGCCAGAATTCGGAGCTGAAACAGTCCAGAAATCAGCTGGACGAGCAGGTTAAGGACATAGAGAACTTGTTGAAGGTAGAGTGTCAGACCAATCAGAATCTGGCCAACAGTTTGGAGAGGGAAGCGGCCCTGAGGGTCAGATTGGACGGAGAGTTGAGGCATCTCAAGAACAAACTCAACTTCATAGGTGGGTTACTGTAACTTTGTACTGACTTTTATTGCTATTGTACTGTACTTTTGTAAGAACTACTGTAATTTATTATAAGTCAATGTATTTCGTCGATTACTGTAACTTTTTAGGTTTAAAATTACCGTTTATGGCTGTGTAACTAAATGTATATGGCAGATTTTGCCTTTTTTCAATGTTTTTACTCTTATTTTGATGCAAAAACAATGGCGCATCTCGAAAAGTATCAAACATCTGCCTCGAGTTGTAACCCAAAACAAACTTGTAATACCTGTAAGGTCAGATGACAGTAGAAGAGAACTTACAACTGCGAGTTGATTAATCAAAATGCAAAACAGAGTAATTTATGACCTTTCATAACAAACTCTCTCTTCTGACATTGTCCGAAGTATAAAAAGTGTTTCTTGAACTGATAAAACAACATAATCTCTTGTTTCGTGGAGAGATGGGGCTATACTCGGTGCACGGGTTACTGTGCTTTGTAGCGTGCTCAACATGTGGGGCTATTTTTAAGGTTAATATTGGATTTGAAAGAGTCAATAATATCTCTCCTTTAGCTATATTTTAGCCTCTCTATAGTCTACTTTAGTTTTATTAGAGTAGGTTGAAAAAGGCTTTAGCTCTCACAGCACTATTTTTATTGTAGAGGTAGTACTACAGTACAATACTTTAGAGTTAATATTAAATTACAGTATCTACTACAGCTGCATTTTAAAGTTAAACATATATTCTTGTCTGTGTTCATAGACAAGTCTATAACTTAAGTTCTGTATATACATTCATATCATGATATACACTTATATGCACCAAAAGATTGCTCGAGTATCACAGGCTGTACATGCCTTCACATCCATACAAATGGCATATATCCACGTTGTCATGCGTATTATTATGGCCGAGAATAGTAAACCCTAAGCTGATAACACTAATGTAATTAAGCTTGTTAATTCTCCGAGATTTGTAACATCCCCCCCCCCCTCCCCTTACGCTCCGTGCCATTTCTTTTTGATGTGAAATTGGCTCAATTGCGAGAGTTTCAGACGTTTGTTGGTCAAGTTGTTATCTCCCAACTTTATCACAATTCATAAATTATTTCCCGAGGAACACGTCAATCAGGAACGGACCGGCTGTCAGAATGCAATTAGGCTTTACTTTGGCTTGGGCGGGATAGCGGTAGAGGTGATGGTTCGGGCGGGGTAGAGATGGAGGCAAGGGTTTTTTTGCGGGGTAGAGTAGAGGAAGAGGCAATGGTTGGGGCGGGTAGAGATAGAGGCAATAATCCGGGCGGGGAAAAGGCAGTGGTGATTTTTGGTTACTTAAGGTTAGGGCTAATAGAGGGTTATTTAGGATAGGGGCATTCCTAAGTAATTTTGGCTGGGCCGGGGAGGGGATTCCGGCTAAAAAGGCATGGAAACGGCTATGGTAATTTTACAAAACGTTTTTTTACGGGAAGGTCATTGACATTAAGGATGGCTGATTTTGGGTATGGAGAACGTACAATATGATTTGACTTTTACTCACTTTGTCATCCTTAGTGTCAGCTTTGTCATCCTTAATATACCCATTACTATTAAACATTGTTATCTGTCCCATTAGCTAACGATCGTACAGTAGCATCGAACCGTTTACTGATAGCTCATTTTTGCTAATTATGTTCAGCTCAAAGTGACAGTTTTGAGATAACATCGAACTGTCTGTCCTTTCTCTGCCCACTCTCTCTATTGACCGTACTCTCTCGGTGGTATTCCCATCTTTTGTCCGATCACTGTAACATAATATACGCTCGGAGATTAGTCAAGCATGATTGAGGACATTCTGAGGCTGTTTTTTGGAGAGGCTGGGGTGATAAAGAGGGGGATTTTTAGTTTGGCAGGGGTGGATTTGAAACATTTTAATTTTTTTTGGTTTTTAGGTAATAATTTTTTACTTTTTAAATTTTTTTTCATTTTTTGAATTAAAATTACTTTTTTTGTTAGTTAAATTTTTACTTAAAAATTTCAATAAGTTTAGTTTTAGTTGCGCTTTAACTTTTTTTTTTGACCGAAGAATGACGGTGTCTTACTGTAGTGTCAATTGTAAGGGCTGACATTGCCATGACAGTCTTTACAATTACAACTCAACTCCTCGGAATCACAAATTACCTAGACTTTAGAGGGCGCTTCCTTTGTAAACTGAGATCTGGGCATTGTTCATTTTGGCAGTCCTAGGAAACGCCGAATATTGCGTATTACAGTAACCTTTCGGACCTTTTGAAACGGTTTTAAACTTTTTTAAATATTTTTGAGTCTACAGTATTAGTTATGACAACTTTTACAGTAATTTTACTATTTTCAGTTGGTCAAAAAGTTTATGGAAAAAGTAACAGGGGGGACCAAGCTTCCAAACAAGGGCTGATTCCACGAACTTTTTGACCGACGTCTTTGGTATTAATATTATTGTAAAAGGTGTGTAAAGTAACCTGAAATCCATTTTTTACATTTTTATGACTTTTACTGTGACATACGACGCTAATACCTCGAGGGATTATAGTTGTAACGTTACCTTGGAGAATATTGTTTTACATAGACGTATGTTAGTCAGGAGATTAACCTGTCGAACTTCAAGTGCTGCTTTGGCATGTGCAGAAACTTTGTTTACAGTAAATGGTTTTTATTATTTTTTTTTACTTTTTTTAAATTTTGAATTTTAAAAATTTAATTTTAAATTTTTGAAATTTATTAAAAACGAAAAACTTCATTTACAGTAAACATTTTTTTATTTTATTAAATTATGATAGTAAAACTTAAAATTTTGTTAAAAAACAAAAACTTTGTTTACAAACAATTGCCTGGTGACGTAATGGTTTGAGGTTGAAATGTCATACTGAGCTGTCGCGATAAGATTGAACTGACTTAACATACGATTAATTTTATTGCGCAATGTAATTTGTTTTTAATGATTACGGTAAGATGGCTGAGGTTGACAATAACTATGGGGCTAGAAGGGATGTAAGACTTAGTAGTATATATAGTCACGGTAATATGTGTTAGGATTAGGTAGTTCATATAATTCTGTGCCTCTAGTACCGAAAATTTGTTTTGTGAGGGGGCACAACTATTTGAACAACTTAATAATAGTTGGTTATAACGGGCGTTGTACTTTCTTTACTACATTGTATAAGCTACGTATTTTACTTTACAGTTTTCTAATTCCTCCCCCCCCCCTTTTTTTCAAATTTTAAGTATAATAGAATTACATAAAGCTATATTTAAGTTTCCTAAAATTAGCCTCAAATCACTTTAAATGTATTTATATCAGTGTCAATTGCTGATATAAATATTCGATGGATATTAGCGTTGTAATTAACATTACCATGGCTATTTGCGGCCCTAATTGTTATAATTAAGGTCAACCAGAGGTGGTTAATCTGTGAAATGTGTGCAACTTTAACTAATCCAAATTGTTAATTTAAGATTATTATTACGTTACTGCAAGATCTTGATGTTTATTATTATATTACTGCAAATTGGTGATGTTCTTTGATGGTCTAACTTTGGTTGGCTATTTCTTGGTGATGTGATCCTTGTTACTGTAGACTTAAAAGTGTTGTGATATAGTTATAGTTAAGGTCCTGTTAGTGTTGTAGTAGTTTTAGGTAAGAAGTTGTTGGTTTTGTGGTATTAGGGTGTTCAAATAACTTAAATTGCAAATTTGCCTTAAGAGGGGGCTTAGAATAATTTGAACAACTTACTAGTTTTAGGTAATATGGTAAGCAAAGCTTATGAGTGATAGGGTTAAGTGAAGTTGATGACTTAAGGGCGTGGTAAATTTCTGGAATTTTATTTTGCGTAAGGAGGGGTGTATAATAGTTTCTTATAACACATTTTTAATCATGGCAATTAATGTAAAATACTATAGTTCGTTCTTGGCTAAAACCTCTAACTTCCATTAATTACATAAAATCAATTAAAATGTCACCTCACCTTATCGTATACGATCTGTCGAGGTGTTGGCATGACATCAGCCTCCAAAATGACCTAAAGCGAGGTAATCTTTGGCCTATCGGATAAGGCGTAATCTCTTCGACTGAGATCATTTCGGACGTCAAGAGCATGACTAGCTACGGTAAATGTCATTCTTTGTCACATTACTCTACAGTTTGTGCTACATCTCGTGGATTTACTGTCGTATCTTGTCATGGTATTTTAAAGTTATTGTAGTTTTTAAGTTATGATGTTTTATGATGATTTAGTATTATTTGGGTTGTTTGTTTTACCGTGGTATCTTGGGGTGTTGAGTTATTTTTAGCTTTATCAATACATACAGTATAAGTTTATTAATTTGACTTTACATATTGTTGAAAATTACTTAAGTGCACGACATGTCTATAATACCCATTCATTTACATTGTGACACAGCAATAATAGCTATACATGTCTGTGCTATAAAGCTAGTATTCGACTGTTTAACTGTTTCTTTATGCAGATTAACATGGTTAATATCTTTTGAGTGGTAATTACATTCCTCTTTCAAATCTAGTCGATCTCTTGGTACTGACATTACATACGATATTACTCATCTATTGTCGAGTAAATGGTATTTTACTGCATCTGTTAGGAAGTGGAGATTTGTAGATATTGCACATAGTAGTGACAACTATAAATATAAAAAAGTAATTTATGCTATCAGAAGTAGGTATTAAGGCATTTATAGGGTTCAAAAAGTTTTTTCGTCGTTTTGTATTAATATGCACGGTAAAAAACGACAAGACTTTTTGAAATTAGTATAAAGGTCGTAGATGATTTAATGTCACATTTTATGACATTCGAAGCAGGAATGTCACTTCATATGTCATGATTGGAATGGGAATGTAACTTTTTACATGTTGATTGAAATACCAACTCTTTGGGGCCTCAACCACTGTCAAAGGGGCTTCAAAATAACTTCTCTAAAGTGACATTTGGGTCACTTTTTTGAACGCTCCGACGTTATATTATCCTTTAATGGCAGCAGAAACAAACAGAGCCTATCAAAC